ACGATGAAACGAGCTGCAGATTGGCCATATGACCTTACAAGGTCAACATTCGCCCAGTCCGGGGCGCACATGTGACGGGCCGCGATAACAATGTCGATGCCACTTAGTCAACACGCGTTCCGCCTGGCATGGCGGTGTCATCAAGGGTCTGTAATCGTGTAGTTTGATATAGATTTGAACCATCATGGCTGTCGGCACCGAGCACCGTACAATTTGGGTCATGAACGTTGGTTTGGGCACTCAGAATCGCCATGGCAACGGGAATATATTCGGCTGTGTTGTTGAGTCGGCATAACATCGATAAATTGATTCCATAGCCAGGCTATTTGTCGTATGACATAGCATCTGAATAATTACACGGAAATAATTACACGGATAGCAAACGGATAATGTGGAGTCCCTTCCTGCATGATTTGGCCTTCCGGTCGGTATGAAGGGGATGTCATGCTGCAATTAGGCCAGTGGTCGGTACGATAATCATATCACTGCCCTCTTCGCATTCATGGTAATGAGGTGAGTATTGGACGACGGTTTTGACAAATCGGCCTGCTTGCACAATGTCGCTGCAGTTTGAACTGGGTTTCTACGTCAGGCTCCAGCGCACGCTCCCTTTTTGGGTCGGGGTTTTCATATGGACAGACCAGCGCGTGGGCAACTCTTTCATGCTTATGTTGTTGAACGCTTTTGATGTGGGTAAGGATGGATGCGGGATTCGGAGGAGCACAATAAGGAGGGGCCGTAATGTCCTTACCAAAGATTTTGTTTCTTTGAAGCGGTACGTCGCAGCGTTAAGTACTCGGCATCCTTCCGGATACTGCTTGACAGTGATGGAACGGAAGCCCGGCTAATTCGTTATCGTTACATCCTGGTTGACGGCAGTTGATAACTGATCGACGGTCATTTGCGCGGTTGTTTCCTCAATGAGTTCGTAATTTGCGCTGTCGCTAGTGGTAAAGCCCGGCACTACGCTGGCTTTGTAAAACTCTATTCAAGCCCAATCAATCACCACGTTGAAAAACGGCAACAACCTGCCGCACTGTTCGCCGAGGATCAGTGCTTGTTTGGGGAGGAAGAGCGCCTCGCTGCAGTGCGAACTCACGCCACTCCTCGCGTCACTGGTGACGTGTTCTGCATTTGAGGGCCAACCCGGTGGTTGTGCCGTTTTTGGACGCGGCGCCATGGGCCTAATGTTATGTAATCTTGAATTGTGGTCGGCTGTCCCTCTTCCCCTCCCCCTATCCGCCACCCCTGTCCCGCGTCCTTGCTTTTCTTTTCCCGAGTATTGAAATGGTGACTGCCTGGAAATTATGCTCAGGTGCCAGTCATTGACAACTTAAAATAATCCGACGTGAGTTTTTAATGGTAGCTCAGTGAAGATGTTAGTGTTCCCATCACATGTCATTTTCTGTCATCCGAGTTCACCTTGAACAAAACGGCTGCAAGGGCTTGGCAGATGGCTGTATTGTCATGCCACCAAGCAGCATGGGCCCTGAATAGATCACAAGTCTTTGTCTGAGACTGGTATGATGACCATGGCGGGAGCTTCCAATCCCTTTGACCCTTGGATCGCATGCACGGGCGCTTGACGTATGCGGTCACCGTTCTCATCAGCATCCTCCTTTGCGGTGAGCTTGTCACTATTGCGCACATATGGCTGTAACAACAACGATGGGAACAAACTGGAATACCTGCTCTTTCATACAGACCACATCTTATTAACAACAATCCGTAATTGTCGTACACCTGGAGACGTGCCGACTAGTGCCCACTTTCGCCTACCACGCATGCGACGCGTGTCGTGCTCATCGGGCGCATCCGCACCTGCAGCGGTCGCACGAGGGGCCTTTGTCGAAGCGGCCCGGAAATCAGCGCTCCGCGCTATCTGCCGGGGCGCGCCCTCCCCGCGGGCGTCAGCTGGCGCCGAGATGATGCCACGCCGACCGCGCTCGTGGCGCCACCTATAACGGGCGTCGGACGGCTGACGCAACGCCTGTCGTGGGCGGGACTGGAGTGGGCCCGGGTCGTGCGTCCAGGCGGCGCGCGCGCGAGGTGAGGGCGCGGGTTGGGCGCTGCGAGGTGGGACGGTGGCTTTAATGGCGGCCGGTGGCGGTCGGAGGGGAAGCTGAGATGTGTGGAGGATAACTGACAGCACTAGAGCGGATGTGCTGACGACCTCTGCACGAACGCTAGGTGTTGACTGACAGATTGTCTAGGACACTTCAGCGCGTGCATTTTCCCAGTTCATCAAGGCTCGCCATCTTTTTCAGGCTGCCAAGGAATGCTAAGCTTGTTATTTTCTAGACGATGCCGAAAGTTGTTGATTGAAGAGGTCTTTTCTCAGCTGGAATGAACAAACGGACCAATGAAATTTATGACGGGATGAAATTTATGACATGGTGGCATACTGCACTCATCCCCACATCACTTGCCTCAGTAAACTCTGCAGCCAAGCCAATGCAGCATCGAGTGAACCTTGTATTGAAGGGAATGTTTCATATTTAAAGATACTAAACCGATCATCAGATGTGATGAAACAAGCTCACTTCTAACTATTGACATACTTTTAAGCTGAAGAGGCTTCTCTAGGCAACACAGTTTCTCTGTTTAGTAAATATTCTCCGCGGTACGTCATTGTTTGATTACGTTATTGTACCTCGTGCAACATTTCTTGAGAGCCAATTGACAGTCGTCATTTCTGGAAATCGTGCCCACGAACGTCAGATATGAATGTCGCGGCAATGACCTTTTTCCTGGCCTTGATTGCCTCATGGTGTATGGAAAGGTATGATTTTAATAACGTTTTTATGACGGTGTGAAGTCATAACGTTGCGAATGCCGAGATGACTGAAATAGTCTCCCCGAAATAGTCTCCCTACCCTCGTGGGTGTGAAGCTCAGAAACTAGAGGGGTTTAGGTCTTAAGAAAGACGGAGCTGTGAACTGCACAGAATGATCTTCAAGATGACTATTCCAGTCTAACAACTTATAGAAAATGGAGCGCTCCCTGTAACAATACAAATTTTCCATTCACCTCACCCCGACGTCATCCACATCACCGTGGCAACTCCATATTAGGCCGTACGTAATGGTGTGTGTCACGCGAGACTCTGCATCTAGAGATTGGGTAAATAAACGCGACACGAAACTCACGGACGGCATATAATTTAAGGGCAATCCTTAGTGTGCTTGGATGCGTTGCACACGAGTACGTGTCTCCGCGCGCACAATCCTTAGTGTGCTTGGATGCGTGCACACGAGTACGTGTCTCCGCGCGCACAATCCTTAGTGTGCTTGGATGCGTGCACACGAGTACGTGTCTCCGCGCGCACAATCCTTAGTGTGCTTGGATGCGTGCACACGAGTACGTGCCTTCGCGCGCACAATGCTTGGTGTGCTTGGATGTGTGCACACGAGTACGTGTCTCCGCTCGCACAATCCTTGGTGTGCTTGGATGTGTGCACACGAGCGCGTGTCTCCGCGCGCACAATCCTTGGTGTGCTTGGATGCGTGCACACGAGTACGTGCCTCTGTGCACAAACCATGGACGTGACCGTTCGGGGACGTTTAGGATTGGCGCCTGATCCCAATGACGACAGCAGATAAAAACGTCAAGGTCACTGCATGCTCTCGGCGAATCTAACCAGCGGACCGCAACACTCCCCAACCTGTATGGGCACCGGTTATCGACCCAAAAGTGGCCAATACCTCCCTTCTCGGAACCGATCTCGAAGACAGGACGCTGTAGCCTGAGCCGAGGGATTCTGGGTCGCGAACTCGCTCGGAAGTGCGGCCCTCTTTTTTGGTCAACATCCACCCAAAATGCCTGCGTGTCATTCATGTCTTTCATTTTTGTGCCTTCACTGTGAACATTATAAATCATGACAAATTCATCGACTCGGATCCGACTTAAAATGTGAGACCTGACCCAAGGCTCTAGAAATACCAGGCCTAAATATGGGTATGCGGACCTTTTGGCCAGACCTGCCTCGTACCGCGTCATTTGTCATGTAGTTCCATCTGTGAATTAGCGGATGGATTTTGAAGTGGCGAAACTCCACCCGTTCACGAGCTTTCCGTTTGGCCTTTAGTCGTGAGCATGCACAGATGAATAGATCCAAGCGCCTGTGGATCTTTCCTTTATTGGAGCTCTTTATGTGACGCTTTCACTTTATCTACTCATGCTAGCGCGGCTGTCGACACCCATATGCGACTTTCCCAGGATGACTCGTCACTTGTCGTGAACCACTTTCTCCCGTTGAGCTGGACGCAAATGTTGGGCCAGGAGGACGTCCTGGGCACTCTCGGCCTTCACTTGGTTGCCCGGCAACGGGGCATGCGAAGTGCAGTGCCCTCTAAGATAACGGTATGAATGCATCATTTTTATAGCCGTCCAACTGTCGGTGCGATTTTGCGTTAAGAACCCTGCATACTCCAACTCAATTGGTCATTCAAGCATACTGGTTTTAGTTCATGTTTGGTGCATATTTGGTGCCGTTTGCACATATTTGCTGAACACGTACGGTACGGAGCCGGATTTAATGCATTGATCTCCTCTCCCCTCAGATGCTTGTTCTGACGGAAGTCAGATCGTGAGGTGACGTCTACTAATGCATATGATGTAGAAAATCTGAGTGGGATTGTTGTGGGGACTGTCGCACACAGTTGTACGAGTGGTGACATATTCCAGATTGTTTGGTTCTTGGTGCTGCTGCATGCCCAACTGTTTAAATTCAGCCCTTGGAAGTTGCAAGTCACGTGATTTCCCACCATCACGCGCTTTCCACACCACATTTGTGTTGACCAAGTAGCACGGGTGCTCGTTTTTATACCTAGCTTTACTTTTTTAATGAATTTGACGCATTTATTTATTTAATTTTTTTGATGAATATAACGATCTTGTGATAGGACCACTGTCGTAATCCAGCTCCCAGACGACTTCTCGATAAAATCCCCTCCCACTTTGAACCTGTAGCGAAGCCTAACTCCCTCCCTCCATTACAGATCAGCGCCGAGCGTCACTCCGTGGTCCGCCGGTAGTTCGGCTCGCCGCCGAGAGATGGCGACGTCGGGACCCCGCTGCCGCGGCTCGCGCTACAAACCGTACAACGGCGCGGTGGCACGCTACAACGGCTACCGCGTTACCAACCCGTTCATGTGGCCGCGTCAGGAGCGCAGCGAGCGCGCCTGGTGGGGGCCGTCCGTGTTCGGGCCGCCCTGGTGGGCGTTCCTGCCCAACACCCCCAGCTTTCCGTGCGGCGTGGTGGCGCTGTTGCGCACCACCAACGCCTCCATCGGCATTCTCCGGCACATCGTCGGCTTCCTGACGCGCTGCAGCGAGACGGCCGGTCAGGGGGCGCAGCAGCCGGACGAGCCGCCGCCCCAGGCCGCTGGTGGCGCCGCCAAACGGTGCGGCGTCGAAAACCACAATCATATGGATGAGGTGGGTGTTTTAGTCCAGGGTGCAGGTTACTCATTGTTGTAGGTTTAATGTATTGTTTCTTGCCACGCTATATTTCACGATATATTATCTTTTGATTATATTCGTGTCATATGATTATTATATACGTATCACTTTACTTTATAACTATTATTGCTGTTTGTTATTGTTGTGCTGCTTTTGGTGGGGAGCAAATACGATATTTTGCAGATTGTCTTCCGCTGGATTCAAGCGCCAAATGACGCAAGTTAACGTGTCCTTTGGTAAACATGGTGTCCTTGGTTGTAAAAAGTACAAACATTGACAAACTTCGTGAACGAACTTCGAGGCCTTTGGGTTGGTTTCAAAACTGTACCATTCACGTGACAAGGCGATCATTATAGTACCATGTCGGAAACATACGAGTCTCAAGTTCATGCATTCATCACAGTCGGCTGTGATACGAGAAGATCTCACACTTTCCAAGTGGTCTTGACGATCTTGCACTTTCGACATCGCTTGCACCGTCTAGACAGCGTTGAGCGGTCCACAACTGGCACACCGGCCCTCACACGACACGTGTTTCCATTAGGTGTTCTCGTACGGTACGCGTTTCCGTCAGGCGTTCTCACACGGCACGTCCCTCCGTCAGGTGTTCCGACACGGCACGTCTCCCCGTCAGCTGTTCTCACACGACACGTCTCTCCGTCAGGTGTTCGCGATCTCCCGCTTCTGGCTGTCAACAGAGATAGGCACGAACCCGAGCAAGCAGGACATCACATTCCTGTGCAACGCCGCCAGCCGGAGCACCGACGACATCCAGACGGTGGTGCTCGGCGACGGCGCAGAGGGCACCACCATCGACGCCGAGACAGGCGAGGTGTCGCTCGTCGCGCGCGACGACGAGTCCGGCGAGACCGTGCTCGTGCACGCCGTGCGCGACCTGACGCACGAGATCGTGCTCACGCAAAGCCTGTACGAGATCGACGTGCGTCGCCAATACTTCAGCGACCCGTCGAAATATGGCCACCTTCTGCGAGAGCTGGAGCTGCTGCAGCCGCCGCCCAGCCGGCGGATAGGGCGCCACCTGCCGGCCACCGGCGACGCGCTCGAGGTGCTGTCTGTGGACGCGCAGCAGCTGCTGCAGCTGTGCGTTGCGTACGGCTTCAGCGAGGCTGAGACGCGCCGCGTGCTGGAGCACTTCCACTTCGTGCGCGCGCGGCTGGAAGGCGCGCCACCCCTGGAGCCGGCGTCGGCGCCAGCGCCAGCGGCGGAACCCGTGCCGCCACGTGGCGCGCGCGGGCCCAGCTTCAGTGCGGCGCTGTGCGGCGGCTTTGGCGAGCCGTGCCCGCCGGGCCAGAGACTCTGCGTGCAGGTGGCGCCGACTGGCGGCGTGGCGTGCGTGCGCGACGGCCTGGGCGGCGACGCGGCCAACAGCGGCCTGTCCTGTCAGATCAGCGCCGCCGAGGACATGGACACGGACGGCGGCGACTTCCTCACGCGCCACGAGGCCGACCTGACGCGCGGCGAGCACGTGCCCGTCCACTGGATGGACGAGGAGTGGGACGAGTCCGGCCGGCGACGGCTGACGTTCGATGCGGACAGTGGCGAGTGCTGCTGACGGCTCCGCCCGCCGCCGTGACCGGCCGGGGACCGCGCTGTGGTGCTGTGAGGGTGCGTGTGGGGCTGCGAGTGTGTGGCGTCGCTGGTGTTGCTTGGTGCCCTGCGCAGCGAGCGCTTGGTGCTCTCGGGCCGCGAATGGCACCACGTGAAGGCACCAAACGCGTCGAGGGCACGTTCGACGCGGTGGCGAGTTTCGCGGCGACGTTCGTAGCGGCGCACTGGCGGCCCTTGGAATGCTCTGCTCGATGCCATGTGTAATGCTGCTGTGTAGTATGACGTCGGGCGTCACGTCTAAGGAGATCTCTTCTCCTGAGCTTGATGCTGACACATGGCCTTGCTCGGGGCGCATGGCTGACGACGTGTTGCGCGGTTTGTTGTCGTTTTTCCGCCGAATTTTGATCGTCGAATAAGTGCTGTGTTCTTACATAGCCGGCGTGCGTAAACTGTTGCTGCGTCGGCGTCGCGTTTTTGAGCCGCAAATGTGGCGGGAAAGGGCGGGGTGCTCAACGTGTTCTGCCTGTGCTCTGCGTGTTCTGCCTGCGTTCGCTTCGGCGCCTTCCCGTGCCGCGGCGTAGCAGTGATCTCTCACCAGGATACTCCGGGGCGACAACGGCAAGTGTCCCCGCCCGCCCTGGTCAGTCCCGCCCGGACCCGTCCGGAGACCATTAGCCCGCCGGTGGCGACGACGGCAAGTGTCCCCGCCCGCCCTGGTCAGTCCTGCCCGGACCCGTCCGGAGACCATTAGCCCGCCGGCGGCGACGACGGCAAGTATCCCCGCCCGCCCTGGTCAGTCCCGCCCGGACCCGTCCGGAGACCATTAGCCCGCCGGCGGCGACGACGGCAAGTGTCCCCGCCCGCCCTGGTCAGTCCCGCCCGGACCCGTCCGGAGACCATTGGCCCGCCGGTGGCGACTGCGGCAAGTGTCCCCGCCCCCCCCCCCCCCCTGGTCAGTCTCGCCCGGGCCCGTCCGGAGACCATTAGCCCGCCGGTGGCGACTGCGGCGGCCAGTTTGCCCGAGTGATTCGGATGGTGATGACCTGTGTGGGCCCTCTGTTGGAGGTTGGGCGGAGGCGGCTCGTCGGCAGGTGACGGGGCTGTCCGCCACTGCCGTTGTGGCCCGCCTCCGCTGGATATGCTCCCGCTCAAGTGCCGTTAGCCTTGTGGAGCGGTGTTCTGCGAGGGATGTGGTGTGGCGAGCAGCCACCCCTGCCCTTGCAGACTATGATGATGCCGTCTGTGACAGCAAAGTGCGACCCTTGTCCTGTAGTGACAGTCAACAAAAGAAATGGTTTGGGGGTCATGCATCGCGTCTGGCGTATTGACATGGGGGAGAATGCTGTCAAATGTTTGTGCCCTAAATCGACTGAAGCGAACGCTTCCTCTTGATCGTGCCCGAAGTGAGCCTTTTGAAGGCATTTTGTTGCCCCCTGCCAAGCTGCATTCTCCACTCATGCATGTCAGCAGATGTACAACCCGGGAGCCTGTAGTCCTAATCAAATATTTTTCACGTGGGGGATTTGGGCTCCTCTGTTGTAGATGGTGTTCTACCAAAGCGAGTGAGTAAATTTAGCTTCGCAATCATATCCAGCGGGCGGAAGCCTTTGCAGAAAATCGGAAAGAAGGGCGCATTGGCCTGCGTCCGGCGAACGCGTCTTGCGCATGTTGCTCATTGGTTAAGGTCATGCCACGGATGTGTTTGACGTTCAGAACGACCGGTAATCCCTGGGTACTGGCTGGCGGCAAACCGTATGTTTATGCAAAGAAAATACATGATTAACCAGCCCCGTCAACTCATTAAACTTCATAGGCAGCGAGGTTTATCGAAGTATCAGCGAAATGCCAAATGACGTCGATACAGTGGCAGGAACACACGAATGAGGCAAACAGAAGGGCACGTCGTTCCAAAACGCAAGCGATGGCCGCGTACGAAATATATAGAGATCACGGTCCTGGCTATAATTCTGTCTGCGGACTGCAGCGAAAACGCTGAGCTTCGGAACGGTGCGTTAGTTTGCGGGGTCCTCCTATCCATGATGTGTGGGCGTTACGCGTTGTTAATTCCATGTAGAGCTCCCGAATTCATGTATTGGCAAGGACATTAGCCGCACATAACCTTACACACGTGGCGCCACTATTGTGGGCACAGCTGTTCGCACTCCGCCCCTGTGTGCGCCCACCAACAATCCGGAACATTTTCAAACTGTCAGGTCAAACTGGTTCCATGCGACTCATGAACCGCCGGTTCGAACTTGCCTGCGGGTCAGAGGCCCGGATGCCACGCTTTCCTCTGTTACCAGCAGAAGCATGGACATTCCATTGATTGGACACCGTATGCGAGCACCATACGCCGTGCGACAGTTTGTTATACTCTTCATCCCGTTCGTTAACAGTTTGTTAACACCATGCCGCAACTTTTCCAGCTGATCAACTAAAATGAAATTGGTGGACAAAATTGAAAGATACGCTTTTTGCAGACGTCAAGCAAACCAACGCTACCTGTAATTGCACCAATTATTAGCAATCAGTGCCGCACTTTGGAATCTGCTATACAAATAACGCATGGAATACGCCACGGTATGAACACAGGTGCTGCAACGCCATCCGTGTACACGCGTCCGGACCGTCGCGTTTGAACCCCGACGCACGCAATGATCGACGGCGAACCAACTCGTGGTGGTGCGAACACCACTTCCGCAAGCACGGTATCACAGTCAGTCTCTTCGAACATGGCCGCCCGAGGAATACCGTGCTTTTGCACTCAAGGGGACATGCCAGAACTGCGACACGACATCTGGGAGGTCCCGTGTGAAGGGCAGACAGCACAACCCAACGCAACGGTCAACATACAGTGGCACACGGATGTAGGCCCAAGCCGTCCCAACACGGGAACGGTCGTGCGAGGGAACCACGCGAGACGGGGAGCATCCAATGGTTCGGCACAAGGAGAGGGAGATTCACGGGGTCCCGTGATGTTCACAGGTTGGATGCCGGCAGCCGCCGGGCGGCACCACAACCACGCCAGGTCACCAGAGCTCACATGGTGCTGCATGGACAGCGCCGCCATGCTTCACATGATTGTCAGACGGCGCTCGGCCCCGTCGTTAGGTGTTCATTCTAGTCTGGAAATTGTTGCCTCATTCCGCTATGCCTGCCCATGCTTGTGATGACCTTTTGGGATGAGCATACTACGGCAGTGCCTACTCCATTGATTTGACAAAAGCAGGCCGGAATTTTAGCCGTCCCGAATGCCCCAATGGAAATGGCAACTATTTTTTTAGGACTTTCACCCTAGAAGTAATGATTGTCTGTGTTTCTCTTGCCAGTTGTGCATCGCGCTTTAGGATCTAACTAAATGATTCCATGTAGTAGCTAACGAAGGAATATGAAGCCAGAGCGCAATGCAACATACGGATTTTGCCCGTATCCAAACGTGTTTACCATTTGTTTTCTGTTCACGAGCTGTCACCCGTTGGCTGAAGCATTGCGAGTCGCCCACAGCATTTATAAGTGCATTCAAAGGCGGCCGGTCTTAGAGGGAGCCCCTACGACGTGATTTTCCCATTGTTACATTGCGGGTAAATGGGATCACCGTGGAAAGATTTGCTTACTTAGGCAAGCCCACATCACACACTCGGCCGTTTTCGCACACTTCTATATTTGCCCGTGTAATCCGGTAGCGGTCTGGCCGAGCACTCCGAACATCGACCAAACTCCGGATTTGTCCGAGCAAAGAGCAGTGACGAATTCTCCACACTTCTACACACGCGCCACCCTTGCTGCTCGTCCGCAGCTCACAGATGCAGCGGAAACACGTCCTCGAACCCGAATAACACAAGGACAGGTCCTCCACCTATCGGCGACCCCCGCAAGTTATGTTTGCAGCGTTTTCCGCCGCAGTCCAAGCGCGGCGGCCGGCGTCTGCTGGGTGAAGGGCCGCCGCATCTGGTCGACATTAGAGCCGGCCCCGGCCGACGGCGTCATGGCCGATGGCGAGTTCGGGTTGTTGTTCAGAAGCCGCACCTCACTCTCCCCGGAACTCATCGGCCTGGAAAATACGGGTGGCAGCTGCACTCCAAGCGTGTTTTAAAGCTTCGCGGGGGTGAAAAATGGAGTCTAGCAGGTAGTAGTGGATCAAGTTCTCCTGACTCAGTAGTGGTCGTGTTTTACTCATTGGTGATCAGACTCCCCTGGTGGCGGTGCTACACCGAAGAGGTGGCACGACTGTATCTGGCGACAGTGTTGCTTCAGAGTAAACTAACACGCCTCCTACGCCTCCTCACCTGATGAAGATATTGCTCCAGGCACGAGTAACACACCTGATCACTTGAGGGCGGTGTCGTGTGAAGATAGTGTTACAAGGCCTCACCTGGCGATGATCTCGCGGCGGGACGTACCACACTGAACGTTCACCCGCTGACCGCGTTGCGCTAAAGACGCACAACACGCCTGCTTACCTGATGGTCGTACTCCAACGAGAGGTCTTGCGTCCTGCGCAAGGCTACTCGGTGGAGTAGGACGGACTTCCATCCATCCTCACCTGATGACGGTCCTGCGCAGAGCAGGACCACCGCCAGTGCTCACCTGATGACAGTGTTACGCTCTTTCTGGACCAGCTCGCGGTCCGAAGTGAAGAGCACGGTGTGGTAGGGCACGGCCTGACCCACGAGGCGGCCCGTGCTCGCGATCTGCCCCAGCACGCCGTTGTACACCAGAAGGTCATCCACCAGCAGCTGCGGTGCGGACAATGGTAGCAGGTTAAAGGTGGCCGAGGTGCCACCCAGCTAGTGCCATCGGTGGATGATGAATGATGATAAATGGGGATGAATAATGAGGAAAGACGATGATGAAACGTGGTCAATGATGATAGCTGATGATGAATGATGATTTATGACGATGGATGACGATGAATAGTGATCAATGATGATGGATGACGATGAATGGTGGCCAATGATGATAGATGATGATGAATGATCACCTATGATTATGGGTGATGATGGAAGGCGGGGGCTCAGGTGCTGTGATTCAGTGGCTCAGTGGGCTCGGCTGTTTGCGAGGATGCTATTTGTAGCATTGCATAAGGCTTAAGACACCTGGAAGACGCATGCCGGCAAATAAAGATTCGCTAAACGATAACGATGAGAGCGTTAAGGCGGCTTACATGTCACGAACCCGTTTGCAGGCCATTATGCTACCTTTTACAGTCCAAGCGCAGTAGCATTTGCGGTGTCTGAACAACCACTCGAGGATATCATTAAAGATGAAGGGAATGTTCAAATATGAAGTGTTCTTCATCGCCAAAAATTCGACTTAAGCTTCCATGCGGCGCATGGTGAAAGCATAAGTCCAGGTCAGCGACATTCTTAGCAGACTTACCCCAAACTCCTTGACACCTCTGGTGGGAGTCTTGGCGTAGTTCCAAATCTTAATCATCGAAACCGTCTGGATCTCGTCGAATATCACATAGACTCGATTGATCTAAAAGCAAAGCAGACATTCATGCATTGTCGAAAAAAACTTTTGCCGAATATCTGCAACTGGTTTACACACTTCTTGACGGTTGCACGTGGTAAAAGAATGTCTAAACCTTACAGCAATATTTTCTACTCTCATTCAACAGCCAGTAAATATTTGCGGCAGCGGTTTGTACCATACGCTTTAGACTATGTGGTTCTGTGTTCTCTCCGGATCGTCACCACGGCGTATCACAAACATTATTCCGAAATCATAGCAGGCAAAATAATTTCAAATACAGACGTCACTCATTCACAATATCAGCTATTATAGACTCAACCACATACACCATCCGCTCACCATGTCCAACATGATGGACTTGGCCACGTGCCCGTCCTCTCACCACGTTAGGCGGGACATACCCAGCCGCATCGCAGACTTCTCACCGCGTCACGCAGAATTGACTCAGCAACATGACCGTCCCTTCACCACGTTGGGCAGAATGGACTCAACCACGCGATCCACGCTCTCACCATACACAACATGGTAGGCACAGCCACATACCGCCCTTACATTACGTCAGGCAAGATGAACTCGGCCACATGATCTCACCATGCCGGCGAAGATGGACTCGGCCTCATGACCTCACCATGTCGGCCAAGATGGACGCGGTCACTGATCTCCCCATGTCCGGTAATGGAGACTCGGTCACAGGATCTCACCATGTCGGGCAGAATGGGCGCCAGCCACATGTGGCGGCCGTCCATGGTGTTGTTGACGCCGTCCACCAGCTTATCAGGCGTGCGCACGTCCCCAGAGACGTTGTCCAGCACGTTCACGCTGTCTGGGTAGGCCGCCACGTCTGCCGGCCAGGTCAAGGGTGAGGCGGACCCGGGGTCACGAGGTCACGGTAGGGGGAGGGGGCGGGGCGTTGATTCGATGCCTGAGCAATTTGTCACTGGATCATGATTGCGAATGTGCGTTGTGTAGCTAGAGGACTGACGGCGGTGAAATCAAGTTCATTGAAACCTATGCGTATCTCATTTGCTTTCAACTACATCACAATGGACCTTCTCATTGCTGTTGGCTAGGAGTGTATTGTACAATGAACAATGAATAACAATCAGAGCATCAAATTTCAACGCAGGTACCGTAACGTAAGCCTTCAGGTGTTGCATCGTCTTTGGAAACCCAACACCACTTTTAACTTTGCATACTCCAGCTCTTTTCATTTATCACGAGAATGGTCCCGAAAAAGTCGCTAACATTTTGAACATGTATGTGACTGCTCTAGTGAATTTCGTTTTTTAGGCAACGAATCAAACACATCTGTTGAATACCATCTCAAGGCAAACGCCGTTGTTTACATCTGGATAACCTTGTTGATGACATCTCGGAAAGCACCGGCCGCCTGTTGGCTTGACCTTAACATGATCCGGCGCTAGGCGTCAGCCACGTCAGGACACAAAGCCGGAGCCGAGCGCTCGGTCTCAGGCCTCAGGTCAGTCCAGGTCAGGTCAGGTCTCAGGACCGGCGCGACACCCACTCCTGCCAGTGAGCGAGATCTTGTGTCCGGAGGCGTCGTAGAGTTCGATGCCGTTGAGGCCGGTGTAGTAGAGGTCTCCCCAGGTGGACAGCAGGTGGAACTGGAACACGAACCCCTGCGGCATCATCGGCGCCTCGTACTCGTCCTGAAACCAGACGGAGGCGACGGTTACTTGGGCTGACTCGGTCAGAGCGCATGCGCAGATCGGCGCCTCGTGCTCGTCCTGAAACCAGACGGAGGCGACGGTTACTCGGGCTGACTCGATCAGAGCGCATGCGCAGATCGGCGCCTCGTACTCGTCCTGAAATCAGACGGAGACGACGGTTACTCGGGCGGGCTCGGTCAGGGGCGTGAGTGGAGCGGACGGGTCATTCGCCATACAACACGTCCTTTGCAATGAAAGGATTGTAACAGCGGCGGTCTTTGAGGAACACCGCACGGCGATCTACGGCCGGCGCGGCCGGCGGGCGGCCATCGACGATGCTAAGAACGAGTGCGGCAGGCCGACATTGTTGTATTAACGGAGCAATACATCATCAATAAACCCATAGCGCTATTCACCATTGTACTCAGAATTGAGCAAGGAACACGCCCGTCCAGGTGTGGTATCGCTACAAGTCACGGTAACGTATGTATGAGGTTGTAAAGCTAAAAAGTGTGATTTTCGGAAGTTGTTAAGTGCATTTCCCGGGAACATTATGCATATAGATAAGACAGTAGTTATAGCCTTGTTCCTCGTAGAAAAACCAGGCGAATGGAGAGACAGATGCGTTGGTATTTCGTCAGCTTGCCTTCGACCCTTGGCCTGGCATAAGGGAGTCGAATTTTTTACCCAGCAGCATAAAATTTACATCGATGGCCAGGTTTCGTTGAGACAAAAACAACGTTTTTGGTAAGTCCTGTATTTCCTGGTTTAGAAACGGCAGGGGGAATCAACTCCCTATCAGTCCGCGTTATGAAAAAACGGCGAAACAGGGCGAGTGTTAAGGTAACTACCGGATATTTTGTCAACATTTTAGACGCACCCGTACCGTAGCCGTAATTCCGCCCCCCCCCCCCCAAAAAAAAAATCCAAAATTTATCCGCAGCCCAGTCCGTTTCCAGTCACATGTGTACCAATGCGCTCACCCAGCCCGTGAAGTCCTCCAGCCCGCACCCGGCCGCACCTGGTACACGCTGTCGCTGATGCGCACGTGCGTGCGTCCGTTGCCGGACTTTTCATGGCGGCGGGCGGCGGCGACCGGACCGCCCCTTCGCAGGCTGACCTCCTGGCAGAAGTCGTAGTGGGTGGTGCCGGGCGCCCGGCGCAGCACGAACCCCTCGGCCGGCGAAACCCGCTTGTTGTCCACCGAGACGATGCAGTTGCGCGCCTGGGGAGGTGTCGGGGATAGGAGTGTGCTCTGTCCACGGCGGACAGCTGGGCATTGCGTGTCGGGGCTCTACAGAGTTATCACCGCCTGCTGCCGCCTGCCGTTTGGTGCATGCTGTGCCGCAGCGCATGGTACAGGACAGTCGATACTGTCCGGTCCAACCACGGCCGAGCAAAACGCGAGCGAAGGCTGCTGCCATTTGCTGGTCAAAACATACGTTAGATGCACCGAACAGCTCGTCATTTGTGTGGGGGTTGGGTCTGGTTGAAAAGCGGTTACAGAAAAAGCAAGTGATTCGGTATACTCCTTCTGTTGTTGTCCTACCATATGACATAAGAGGATTCTTGACCTTTGTACCACACATGATGGGAGCTTTCCCCATGTTGGGTTATGCCCACGTTCATGCCCACGCCCACGCCCACGCCCACACCCACGCACACGCCCACGTACGCGCGCACGCACACACGCACGCACACACGCACATGCACATATAGACATACATGTATATATGTGTATATGCATATATAAACATCTATAAACATATACATATGCATATACACATACACACACATGCGTATATGCTCCTGTATGTAAAGGATGCCCCGTGGTTTCCGTCGGATCATGTCAAGCTCCTCCAGTACGAGCACGGTTCCAGGGAGCTGCTCCTCACCCCCTTGTAGGCGTCGTCCTGCGAGGCGTTGTAGTTCCACACCCGCAGCGCAGCGATGGCGGTGGTGGCCGGCAGGCGGAGGATCAGCGTCACCGACTGACCCTCCTTCCAAGGCACCAGCCACATGTGCTCCGGATCACAGCTGACGCGCTGCTCGTCCAGCAGTCTGCGCGGGGTCACCACCCGCGTGAGCACGAGGAGACGACGACGGACGGTGGAGATAAGACAAAGATATACGTCATTTTGAAAAGGCGGCCGTCTTGTGCAAGCATGCACGCGGTTCGACGCAGGGGCTTGCTCGCATGGTGACCCCCGGAAGCATGTGTCACCACTAGCAAATTGGTAACGGTACTAATACTTCCGCGAATAAATGATGACATTAGAAAATCAGGGTAAACACGTAAGAAATGTAGATGGAGAAGACGCATGTTGCACGTCATGCAGTACATTTCGCGCGACTGCGGCGCGCCTAGCTGGATTTCGGCAAAAAGAAACAAGTTTGGATTCTGCCCCATCCATTGCGAAATCATACACATCCCCTGGGTCACACCATTACCAATGGGGCCTTCACTATCGCTGCAAATTCAATAGGCATAGCACATATGAAAAGACAAGCATATTAGTAACGATACAAAGCAAAGAGCGCTGAGGCAATTTGACTTAAACTGGGAACCTGACGTGTGGATTTGCCTTTCTCTGTTCTTTCACATTTCATTCCACCGATTTCTTAACATATCTAACGTATTCAAACCCGGATGTGTTAAGCATTCACGCCACTGCATTGCTTTCCATATTACCTCGGCAGTGTCGCTGTGGCTGTCGATGCAGTCAGGTAGGAGGTCTTCAGAGGCACCACCTGCTGGTTTTCCCGCACTATTTCCAGTGCCGTCAGACCTGGTGCCACGGAAAGCCAGACTTCATAAACCACATTTCGCCAGAGAAATGCTGCCCTGCTGCGTGTCCTGTGACAGTCTTTTCGTCTTTTCTGTTGTGACATGGTCAAACCTATCGCTGTTACTAGAATCAGGGCATGTGTTTGCATTGCCGGGTCAATTGCAGTACCATGCGGAGATCGATACCTGGTTTTTATTTCTTTATTTTTGATACACAAAGTTATCAAAGAGACTGCGACAAGCGTGTCAAATATCACATACATACACACACACACACACACACACACACACATATATATATATATATATATATATATATATATATATATATATATATATAGCATATGAGCGTCAAACTTATCCCAGGTCGATCATGGAAACGTCACATCGAAGCCTGGTGTTTTCAAAACGGCGACGCGGTGGTCAATAACCCGCTAACCGCGCAACCCACGCACGACACCCACCGCGGCGACTCCCGTTTGGAATCCGACGGGCACCTCCGGCTGCCGCCGCCACTGACCGAGCTGCTGCCGGTCCCCCCAAGACGAGGTGAAGGTCAGCTGGACGATCTGGCCGCGGGGTACGGCGCCGGACGAGTCGAAGCTGACGATCTCGCCGGACGAGAGCTGGGGAACGCGGCCCGACGCCTCGCCGCCCAGCGCGTGGCCGCAGGTGAACGGCCGTCCGCCCGTCTCCTGCCGCGGGCGCCCGCTCGGGTCGCGTCAGGGGCTCACCAGGGGAGGGGGATAGGGGGGCCAGGGGCGATGCGCAAGAGACTGATGAAGAGTCACGGACGTGATGAAATGGTCTGTCACGGAGCGCTGTGCTGTGGCCTTATGGCCTGTAGTAGCGAAGACAATTATGTGGGAGATGTATGCATTTCTCTGGCAGTAGAAGTCGCATGGCAATTTCTGAAAGCTTTGGCAATAAAACGACGGTAGTAGTCGGGGGAGCGAACAAACTAACAGGCAAGAACGCAGGGTAATATGCGACGCAAAATTAATACCCGGCTTCTCTGAGAGGCTGCAATGCACTGTGCGGTGGATTGGACTCAGTCATAAGCATTGCATTTTCTTAGGCGTAAAAACAAGGCAATTGGGGCCATGCTTGGTGGCGATGCATGAATACAGTCAACCGTATTATCTAATGCGCAGATAAACGCATCGAGCCTGCGAATAGTAAAAAAGCATGGAACATAAGTTTTCCAGCAAACCGTAGAACCCAGCTGTAATAAGCGCACAACTGAGTGGTACAAGTGCACTTGCAAACCGCAACCCAGAGTAGTAGCTGAGCATTAAAAGGTGTTTTATTCTCCCTGACATTTAGCACGCCGTGCCAAGCAAATCAGAAGCTGCTGCTTTTCATTTCCAAACGACCAGCCATCTCCCCCATCTTGGGAGCTTCCTTCGCCACGTCCCGGTCCGACGGACCCGGCCCCTGCGGCGGGTGCGCCGGGCGGGTGCAGTACCAGTGCCGGGTGCCGGGTGCCGGGTGCCGGGTGCGGCGGCTCAGGGACTGACGTCTACGTCCGCCGTCTGCGGCCGTTCCACTGGCAGCTCGGCGTGGATGGTGGCCGTCGGATCGGCGCAGTAGCCGCTGAACGACTCGTCATACTGCGAGATGTTGTCCAGAATCTCGTCGTCGGTCGTGAACAGGATCGTCTGTGGTAGGAGCCGCGGGTCATACGGGCACGACCACGGGTCACGGGTTACGCAACATGGGTCACGGTTCATGGGTCACATATTACAGGTTACGGGTCACGGGTTACAGACCACGGGTCAAGGGTCACGGGTTATCGGTCATGGGTCACGGGTCATGGGTCATGGGTCACGGTTCACGGGTCACGAGTCATCGATCATGTGCCGTAGGTCACGGGTTGCAGGTCACGGGTCACAGGTAACCGGTCATGGTTCACGGGTCGCAGGTCACGGGTCATGGTTCACGGGTCGTTGGTCATAAGTCATGAGTCACGGGTCACAGGTCACGGTCGGGATCTCCAGGTCGGTGATGATGGGCTCACCAGACGCACGCGGGCTGACTGGCGTTGAGGTCGCAGCAGTGGTGGCCCCACCGTTCGTTCAAACGAACTGAATGGGGCACGACGGCACTGCCTTTTCCTCTTCGAAATATGTTGGGTGGTTTTGACAAGACATGACACATAAATAGACACATAAATGAGGCATGGACTATAATGTCTTTAACAAGATGAGGTTATGGGCGCTGAATGACCTACAGCAGTCGATGCGCCCTAAAACCCCAAATCATCATCATCATCATCATAACAAGATGAGGTTCAACAGACGTGAAACCGACAAGTATATTGGAAGTAGTCCTAAGACCCAATCGCTTGCACCAGGGTGAGCTAGCAGTCACGACAAATAAACTGTTTCCATTCTGGCGCTCTGACACTGAAACCTTCATGTACCCCTTAGAGGCCTCTATGGCTTTCTCGAGCGCGAGTCAACCTTCCTAGAATGTTCATACATAGGGTTTGTTTATCTAGGCGGTAACAGGCCTTGCATCCATTGACTCAGTGAATTACCGTCGTGTTGCTCACTAAAAGTGTCGTACATGTTAGTCATAGCTCCTGGTTGGGTTGCACTGTGCTGGGGAGATATGCTGGCAAAGTGTGTAGTAAGACCCCGTAAACCTACGGCCTGCATATGTCTTTCTTAGTCGAAGATCATGCGGCTCATCCCACCACCCGGTCTCCACATCGTGTGAGGCTGGCAGCCAGCGCATGGGTCTAGCTGTTAGTCCCGGCGCGTGAGACTAGCAGCCAGCGCATGGGACTAGCTGCTAGTCCCATCGTGTGAGACTAGAAGGCAGTGCATGGGACTAGCTGCTAGTCCCATCGTATGAGACTAGCAGGCAGCGCGTGAGACTATGTGTTAGTCCCCATCGTGTGGGACAAGCAGCCAGTGCATGGGACGAGCTGTTAGTGTCATCGTGTGAAACTAGCGCCCAGCGTATGGGACTAGCTGCCTGTCCTATGGTATGAGACTAGCACCCAGCGTATGGGACTAGCTGTTACGGCCATCGTGTGGGACCAGCGCCCAGATGACAAGTCTGGCGTACCAGGCGACGCGAAGTCAGGGGGCCGGGACCAGGGCCGGAGGAAAGCACGCAAGGGATGCCCCCCCCCCCCCCCGAAGCCGGACCGATCGGCACGGAACGGGCCGGCGGTGGCGTGCCGGGCCTGACCCAGGATCGACCCAGGAGGAGCAGGACTGGTGGGCCGGATGGCGGAGTATCGTGGTTCGCGTCATTAGCTGCCGATGGCCCGCGGGCAGTGGTGCCGATGTTTATGAATAATGGCTAATTGCTGCGAGGGGCGCAGATTACATATCCGGTTACATCAGCGATGCATTAGGTAATGAATTATTTATCAACGTCCCAATGTGAACATATCGTTCAAAGTTTTTTTAGCAGGGAAATAAAGAAGCGCACTTGTGTCGTAAAGAATTGCACGTATCTGCGCTATTTGGTTAGTATATCAGCTGACGTGGCCATTTGCAACATGCTAGCATAGATGTCTGTTTGTACAACATGCAAAACAAAACCAAGTGATGAAGTACAATCTCAGATGAGCGCACTCATTTCACTAACAGCTTTGTGACGCTGGCGTTGGTCTATATCTGATTTTGGTGTAGTTACAAAATGCCATGGAAATCACTTTATTTGAATATGACGGTTCGCATACGCTGGTCAATAACCTCGCTTGGTTTACATTTTGGATGAGAACGGTACTGAACTTGAAGGTGTTATGTAAGATTGTTGTTCCACTTACCAGTTCGCAACATCGTGCCTCTTCCGTTCCAGTGACCCAGATCAAAAGGTCAGCATGGTGACGCAATGGCCCATTTCGGCTGCATTGGTCGGCGTTCACAATGGCCTTGACTACACGTTGACCTCAAAAGGCCGATCAATAACGGCCCAGGCTGAGCGCGCCCGGTGTAACCGACCTGTATCGACCTAGTCCCGGACTTTTTGCCCGCAGGCCCGGTACTGACCTTGAAATGGCGTAGAGGTCAACGGCGCGCACGCGCTGTTCGCCGAAATTATTTCTGATCGACTTTGGGCGGACTGCGGCGATCAAATAAACATGAAATATCCCTGATCGATGGCGCACGAACGACCTGTTGCGGTTGAAACGACGACCGCAGCGGATGGTGGTATTGATGTCGTCAGGGGTGGCTGCTCGCGGAAAGGGCTGCCTTAGGATCGGTTTTGACAACGGTCTCGGACCCGCACCCGCTGTTAGGCGGCGCAGACAGAGGCGGTGCTGCGTGAGCTACCGCGGAAGAGCGGGCCGCTGCGTGAACTGTTGCGGTGTTGCCTTTTCCACAAGGTATTCAAACCAGAACGTGTTTTATGATCCTTCTGTCTGAATATTGCAGGCGACAATCTTGTGCATTGCGAACAGCGTCTACTTTTGTTATGGCGTGTCTCATGTAGTCGACTGCTGGATGGGAATGCAAAGCGCTATTTTTTCTTTCATCGCTTAAGAAGACTTTTTGTTTTTGTAGTAATCTGACTAGGAATGTTTTCTCATTCCGGCAAATCAATTTAAAATTTGTGACTTCCGCTGAGCTCTCAGTATAAATACATATTTGGACACCAAATCATTCATAGAAAATTAGGCAGTCGTTTTTATTACAGCTTTTCAGTGTAAAACATTCAGCATGTTTCAGAAAACCCTAATAAATGTAGCGGCCTTGTGCCACTTCAATTAAAGGAATTATCAAACCTATTTTGTACCATTTACTTAATGTTGCATGAAGCGCATGCGATATGACCAGTACTACTGGTTTCTAAAATCCTTTTGAGTAGCTCAGAATTTCTATTTGAAGTAGCTGACCCTGTGGGGGAAGTCCCATTTGGCTTCCTGCTCATCATTATGAAAGTAACACATTTCATTTGCCTTCCTTTTTCAACGTGTGTTCTGTAATGTTTGGAACACACCAATGCACCAAAACGTTTGTATAATAAATGCTAAGAAAGCTTGAAACACTGTTTAGACAAAAGTGTATATTAACATGAAAGTATTATCCCGCGAATACGACGCAATGCTATACTATGACTTTGATTTGATTCCTCCCCTATGGCGCTTACCACAGTCGCTCTTTTCGAGGCGCACTCTGGCTTTGGCCGTGGAAGTATCACATAATCCATGTGACACCCTGGTCCACAATTCGATCAATGCTCTTCTCGGTAACAGGCCTTTGCCCGCTGGGCCAATCACACACGCTCTTTTATTCGCACCAGTAGTTGTCAGTGCGCACGGTAGTTGGCATAACGATGGTGGTAGCCACTGCAGGGAAGAAACGTGCCGTTACAAAGCATTTGCAGCGTAATTTGGAATCGAAAATAATCAAAATTGAAATTCGTTTATGTCTTGACGGCGCTGCAGTGCCACTACCCAGTGCTACTATTAGACGTCACTGATCCCAGAGCATGGTTTTGAAGTATGCCCCAAAGGTGGGACACTTCCCTTACACGGAATGTTCCACAATTGAAGATATTGAAGCAAGCATCAGACATTATGACCTATGCTCACTTATAACTGCTGGTATACTTTCAAGTGGAGGAGGCTGTTCTATACAACGCGCTTTCTCTATTTAGGAATATGCTCCTCAATACGTTGTTGTTTGATCACCTCATCGTACCTTGCACAACATTGATTGAGAGCCAATTGACGTCCGTTATATCCGGAAGTCGCGCTTCTGAACTCCAGATATGAACGGCTTGATGATGATCTTTTTCTTAGCCTTGATCGCCGCACTTCTAATGGAATGGCAGGGTTTGAATAACGTTATTATGTCGTCATGGATGTCTGGGTGACATTGAGATAGCCTCTCCGAAAAAGTCTACATATCTTCGCAGGCGTGTAGCTCAGAATCTAGAAGGGTTCAAGTCTCAAGAAGGACGAGACTGTACACTGCACCAAATGATCTTCGAAATGGCTATTTCGGTTCAAAATTCCATACAAATGTGGAACACCCCTTTGGGTCTTTACCACTTAGTTGACTTCGATTAGCCACTTCGATAGAAAATTATTGTAAAATGCATGGAATGGGACAGCCGTTTGCAGTCGTCGTCCGTAAAAGCGCTACGCAAATATACGCGCACAATTATCATCACAGCTGCAAGTTTGCATCCAGAAATGTAGGGCGATATATCACCATAAATATATCAAGCAAGCACTGCTTGTTGCATGTTCTGTAGACAGAAAATGCCTGATAACAGCCTGTATGGATTTTCGACGACCTGGTTTGACTTAAGCCGACAACCCATGCTCTGACGGTCCCATGCCTGCGGTTTTCCGTGCATGCGGGAGCTCGAACAAAGCTGGAGCTACAATTATCCGTGGAATTGGCTCGCACTGTCTTGACCAACTTTGCGTCCCCAATAGGTCTGAACGGTCCGCATTGCGCTAACGCTTATGCTAATGCATATCATCAACAGGCCTAAAGGTAGCTAAGCCGTTAAGACGAGGACATGCATGCAATTGCACAGTGGTCTGCCTGGAGGTAATACGTGGTAAAGTGGTCCGCCCCGTCGACACGTGTCACACGGCTGTCTGTCCAGAGGTCACATGCGACATGTCAGTCAGTGCCGACGTGGCACATACAGCACAGCAGTCCGGCTCGACGTCGCACGTGGCACACGTGATGTCACAGCGGCACATGTGTCAGGACGGTCCGCGCCGGCATCGCGTGTGACACAGCTCTTCCGACCAGATGACTGACACGCTCACGGATCGTTAGACCGAGCCTCCTGCTCCCACCCAGCCCCGCATCTCGCCAATTCCCTGCGGTACTCGCCGGCAGTGGCTCCCCGTAATTCACGAAACGTCGCGGGTCTCCAGCGAGGTCGCCCCACCCACGCGCCGGCGGCTGGCCCTCCACCCAGCACGACCTGTCCGCTGCGTCGTGGAGCCTCCCCCCCCCCCTCGCGCGAGACCCCGGGTAAGACTCACGTCTCCAAACGCCTCCGTGCCGCCGAGAATGCCGCCGCTGGCGCGGGCGATTTCGCCGCAGAAGATCGGCTTCCCGTCCAGCGCCATCTCCACGTGTCGCGCGCCGCGGAACGAGTGGCACCGGGACTTGTTGTAGTTCTGCGGATGTCGGCGGCGTCATCAGCATTGGACGGGTACCGCCAAGGGGTCAGGACGCTTTGCTCCCCCTTGCAGGTCTTGGAGGTCCCTGGGCACGAGGACCTTGTGCTCTCTGATACGTCAAATCCCACAGTGCCCCTTGGTAGGATTCGGACCTCCCACCGGACGAACTCTTGTGTACCCCACTTTGTCGTTGTTGATATCGTATTTGGCATTGTTTCGTCATTCTGGGGCGAAACCTTGAACAAGCCAGCGAGTCGCCATTGCTATTGTCCTCTGCACGGTTTCTGTCAGCCGATAGATGTCCATATCACTACAGTCACCGGAAACAACACCACGTGTGGGGACAAAGCCCTCATAATGCCTGACATATAATAACACCCGCACAACCTATCCGACGTTATGGCAGTGCTTCCACGCTTGCGACTTCCATTGTGCAAAACGCCCACTCCTCCGTTACCCAGGTGCTTAATGGCAGCACCGGCGCAAACACGTGAGTATTTCCCTAACATTGGTAGCCGCCAGACGAGGCCCGTAAAGGACCGACGGGCACTGCATGCATGGCCCCGTCTGGCAAGGCAGGTCAGCCGGATGAATTCGGAAGCATCATGGAAATGCTTCAATTTTTTTGGCTGCGCACATCTCGATTAACTATAGCATGATAAGTAATATGATTTTAGTATAATTTTTAAAAATTGTAGCATTATATATATATATATATATATATATATATATATTCTAATGTCAATGATATAGTGAGTCTATGGATGGACACATAGTGCCACAATCGGTAACAGGTAAATTGAGACCTGAGCACTCTTGCACATATTTTTTAGGGCAGCTGTGGTTTTTACCGAAAATGAATTATCTGAAGCTCCAAGCCCATTGAGAAAAGTCTGCGGTGTTATGAACCTCAGGCTTGAAGTACATACATCAAACCTGGACACGTAGCAAATACAGTTTCCATTGACACAGAAGTCCAGAGCCGCAACCTGCACTCACTCTGGGACTGATAACAACTTTCACAGGTTTCCAAGGCAGAAAAGTGGAGGGTTTGTTTTACACCGAACGTCCCGCATTATTCTTCACTGGAACTGTTGTTGCAACATAACTTAAAACAATTAAAAGATAATTCCATTTCATTCTACAAAGTTACGGTAATAGCTGGCTTGGTAGTAAGCATTTGCCCGCACAATTTCATGTGGACAACAAGAACATCAAAATCCTACCCGAGAGCTGATATCAACCCTTACGAGGCACTTATGGCCAAACAAGTATTTATTAACATCTCCATACATCACGAGTCCGTTGCTGCATGGCAGCATTGCCCAACACTGCGCAACAAAGCGCAGCATAACCACTAATACGCTGGAGCAACAACGCTGTCGTACTACTGATTTGCTCAGGCTGTGGGTATGCTTCTCTTAAGGCACTGCTGTTATTTTCCTGCCGACGATTCAGGACATGAAGAACCCAGAAGCACATGCATGTCTCCGTTAGCGTCGACCAGTCTACGGCTGCACGCGAACATCAGCTTCAGATCCGCGAAACCTTCTGAGGGTAATCATCTACCCCCAGCTGGCCGCATTGATCGCTTGTTACGCTCTCGACAGGGTAGAGGGTTGACATAACCTCTCTCTCTTGTTGACGTATCTGTCGAGCCGTTTAACTGAGCGTAAAGTTTGAAATAACATCCACGTTAACCAGTTGTTTGAGTTTGGACCACGCCACAACATTGGGATGGTACTCGTAATCTCGTTCCCAAAAGTCTTCATGGCGAAGTGAGGCAAATCGTAGCGTTTCATGCAATCAATACCGCCGTCTTATCACACCAACACTTGTTATAGATTGAGGAGAGACTTTCCGCCTTCAGCATTACTCAAGTTTTGACCTTATGAAGGCATAAGGCCAAAAGCTCGAACACAATGCATCAAAAATATTTGGACAGAATGGGATTGCGCTTTCCAATTCCCCTGCAATACGTCTTCGATAAGCCGCATACCAGTACTCCGTCATATGCCTTTGCATTGCTTCGTGCAGGGGTCTATCTTCTGAATGCTTATGTAACGGATCAAGTCCTTGACTTTCATAACTTGCACCTCGTGTCGAGGACACATCCAAATTTGTCAGGATACGCAAGATAAATTAGCCCACTAGGCCAATAAAGCAGGGGCAAGGTGAAGGAAATGGACTCATTACCAGAAATTGCACTGCTATTAAACGCTACCTTTACTTTGTGCCAAGCCAAAAGATCGCTAACGCCATCTATCGGGAGGTTTAATGTCATCGTCCTGCACCAGTGCGCGGTGATGACATTCAAGAGCCAGTCAAAGTAAAATCAATGACATCAATACCGCACAAAATCAAACTCCATCAACTAGAATGAGATCCACTTACGTGCTTATCGAAATGAGCGCCGCAAAACAATCCTTATGACCGTGCAGTGCATCAGCAACAATTCGAAGCCATCGATGATTTTTGATCAACCGATCGATCATTTTGATCAACCGATCAATAGACTATAGGTGCGAAGTAGTCGTCCAAGGTCGAGGTACGGGGCGGCGTCGCAGAATAGCAAGGCATGACCTTTTAGTACTCCTTGGGCGCAAATGGTAGATTATTTGGATTAGAGCCAGGTTTTCTTTGCTCGTGCATGCAAATCAACACAGGGGCGACAACAACCGTGCTCTGACCTCCATTGACCTGACGTAACAATCTGACCATCAGAAGTAGGCTACCATCACCGCTAGAATTTGTAAATCCCGCATTGGACAACCACTTAATTGGTGTACGAATTTTTATCTTTGCTTATCGGATGATATACCAAGACGGGTCAGAAGAGTTAGACGAATGGCTAGAAGGGTTAGGGGGAAGAGGGGAAGAGGGGAAGCCCGGAAGAGTTAGACTTAAAACGCACCCCACGTACTGTACAGAAGGTGGCGAACCGCCTAAGCTGAGGTGTCAGCTACATGAACACCGACCGCCACTTCGCCACCGGCATCGCAGGCAGCCAGGATGTCAGTAGGTCAGCCGGGAGCGGCGCCACCCACATACGGCGGTGCTGCCGCCGGGCCTTTCAGCGACGGCGGCATGGCTGTTGCGCCTCTTTGTTTATGCTTTTCAGGTGAGAGCTATTGGCTGACAAGTGTGTGCTAAAGGTCCAGTAGTGTAGCTGAAGGCTATGTGTGTACCTGAAGAGGACGAAACGACGAACAACACAACACACAAAGGCACAAACAACGCTGAAAAAGGTGGAGAACCGCTCAAAACTGTAGAAAAGAAACTAGAGACTAATAAGAAACGCGAAACTAATAAATCAAAAGGCCCACAACTCTGCAAGGACGAGACGAATAATCACCTAACCACAGGCGTAGCCCCCCCCCCCCCCGCCTAAGACTTCTGACGTAAGAGGCCAGCCACCACCGCCCAGGGTGCGCCAGGCTGGGTGCCAGGCTGTGCGCCTGCGCCTGAGCGCCCGCCAAGGTCACTCACCCACACGCGCAGCATAGCCAGCTGGCATTGCTGGGGGAAGCCGATGTGGACCAGGTGGTCTCCCCCGGGGCTGAAGGGCGCCAGCCAGAGGTGCATGTCGTCCCTGGTGCGGTACACGCCGTCCGTCAGATTGGCGACCACCCGCGGGTCGCCGCTGTACTCGTCCAGCACGTTGATGTCGGCCGGGTCGGCGCTGATCTGGAAGTGGGGGGGGGGGGGGGGGGGGAGGGGAGGGTAAGGGGGTCAGACGCGACTGGGAGGTTATTTGGTCAGTGAGCGTCGTCGAGCGCATGACACGATATAACGCATGCAGGCTTGTGATGAGGGTCGGTCTAAAATGTTGTCGTGTGTGAGGTGTGGTATGGTTCATTCAGTGCCATAGTAATTTGATGCTTCATTGGACGCATTGGATGAAACGATAGAAACGGTCAACCGCAAAGCTGAGTTACGACCAACTTCGATATGTAAATTAAATCTTTATAGTCAGCTAGTCTGACCTTGCGTGATTTGAAGTCGTTGGGCGACATCAGCCGGTGCACTCTCTTAAAAAGCCTTGGCCGATATCAGGACAATTAATGCCAGCTGTTGACATCATGCTCTTATATGCTGTCTGCGTAATAAGCTTCGCCTGCTCAACCCAACCATTGAAAGCCTGACCCGGCCACCGCCCCAATTGGCGACCCCATTCCCGCTGCAAACTCGCTCAGAGCTTTGTCCGATTCGGTGGCACTACCAGAACGAACGCGCGACCTTGAGCCCACCTTCTCCGCCTTGATAGGCTCCCCAGAGGCGGAGAACATCTCGATCCCGTTAAGCCCCACGTAGTGGCGGTCGCCCCACGTGCTCTTGATGTTGATGGTCAGGTTCTTCCCCTTCGGCAGCTCGGGGATGAAGAAGTCCTCCTCTTCAGCGTTGGCCTCTGAGTGCTCGTCCACTTGCGGTAGCGTTGCCAGTTTTGCGCCCGAAAATCTGGCGAAAGGTTGTTCACGATGTAATACTTTGGCATCATGCACTGATATGAACAAATTCACAGCACATTACACGGGTTTAGGTGCCTATTCGGTTGAGGGCCGACCGCCCCCCCCCCCCCTTTCACACCCCAGCTTGGGATTCAGGCTCCCTCAACCTTGGAAAGGAAGTGGGCAAAATCCACAGACAACCTGTTTGTTGACATATTTGGAGCAACTTGTGTCATGTTTGCGCCCCAGTCCCCAGCCTTTCACTCCCAGTCAGTCCCACCTCAGTCCTCCAGCCGCTCACTCCCAGTCAGTCCCACCTTAGTCCCCAGCCGCTCGCTCCCAGTCAGTCCCACCTCAGTCCTCCAGTCTTTCGCTCCCAATCAGTCCCACCTCAGTCCCCAGCCTTTCGCTCCCAGTCAGTCCCACCTCAGTCCCCAGTCGCTCGCTTCCAGTCAGTCCCACCTTAGTCCCCAGCCGCTCGCTCCCAGTCAGTCCCACCTCAGTCCCCAGCCGCTCGCTCCCAGTCAGTCCCACCTCAGTCCCCAGCCGCTCGCTCCCAGTCAGTCCCACCTCAGTCCTCCAGCCTTTCACTCCCAGTCAGTCCCACCTCAGTCCTCCAGCCTTTCGCTCCCAGTCAGTCCCACCTCAGTCCTTCAGCCGCTCGCTCCCAGTCAGTCTCATCTCAGTCCTCCAGCCTTTCGCTCCCAGTCAGTCCCACCCCAGTCCCCCAGCCGCTCGCTCCCGCTCAGTCGCGGTGGCCAGCCGTTGCTCACCTGTCCTTGGTCGGCATGTACATGTGCATGACGTCCGCCGTGTCCAGCTGGACGCTGCTGATGCGGCCTCGCTGCTGACGATTGAAGGCCTGCAGGTGGCCCCAAGACTCCTCCAGCGAGGTCAGCCGGCCGGCGCCGCCCGTCAGCCCTGCCGGACGGACGCAGCAGGTCATCGGTGGCGTTGCCGCCTGGTCTGGGGGCGGCCGCACCAGCACCGGCCTCCGGTCCGAGGGACAACCGCAGGTCACCAGCGTCGGCCTCCGGTCCAGAGCAACCGCAGGTCACCAGCACCGGTCTCCGGTCCAGAGGCAACCGCAGGTCATCAGCGCCGGCCCCCGGTCCAGGGGTGGCTGCAGGTCACCAGCACCGGCCTCCGGTCCGGTTCGGTTCAAAAGCTCATAGACCCAGACTAAAGATCGGATCCGCTTGGATCCGGATTTTTGTGTGACCCGGAATGTTGGCGACTCAGGTCACGTTCCCCTACCCTCCCGACGTCGGAGTCGATGAATGGTGTCATTATCATCCTTCCTGGATGGCTGCCCTGAACAACATTACCCATCAGCTCTGGAACAACGTTGGCAGCGGCGTTAACCCTCAGCAGGTCGTAAGTCACACGTAGTGATACACCCGCTAAATGCGGTCCTAAGACCTTCAATATTACAGCTTCCGATACTGCAGACATCATTCACATCGATTATGTGAACCGCCACGCCTTCCAAACGTGCCTGTCAGAAGCCAAGCCAGCGGCAGACCGTGGTCGTTGGTGAGCTTCATCACCCCGGTTCGGGTCTTACCGGGGCTGGAGGCCATGGGCGAGATGGGAGGCTGCGACGGCAACGTGTCCAGCCAGTCCTCCGGTATCACCTTCGGCGAGTTGAGTCGGCCGCTGGACGAGTCTGCCGGACAGCGGCGGCGTTAGCCAGCGCGCAAGGGCTCTTCCGTGAGGGTGGTTGACAAACAGAGTGTGGAGTGGTCGGATGACAAGCAATTGGCTGAGGAGCTGTGGTGTCTTGTAGCAGGTGAAGGAAGATTGCGTCGCCTAACACCACGACACATGAGTTTCCCATCGCTAGTGCAAGGATTTTGTTCCGCTTGCACGCTGCTAATCTATTTAACCATCATTTCAGTCAGCAAATTGTTTCTTTGGATTGGTAGGAGCCGCAGGGATTTATGGCTCTAAAACTCCTGTTCATAACTGCCTGGGCTGTCAAGCTGACGCTAAGAAATATGACCCGTTTACTTGCTCGTTGCAAAGCACCCGGCAGGCTACCATCTGTACTTCCCGCCGCTGTTTTGGGTCACGTCACGTCATTAACGCCAAGCCTGTCTCCGGTGGAGCGCTTCGCTGGAACCTGCGGCGCATCCGTGACTTGTGCCGTGTCCGAGGCCTTCGTGACGCCGGCTCTGGACCCGCCCAGGCGCCCGGCGCGAGCCCGCTGGCATAGCACATCGATACGCTGCCCGGCGCGGTGCACAGTGGGCCAGGCCCACAGGGCGGGACCCAAGGCGCCCGGCGCACAGCGGGACCGGCTCGGCGGCTTGTGACGCTTTCGGTGAACCGCGGGGGGCTCGGCTACCCAACTAGTGAGCAAAGCGAACACATTGATCTGCATAAAACCAAGTGCCTCGCCTTGCTCTTTGGGTAATGAACAGGAGACAATACTATCGTCATGCTTATGCAACATAATTTCACAGAATGTGGCATAAACGTGTGACAGCTTCTCACGACAACTAATCATCCTCGTGAGTGTCCACATGACAAACGTCTTCTGATTCTTTTCCTACGAAATAGTGTTGACCAAAGACACATAAATAATCAGCACTGACACACTCGCAAACATAAAACCAGTTGATGTTGTCCCGAGTCGTAAAAAGATAGATTAACCCACGGTCAGATCTGACGATTACAGACCTGTCTGGTACAGACCTGTCGGGTACAGACCTGACGAGTACCAAACTGACGAGTACAAACGTGACGAGAACAGACCTGACGGATGCAGACCTGGCAAGTACAGACCTGACGAGCACAGACTTGACAAGTGTACGACTGACGGGCACATACTTGACGAGTACATGCCTGGCGAGAACATACCAGACGAGTACAGGCCTGACAAGTACAGACCTGACGGGTACAGACCTGGCGAATACAGACCTGACGAGCGCATGCCTAATGGTTACAGACCTGAGTACAACATATCTGACGAGTGCAGACCTGAGGCGTACAAATCATACAGACCTGACGAGTACAGACCTGAGGAGTACACATCATGCAAACCTGACGAGTACAGGCCTGAGGAGCACAAACCATACAGATCTGACGAGTACAGACCTGAGGAGCACAAACCATACAGACCTGACGAGTACAGACCTGAGGAGCACAAACCATACAGACCTGACGAGGCGGTGCCCGTGTTGCGGGAGCTGTCCGGGGTCTTCGGCGTTCCGAGCGCCCGCCGTCCGAACCTGGCGGAGCCCTCCCGCCGCGGCCGGTCCGCCTCTAAGCCCTCGTCTCCTCTGGAACAACATCAACTTGGGGACTGGAGAGCTATCGGAGTCGCGTGCTTTCATGTGAACGGGGTTTGAAGATTTGCGACTGGTGTGTTATGTAATGTGGACAAATTTACACCCAGTGCCTTCCAGTGTCGGACAGCAGGGCGGGTGTTTAAGTAGGGCTACACGAGTTGGCAGCCAAAGACCGCACCGGGCACGCCAACACTAAGCCGATCGCTTGGACTCGTCTGAATCCACCTGCAATCGATCCTTGCCGTCATTTATGAGTTACATGGCCGTTTGTAGTGAGCTTCCACCTGTTACTTCCGAAAACCCTCAAAACGCGTGAAAGGCTCGCACACACAACGGAGGCGACGTTATGGCGGAGCTTTGCGCTTGCAAGGCGTCATTAACATATGCTCAAGACTTCCAAAAGCGATATCTCTTTTATGGCTTAATCTGGTTTTCACAACCAGTTTTGCGAATGGCCGCAGCTGACCTGCGCGTCACATGCCCAGGCCATTTCTGCCCGGCATGCCTCCCGTCCTGTCTGACGTCAGCAATTCGCCGCGCGATGAACGAATTGCGCTCTGAATGGGTACAGCCTGAAATGCGACACGCGCTTCTGTGCGCCGTCCAAGGCGGCTCGGGGAAGCTCGCGCCATGACCACCCAAAGAACGACGGGAGCGGGGCGCGCTGTGGGCGCCGCCTGCCATTTACGGTTGGCACCATGCCAACCGCCGCACCAACACGACACTTCACCATGTCACGGCAGCATTAGCGGGCTACTCACGGACCTGGCGCCGTGACTGACCGCTGGGACCGGCCTTGTTCGGCAGACGTGTATGAGGTCTACTTCTGCATCCAGGTGTGGTAACGGATGCCTAGTCCGCTGGTTTTAACAGCGCACGTAAGGCGGAGTTATGAGCGTAACTCACAGCCTGGCTTCCTCCTTTTCACACCGCGAGCTCCATACAATGACCCTTAAACGCCCGTAACCCAAAGAGATTTATGCTTCAGAAACCAGGCCTCCTTGTTTCCCCTCCTCTGTTCTCCCTCCCACGGTCGCCTGTGACTTCATGGGCTGCCTCTTTGACCTGTGCTTACCTTCCCCCTCCCTCGCTCCAGCCTGCCTACCCTTTACCAGCCGAGCCGTTATCAGGTCCGAGCCAGCCGCCGCGGCGGCCGTGCGGCCAGTGCCGTCACCACAGCGGGGGATCGATTCCGTCCTTAATTACAGGGCCATCGCGGCCGCTCAGCTAATCAATGGACACTAAGTCCGGATGCGCCAGCGGCGGCGCGGCACTTGGGACCGTACAATCCGCAATTGGGACGCCGCGTTAAAACACCCAGCATGATGCCGTTGCGCAGCCTGTTCCGCGATTCCTGAAGGGGTCGCAATATCTAGCCTCGTTGAGCGAATGGAGCAGGGCTGGCATGACCTGAGCGGGTGTCCCGGTCGTAACGTACAGTTGGCGCGCCGGCGGCACCCATCGGGGGCAGTGGGCTACCGGGCGCCGACGGCCCACGACCGGCCAAATGACGCGCACGTTACAGGAACAAGGGCACGGAAGTGAGGTCAAGGCACATCGATTGAACGGGGCGCTGTGATATGGATCTTGACCTGTGCTCTGCTGAAGTAAAGAGGGGATGTCAGAGGGAAAGGACATAGTTAAATGGAACGGCTAGGCCTACGAAAGCAGTGTTCGTATTTAACTTCTTTTCAAGCGGGCAGAATATCCTTATTACGAAAAGCAGCTGGTGTCACAAAAAGCAGCTGGTGAAAAGTAGTTAGCGCCGCAAGGAGTACCCAGCTTCCAGAATGATGACGCTTTTGAGCGTTGTTTTTGTCTCCAATGCTATGGACTAAAACGCTTTAATAATTAAGTGCAGTCTAATGATGCCAGCTCGCCACCTCGTCCGTAGTTAGGCCAATGCATGGCATAAGTTTGCCACGTAAAAAATAAAACCCCTGGGAAGAATATAAGTACCATATTGGTAAGAAGGATGTTTCGCTATGTCGTAGATGCTTAACTAAAAACGTTTTAATGGCCTCAACCTCTTCAAGAGATAGACAGCTGCCGCTATTGAACTGCTGTTGTTTTGATGGGTTGGGTCCTACAAAAAAACCTTTCCAATTTCACCTTTCCTAAGTCGAGAGAAATTAGAGCTAAATGCAGCTGTTTTCAACACCTGGTACAAGTGAGACAGGCCTTGAGCTCCAAGCTGTTCGAAATCATGAGTCTTAGATTTATTATGCTAAAAAGAATTTACCTTTAATTTAACAGGAGGTAGTTGCAACGGCGTCATCAAGTAAACACTGGCTATACTGTTGAAACCAAATAAAGTTTTGACATCATATACTGTAACCAATCTTTGCTTGATAACATCGCTGAACCATTTCCTCCTGGCATCCTGAAGGCCGCCATCCAAGCTCACAACGTTTTAAACAGCACATTCAATTTTGTCAATTTTGCGTCGTTAACCGTCGATAATAGCACTTTGGACTTGATGTGAACACCTCAGTGGAGCTCTTCACCTTACAATGAGCCCATGATAATGCCAGCATGTGGCAGAATTTTTTGAGACACAAAGAGGACGTCCTTGGCAAAACTACAATTGGCGATCAGTTAGGAGACCATGACGCATATATCTGTACATGTGACTAAACAATCGTTCGATAATACCTATCCCTTGCAGGAGGGAAACGGAATAATCTGCGTTTTAATTCATAGGTATAACAGTGCTAGAAGCAAAGTGCAATTACATCTGAACTAGTGGAGTATTGCCTCACGGCCTTTCTCGTGATTTCATTATTTATGTAAAACACTTAGATAAATGAGGCAGCCCCTCATGGCAAACGGCGAGGTTTTTATAGCTCCAGGTGATCTCATCAAGTCGACCAAGCCGCGGCGGTAGCGTAGCCTCTTAAGAGTCGGACAGAAACAGACCACTTGTCAGAAGTCGCTTCTCATGCAATACGGTAGGCTTGGAGTCAATCGAGACCCAAGCCTGGAGAGCTACTCCCCTCCCCGTCCCTGATCCGCTGCCCCTGCTAACCCGACTGACCGCGAAGAGCGGCGGCTGCCGGGGGTCAGGTCGAGGTCAAGGTCGTCGGACCGGTGTCGGCCGCAGCCGGAGCTGGTACGCAGACGGCCAGGTCCTGCCAGGTCCAGGTCTAGCACCCGCGGCGCCGGCTCCGCCGTGCGCATGGACGCCCGCTCCTGGGACGACGATCGGGAGGTCCTGCCGACGGGAACAGCGGAGCGTCATCGTCGCCATCCTGTGGGGTGAAGGGGTGGAAGGCCTGGCCTTGGTGCAAACGCCTCCCAGCGTTTTGATAATGCGATCATACTTGTGGTCTTGAGTGGAGAGAGGTGGGAATTGGAGGCATTGTCTTTTAATAAGCTCTTACGTTCGTGTACAAGCGTTTCACCACTCCCTCTCTCTCTCTCCCTCTCACTCTCTTTTTCTCTCTTTCTCCCTTTCTCTGTTGCCCTCACTTTTTCTCTTCCTCGACCCCTTTCATTTCACTCCTCCTTTTAATTATTCCTTTCGCCCAGACCCTAGCCTTGTTTACCATCTATGTCTCGTTGTTGCACACGGCCTACTTGTCCTCACCTCTCACACTTGACCATCGAGTCGAACCATTTTGGCACATTGTTCATGCTGCTGGAGCTGGAGACCGTCTGCCTCTCATCGGAGAACACCTGGTGAGCACAAGCTGGGTCAGTGTGGAGACAGCGTGGGGAAACCATCTGCACTCCACCATCTTTTTCTGTTCTGTGACGTTTGATGAACATTGAGGTGTTGTGTGCATGACGGTGGTGCTTGTTACGCGCGAACATCCACATCAGACAAGTCTCTGAAATGAAGGCAATGTTAAATCACCGCCCATCCCGGCTGCCTTTAAGTCGTTTGAGCATGCTTTCTTTGAACCGTTGATATCTTCACATCTTAAGATCTGTAACGTTTGATAGCTGCTGTTCCTATTGATTGAGCTCGGCACTGTGAACAGGTCGTGCTAACCACCTGACGATCGGTGAACCCGAGACGGGTTCAAAACCGGTTGTGCGAATAAACATAGCCACTTTACATCCCGTCTTTACTGAGCACTAAAAATTTTAGACACGCTTTTACTCAGCAGCAGGGCACCTTCCGCCAGCCACGGGAGCTCCATGTTCTTGCACTGACCTGGAGGCTGTCCATCTCCGACGTCATGGCCTGGACGGGCGTGGTGCCGTTCCAGCTGGACCTGGGCCGCGACTCTAGGCTGTCGGCCCTTGCCCAGGACGCTGGCTGCCGGAGAGACGGTACTGTAGATGGGGGCGGGGATCAGGAGGCCCCGACAGGCCCCGACGGTACCCTCCGAGGTGCGTCCACAGCGGCGACCGTCTGGGGAGGGGGCTTACCCTTTTCGCTGTCATTGTCCGGATCTAATCGAATCTAATCGCCAGAATGAAGCAAATCCTACCGGCATTTTACAGCCACGATAATTGCTCGTAAAATGCTGTACAGACTTCTATCCATTTCAGCCGGGTCAAGTAATGTTCACGCTCTGCGCTGGTACCGAGTGCCACCTCGTAACGCCCATTCCCTAGAACGCAGGGCGGCAAATTATGCAAAAATATGCGTTAGTCATTTCACTATCAATTGTAAAGGCATGTGTCGAACACTCGTCGCACCAAGTGCGTTTATAAATGCCACGCCATTGCGGTAAACTGTTGCTTTGGTATGATTCTTCGTCAACAGAAATCTAGGTTCCGTCCGAAAAAGCTCCACTTTTACAAAAAGAGCAAAAGCCGCCAACGTCTTAAAAGATGTTCCATTGAATGTCACGCTCACGTTTGTCATTTCAGGCATCGGAATCCCAGAAATTGCAGCTCTCAGCTAAGTGCCTAAGTGTTTGGTCAGTGTGTGGGGAACACTTATGCATAACTGAGTCACACGTCCAAAACCTGCAATGCATATGATGGGCTACACGCTCCATCCACAAGAGGCAAACAGTCACGAACACAATTTCATTTCACTGACAGCTGACCAATCATTGGTTCAGCAAGCCAACCTCGGAGGCTTGAATTCAACAGCGAACCTGGCGTCAAAATCGATGTGTGGAGTGGACGTGTTTTCGCGGATGGTGCGCTCCAACCCGGTTATTTCTGCTCGCCAGCGCCATTTTGAAAACATGAGTGCTGGTGTGAATGCGTGTTTTCGAAATGCGAGTTTTCGAAAACAGAGCGGTGCGGTGGTGCGCGCCGAGTACGTTTGTTGGAGTGGCAGTCGCGTGCCTCTGATATGTGATGATCCATATTCCAAATCCGTGTTTTGAATGCATAAATTTTCGCCGGTGCCTGCTCATATACAGCAACATTCTGCTTTTAGTTGTTCTTAAGATGCGGGCGAGTGCTACACAAATGATGTCCCTTTTCAGCCCACATACAAGAGAAATGGTGACAAACACGGTCGCTGTTTTTTGTTTTTGTTGTTTTTTTTTATCAACTTAGCGCTGCGCGCAGCAGCTTATCAGCTATTCCGCCCTTCGTAAGTGGGAACTGCACGCTTTTTCGGCGTTCTAAGTGTCTTATTTTGAAACGTAAATGTTTTGTTGCTCCAACTAGCTCATGTAATATATGCTTCAAAGCCCGTCGTGCAAAGAGATATCCTCAAAGCGTTTTTCTGAAGTAAGACGGAGGGGGGGGGGATTCAAACGCTGTGTCCGATCCCAGATAGGCATTTACCTAAGCTACCCCAAATGTGGATTTCCCACGCCGTGAGAGTTTGTCTTCTAACTTAACTTTTCTCCTGTGAAGGTGTTTTCTCCTAACTTAAGCTGTCAAAAAATTGTTAAAAATGTATGATATAATAAGTTAAAACAATTATGTCCGATCCCAGACGTGCATCCACCTAAGCTACCCCAAACGCGGACTTCCCGCACAGTGGCGGTGTGTTGGCCTAACCCAACTTTTCTCATGTTAGGGTACGTTATCAAAACTTAGCTTGACATGGTAAGAAAAAAATGGTTTTTTTCTGATGCACTCGGTTATCAGTATCACACACGCGCCATCTTGCTGCGACAGAAATGCTGCGCCGCAATCGTTAGACTATCCCACGACATTGCACGGACGTGACGGTGCGGCACAGAACTATCATCAAACGCTTGAAAAAACAGAATTGGATTATTCTGCCCTGACACGATGGCGGTGACTGACGCTATTTCCGATGCATGGATGCCGGACTAAAGCCTGCAAGGTTACATAAGTCCCTATTGCCTTCAGCATCGATCAGTGCGCATCAAGAACGCGTGTGTATATCGTTACGCCTCGCAAAAATGACACTAATAGATCCATCCGATCCCATAAATGTCACCAGAAATCATGCCGGTTGCGCTGCAGGGCACAAGTCATTGCCGGCGTGTCAACACTCGCCAATGTGTGGGCGCATTAGCGGCGCGGGGTAAGGGTGCTGTTGACAATGCTTCACTCGCGCTTGGGGCCGTCGCGGCTGTTCCAATGTGTGCATTCACCGGCCGCCAACCACCGCCCTGACAAGCGAAGGCGAACAAGGAAAAAGCCTGTCTCGGTGGAGTTGGCATAGCTAAAATGAATGCAGGTGTACGGAACATTAAGAAGACATTTGGGGTATCATCCGAAGGTAAATGGGTGATATTTTACGCCAAGTACTACGCGCACATCCGCAAGTATGCAATCAGTGTGAATGGATACACGGTCCTTTGAGCGAAGCCGAATGCTTGGCCTCATGCTCACGCCAAAGGCCACTTACCTCTCCGTTCTTGCTCTCGTCTCTGTCCATCGCCTGCTCCTGTTTTCCACAGGCCCCAGCCGGACGTCACTCTCTCCGAACTCCTGATCGGGGTGCACCATCCGAGTCGGCGCCGAGCAGGAGTAGGGGCACAGTTCAGCACTCAGCCGCTGCAGTGTGGTCGCGGACTCTCGATGGACACTGAATCCGGGTCATTGCCTTCCTGTCCGTTGATGGTGGTTGGTCCGCACGCTGGTCCCGGACGACCTGGGAGGAGGCCGGATCGTTCCGGACCTCACTCACCGCACGACGTGGTTCTAAGCGGAGAAAGATGCAGCGGCAAGCGCTTCTCCACCTGCCGTGTCTGAAGCTCGCCGCTCCCTGCCGGACTCAGCACGCTCCTGTTCACCCGGACGTGGCGTCGCTGTCTCCCCGGCGCGTGCGGGAAGTCCAGCGGCTCTGCCAACGTGCCGGTCCGAGCCCAGCCGCGTCCCCAGACCTCGGCGGTTCCCCTCTTCTAGAGGCCAGCTGACGGCCGGTCGGGCGCGGGAAGTCCAGCCGCGTCCCCAGAACGCGTCGGCTCCCCTCTTCTAGAGGCCAGCTGACGGCCGGTCGGGCGCGGGAAGTCCAGCCGCGTCCCCAGAACGCGTCGGCTCCCCTCTTCTAGAGGCCAGCTGACGGCCGGTCGGGCGCGGGAAGTCCAGCCGCGTCCCCAGAACGCGTCGGCTCCCCTCTTCTAGAGGCCAGCTGACGGCCGGTCGGGCGCGGGAAGTCCAGCCGCGTCCCCAGAACGCGTCGGCTCCCCTCTTCTAGAGGCCAGCTGACGGCCGGTCGGGCGCGGGAAGTCCAGCCGCGTCCCCAGAACGCGTCGGTTCCCCTCTTCTAGAGGCCAGCTGACGGCCGGCCAGTCCGAGCCCAGCCGCGTCCTGAGACCGCGTCGGTTCCTCTCTTCTAGAGGCCAGCTGACGGCCGACCGGGCGCTAGCACAGGGCCGCCGTCCTCAGATGTGACCGGGTGTTGGCGCGCTTCGCCATCCAGTCCCAGCTCCCACGGTGGCCTGAGAACGAAGTGCCGTCCTGCTTCACGCTTCTCTTCCTTCCACTGCTCCACTTCTCTCCCATCCAGCGCTTTCCCCGTCCGAAGCCGGCCAAGCAACGCGAGCCGCGTTGACCAGCCAGCGACTGCGGCGAACCGCGCTGCCCCGCGGCCGCCTCGCGCGAGCTCCGGGGAGCCTGCGGAACCAGCCTCCAGCGCACCGCCGCTAAGGCTTACGTAGCTGGCGCGGCTGGGTGCAGGGAGAGCTAGCCTGTAGCAGGTGGCGCTCGCTCGGCGGACGGCTCGGCGTCACCCGACCTGACTTACACTGCTGGCGGGGCACACCTGGCCCGCCCGACCTTAGCATGGTCGATCATCGTCATGACAACGCGGATAACACGACAGAAACAGCTGGCTGCCCGCTGCGGGTGTAGCTGTCCCCTCCCCACACCCGCCGGCCGTCTGCAGCACGACGCGATGGGGGGCGGAAGCGGACCACAAGCGGCGTGTCAGCTGACCTTGCTGTAACGCTCGTGCGGTGGCGAAACCGATCGATCCGCCCACTGAATTAGATCCGGCGATCAATGTGTGCATGGCAGTGCACTGCCGTGTCACGACATGGTCCGCCATTGAGTCGGATTGGACGGTGTGATTGATGGCCAATGGCCGGTATGACCTTGGTTATGGATACGGATCGCTGATTTCTGTGGTCGGGTTTCAATCCCATCTTGGAACGATTCACCACAACGAAATAAGTATGTTTTCTAGGTGCAAATTTGTTTACTAAGTGCAATTTAGGTTTATTAGATGCAAGCTTACGTTATGCTCTTTCGATTAAAGCGTCACTTTTACTTCCACCTCAAGATTGTCCTGTACGCTGTGAAGTCTGCAACTCGCTGGTCTAAACAAACAAATGTACCGGTGAGGTCGCCTGACGGAACTTCGTAATGGCAACGTATTAGTCCGCCGTGTTGTGGCCGAATGCAATGAGAAATAGCAATATTTCAAGGCACTTTGGGTTGAAAATTGCTTCGGTGATTTACTTAATTAGAAAACTGATATTGAGTGCGAGTCTTCCACATATTATATGAAAAGCAATTGCCATTTCGAGGACGTGTATCGATCACTTAGAGCTACATTTTGGTAGTTTTGTCATCCCCAGCGTGGTAGGAGTGACCTTATGGGCATCGTCAGCTAACAGTCAAATTTTCATGGCAAAACTTAAAAAAGCGAGGTGGCATTACCTCCAGAATAATATTTCCTGCCAAGAAAGCAGACTGAGTGGGTCTTTCTTGAATCGTAATAAAACGCCTAGATTAAGCAGTACGACCGGCGACATGAACAGCTTACCGCACTCTCTTTCGGTTAACATGTGAAAAGTGATGTATGTTCATTTTAAAAGGGGCGACGCAGGCGCGTAAAAAAACAGGTTCAGATGTTGGCGATCCGTGGTCGCAGCGACACGAAGCGACCTAGCACGTCTGATGGTGGGGAGGAGTCGGATCGGCAATATTCCTGATCGATATCAGCGGTCGGTCACGCGCGGTTGGACGCAAACATCAGTCCGCCATTGTTTAAAGAATTGGGGTCGGACAGCAGGAACTAGAGCAGATAACGGCTTGGAACCAATTACATCGCATGGTTGAACTGCTCGCGTCGCATATATAAATATATGTATGCACACGCACACACACACACACACACACACACACACACACACACACACACACACACACACACACACACACACACACACACACACACACACACACACACACACACATATATATATATATATATATATATATATATATATATATATATATATATATATACGTAAATTCTCCGTTTTAAGTCGATTCTCCGTCTGAAAATCACCGAAGGCTCTCAACGCTCTCCGTCCCCTAGGAAGGCCAGTACTCCAGCGCGGGACGGGCCAGTGTCACCATGCCTCGAAGCCCGTCACCGATGCTCCACGCGGTGGCCCAAACGACGATAACGACGAGGGATATCACCCGTCGGGAAGCGGCTGGCGGATTAGAAGTAAGTCCGCCTTAGAGGAGTGCATCGGCACCCCTACTGCTCCACCGACAACCATCAGGCTCAGTAAGTGGCTGGCATGGGTGGGGGCTTACGCTTGCCCGGTGCTCCTACATTTGACACTGGCGGGGGTTAAGCGTGGATAATGGTGTTACCGGTCTCGAGAAAAAGGATAATGCTTGGAACAAGAAATGAATGCTTAAAATCTTGGCGGTCTTTTTGCTACCACGCAAACATTGACATTGACATCGTACCCCCACATGACATGAAACATATGCACTGACTCATCATTTATCCACAGTAAGTTGACATCTGAATGCAAGCACCGTTTTCGATTCCCTCGTTTTTGCGGTGAGTCTAAACCCCCTCGTTATGTCAATTTCCGGTATTCGACAACACGGGCTGAATATTATGTTGTCCTGGAAGATGGGAGGGCAATGCCAACTGGCCCCTCCCCGCTCTGACGTCTATGAGTCGGTCCGCGCTACACGGGGTGGATGGGTTGGCCAAAGTCATGGCGGACCCATTACCCGTTTGGGAAACGAGGTCCATACACTGCACTCAAATGGAGCAAACTTGCGCAGATTTAGGCGCTTCCAGAGTCCTTGTACTGGTAGGGGCCACCGTCCCACTGACCCTCCCTGGATCCAGTCTCTCCAATGACCACGTCTGTCTGAGGATGGGACAAGGAACCGTACATATCTTGCCTTCCCGATGGCGCCGCCCAGTGGTATAAATAGCGATGCTTTCACTTTGGCGCTACAAATGCCCGTTGTCTTTGGTAACAGGGGCTTTTTAAACGTGGGAACCCATTTTGATGTCTCGTGGCCCGCGGAGCTATTTGTGATGTCTCAAAACCCCTACGAGTTTGTTCAAGCTGCCAAGAAGTTTCCTGGGGCTCCAGTCCCAGGGGGCCCCACCACTTACAGGCGGGCCACGTCCTAAAGATTCCGCATGGTCACGTCTTTAGCGCTGTTGCTCTTCTTCCTCAAAGGTCATATTCGTAGTAATCTGTGCCGTAATGTCAATTTGACATAAATGAATACTGGATCCGATATAATAGACCCCAACCATCACCAAGCCTCGTGGAGGACAATAAGCATAGACGCCAAGACGTCGTTGTATACTTATGCATGACCACGATATTTTTTTAGGGCCCACCGATGGACCACATAGTTCATCCTCTTTGCCTCCAGAACAGTTCAGGTTATTTTGTATTTTATGGTCATGCTACCAAATCCGTCTCGAACCCTGCAACCAATTTTCGTTCCATAGTTGACGCAGCAGATATCAAAGCAACGCAGAAGCCCCTGCGCGTTGCGCTCTCACCTTCGCACTTCATTGGAGCCGGACCCGGTGTGATGCGGTTGGTATTCATCCATTTATCGACCTTTTTATTTTTTGACAGTGGGTAGTATTGGTGTTCACTTCTTAACAACAATGTATGCTGCTCGTATGCAATGTATGCTAGATACGGTTTTGGACAAGTAGGAAACTTACATTTTCTGTCCGTAGTATTTTTGATTATCCATGTGACGATGAGGCAATGTTTACACCTGTTCTTGCACAGTTCACGCGCAAGTTGTGTTAACCATATTTGCGCAATGTGGTATAAACCTGATTAAATTCACACCCTTAAAATGTTGTGCAATTTGGTCCGCAGCTTGGTTGTAACATGGTCAAGCACCTAAAATCAGTACAACCATAAATGTTACTGTAAGTTCATAAGTCCATTGGGATGGTCAGCACTAGTTGTCAGTGCCTATGTGATAAACTTACCTTGCTGTGATCACTTGGCATGCAATATATATTCTCATAGTAATATTCCTGCTCAAATGGGTTGAAGAGGAAGAATTACAATATCTGTGGTATATCAGCCCAGTAAGGCTTGTGAAGTTAACAGTTTTGATCTTCTGTATAATAGAAGGGAATGATGGTTTGGCACAGTAACAGCAGGAAGCACATGCAAGAAGATCCATCCATATTTCTGTTATGGCCCTCTCTTGGTATAGGCTAGTTGACACCAATACTTGACCCTTGTATGTAGAATCTGCTGAATACACTGACACATATCCATCAGATAATCTTGGCACCCAACTAGCTGCAACATTTTAAGCAACAGCCAATGTGCAGATCAACTTGAAAATAGTTGTGTGTTTTGTGGAATATCACAGCGACCAGGTACTGAGTATCACTGTCCTTCAAAAGCATGCTGCAGTGAATTTCAGCAAGCCAGGCAGTTCATCACTGTACTCCTGCAATGGTGTTGAAACATTGACTAATAAACTCAAAATGATCATATGATATATATATATATGTATATATATATATATATATATATTTATATGTGTGTGTTTGCATATATGTCTGGTTTGCTGCAGCAACAGTTGTCTTCCCTACAGCATTTTCATATTTGTGTATGGCAATCATGGCTTACTTCAAATGGCCCTAACTAGAGGTGGTAATGCTCATAGTAGTCCCATGGTCTGAGATGCTGCAAGATATTTCAGTCTGACATGGAGTAATTACTGAAGTCCCAAGTCTTAGCCAGAGCCACCTGCCAGATGAATCAATTTCCCTATAGCCTCATCCCAAGAGTTTACATGCTTGAGCTCTAGTTTGCTTATCAACTCCAAGCCATGCCTTATGTTATCAACTGTTCATAAAACAGGTTTGCTATTCTACACCAAATCATGTTTATCAGTGCTTGGAAAAAATTGCTCAGCCTCTGATGTGCAATGAACTCTGCCAGCTATGAACTCTACCACTGGTCCTATTTAATTTATTGCTTTCCCAAAACTTGTGACCCTTGAGGTTTGTTTTTGAACTTCCACACTCACATCTGTTGATTCTATGATGGCACTTAGACTGCTGATCTCTCCCCCAAGGCTTCTGTTGCTTTCTGGCACAGAAGCATTGCAGATTATGTGCAAAAATGACATCGCTGCTTTAAATGCAATTGTGCTCTAAGACTGAAAATGCATATGCTGAGATAGTGAAACAAGTGCAGATTTCTTGCCCAGTTTGATGGATGTGCTCAAAATGTGAACCAACTGGCACTGTCTTCAGTACACCAAACTTCAAGTGTCATTTTTGTTCAGGGATTTTTTGTCTGGATTGCAGGCCACCCAAATGTGTCTCGTAAGGAAGTCAGTAAATGATTTTCTTCTTTTCAGGTAGGTGGAAGCCATATCACAGCAACCATGTTTAAAAGCTTGTGTGGCATATGGAGACTACAAAGTCCTGCAATGTAAGTAGATGTAGCAAGTCACATTAAGTCAAGGTTATGTTACTATATGATTGTACAGCATTATATTGGTCAGCTGTGTACTCAGAGTAGTGGTGTATCATGCACGAGTATGTGTGACTATTGCAGACAGCGAAGGTTTAACATTTTTGTATGCCTGCAGTTGCATGTCGAGATACGTGGCACTCATTTCAAACTTATCTACCCTGTTTTGCTCATGTGTGTTTCCCGATAAGTAACATATGGTAGTCCAATGGCAATGTTGTAGCCACTTGATGTGCTATTTTACCGCTTTGTTACTTGATGTGTATGTGCAGCACAATTTTGCACACATTATGCTGTGTTCCCCCAGACGGGCTATGTCTCAGTACCCGCCCATCTTCAAGGAGCCACTGCTTCCTCCACAGCAAGATGACGAGGTTCGGGAACAGTTTGCATTCTCACCCATCAAAGCGGCCCCCAGCAATGTGACCTCGTCGGCCTTTGACCACCCGGCGGTCAGGTGAGCGCGCGGCTGTGCTCACCGCCTGCTGCACTAAGTGACTTAGGCACTGACGTGCCGAAGCAGAGAGGGATGTGTGAGCGAGATTGTCGATGAAGAACGGGGTACCGAAAAAGAGCTGGGGTATGCCTTTATGCATGTAACACACTATGCAACAAGCAACATAGTCGTCTCCTGATAATCTTGCATAGTGCTTTGGAAGTTAAGATATGACATTCTGCTCATTTTGTGTGTGATGAGTGCTGATACAGTATGACCGCTGCATGCAGTATCAGAAAAAGTAAGTCCCCCTGCGCGGAATCAGCAAAACATGAACAAACAAGAGCTTATCATTTGTCATTATTTAGATGATGCCAAGCCGAAGCATGTGGAGCCAAACTTGTGGGAACCGATGCGAATGGGTCTGGCCTTTTCACTGTGTGGTCCGTCTTTCCTGGTGATGAGGCGGGCGGACGGACGCTGTCCTACCACTGGCTATCCCCAAATTACATGTAGAGACGGGCTTCGAAACAGCGACAACACCCGCCTCTGGATAGCTTCTTGGCACACCGGTGGATCGGACAGTGTTGAAGTCACGTGCCGGCTCGTGTCCGGTATTTTCGTCCACACCGTTTGTTCGTCTTCACGTCTTCGTCTGCACCGATTTCTGAAATCAGATCCCAGTGCTTGAGCTCACTACAGAACGGGTGGATTGGCGGCGCGCATGTCGAAGCGAGCTGACCGGCTGCGCACAGAGACCCATCTGGTCAGTGCCGACGTCCGCTGGTGCTCCGTTGAGCGGTCGTTGTCGCTGCTGCGCCCGTCCGACGGGATTGCCGCCGCCGGCGCCGTCGACCAGTCAGCGGTTTAGTCGAATGCGGAAGGCTGCGTTTTGTGTGTATTAAAATGATGCTTTAACCTCGCGTCTGATTAAACAGCTGGTGTGCAGGGGTCTTGACGTTTATGCAGCGTCCGAGTAAAAACAAATGGTATTGGTGTTTAAGACTGCATGGAGCCGGAATCAGTGGTTGCAAAGACATTAACTGCCAAACGGGACGGATGCTGGGCGGGGCCGCTAAAACGGAAGCTTTTTCGTCGTTCAGGTAGGGCTCATTCGTCTTGCGGCTTCACTAATAATGTGCCGTCTCCTGTTTTCCTGAAGGAATTGCCGACAGTATTTTTTCTGCGCTCGGTTTGCATGGCAGCATGACCAAACATTCGCTGCTCGCAATCCAAGCGCGCTTCATCACCAGCAAGATCGCCGACAGAGCTTGTTTTGACGTTTACGTCTCAGCTTTCAAAAGGCGGTATCGTGCCGTCCGTTATATTGCTGACCAATTGAAACGCCCGCCTGTTGAGATCAATTTTGTTGGCTTGTAGCTTCAACAGCTCGGCTCCACTGGCCAGCAACGCCTCTCGGACCTTCATGTCCCTGCGGTCGCTGACCGTATCAACATGCCTTGTTCAGCGCAAGCGGAAAAATCCTGTCTAAATTGTGCTTTCATGTTTTCGACGTACTTCGGTGAGCAGGCTGCATGGCCAGATGCAGTTTTCCTACAAGATTGGATATCGGCATAACGTAACCCCCCAGCTGATGAACACGGAATGGGGGAAATTTTCAGTGTACAGCACACGCAAAATACAGGTTGAAACCGAACGGATCCTCGACAATCCGTGGTGTCAGCGACGTGATGACGTGATGCTGACGTCGCTTGACGAGCAGGGACTGGTCAGCCGTACCGTTACCAGTGTGGGTCGCTGTGCCGTCCGTGGCCGTCACGCGCGCTGGAACGGAACACGGGAATTCACGTTTTTTTTTTTGGGGGGGGGGCGTTATTAAGGATTGGTTTTGGGTTTGGTAGACAGAAAAGATGACATGCATGAAAGTGGCTGCAAGGTGTAAGTGAATGCGCCGTTGAAAAATTACAGTGATCTCGATTTTGTCCAGTCCGCCATGATGCCAGTAGCGGACCAGTTGCCGGACGGCGTCGCCTCGTGAAGATCGCAGTCCCGCTAGGTGTCAGCACCAACCACACAACATATCCGAATGTCTCGTGCTGTCTTGACTGCTGTCACTGAAAGTGTAAATTGGTTCAGATTCATTGGGGTCATTAGGAGAAATGATCCGGCCAGGCTCAGTGCCAGATATTTTGCTAGGAAATGCGATCAGTTAGGACGTGAACGTTCCGTTGTGATTTATCTATTATTTGAATGATCGCTTTTGCCTGCGCGACCCATGAAAGATCGATATTCCAACGCATTCTTGTGGGCCCGGCTGTATGAGCTCCAAATTAATTTGGCTCCATTCACTTATCATGGGGCTCTTCCAGATAAAGTAAGTCACGTCCGCTATCGCTCCGCTCGTTCCACACCTCTCAAGCCATCGTACCACACCTCTCAAGCCACTCGTCGCAGCGTGTTCAGCCTCCGTGTAGAGAGCGCACCGAGTTAGCGAAAACATCACGGCGTCTCAGGAATGTCACGAAGGCGCGTCAATCTCTCGTCATGCGCGACAATTCGGCTCTGATCTTTTTCTCTTGTCGTTCTGAAGACGATGTAGACCGTTTACCATCCTTATCTTTCCTTGCGACAAACGCTGCCGTTACTTACACATTGGTATTTCATGATCAGCATTGATATACGTACCGCCGCAGAGGAAAAGTGTAGGTGGTAGCCGGCATTTTCAAACCCGCTCATGAAACGAGTTGCTGCGGCCAAAGTGATGCGAGGTCTTAGCCAGGAAATGATGCTGCGGTTTGATGCTTGATGATGAAGTGATGCTGGAAATGATGCTTATCGGTTTCAGAAGTATACATCGCTTTCGCTTATATATCATTAAACACGTCGTATCCGATTTCAGTTTCGTACGTATACACCAGTTTCAGTAACGTGTCATCAAACACGTCAGATCGGATTCCAAATCCGCCGATACACCCAAGCCGCCTGGTTCGATCAAGGCGCGGTACACTTGTCTTATGTTTGCCAGCGGTTATGTGTGATATATTCTATCTGGTGCGTGATCTGCGCCCATTGTAAGATGTTCTCGATAGTAAATGTGCTCGACCTGTTTCAGGAAATTCACCAACATAATCATGAGAGGTGGCGGCAAGGATCTCGCTCAGACATTAGTCGCAAAGGTAAGCTGCCTTTAGAGACCGCACGTGACTGATGGGAGTGGTTTTGACCCGCGTTTACGCAACGTACGTTGTTGCTATTCTGCCGTAAGAAAGCATTGATGTAAGTCATAGGTATTCGGGGTGCTGCATGTTGAGACAGGTGCGTAGGTCTATCGATCCCTGTCTGTCGTTTGTTCGCCTCGACCTCGTGTCAAATGTAGTGTGCCAGTTGTGCGAGCTTTTCCATCTTGTTAAGGGGTTTGATACTCCCCCCCCCCTCATTCGTCTCTGAATTATCGCGCTCGAATGAGAATCAGGTGACCAGCGAAGGTTTTTCCGGCGTGGTTTCCGAGTGGCGCGGCAAAGCCGCGCTAAATTTTGATGGTGTGGACAAGTGAATAGCGAAACGTTTGAGACCCAAAATTTAAATACGTCTTGTGAAGTCGCTAACCTACGGCATGTCAAAATCACGCCATGGATTCAGCGAAGACAATTTCTAGGAAATCGCTTAATGTCATGAAACAGCGGAAAATCAGACGAAGTCATACATTTCTGAGAGATATAATCTTAGACAAGACATTTGAAGGAACACATTCCATTGACCAAGGGTCAGTTATCAAGGCTTGGCATTGATAACAGGAACCGCATTATACATCTTGTATGGACTTTTTGAAGGTCAGAATAGGTCGCTGACCTAAAATGACCCAGGTAAGCATTTTGTTATGATCTTTGATATTGATTCAAATGCAAAAATCAAACCAGTCTTTCATGATTTTGGCCTTCATGGCCATCGAAAGCCCAGGCAAGATCACTAACCTCATATGAGCACCAGCGACCGTTTGCTTAGAACAGGTATGTAGGTTCACGGCGGTTGCACAATAAGGCCTGGAGGCTCTTTGGACGTGAATCTGGAGTTTGGCCATGTTTGACCCTATTTGGCTCAAATATCGTGATCTAGGAACCTTATATCTTGACACAAGTAGGTTTACCTTCTGGAAATCTCACCCTGTGAGTTTGGTGTTTGTAGCTGTCTTAGTTTTTGGGATCCTATGGGGGTCAAATTGACCCCCGAGCGAAGGGCGCCCAACCGGTCACCCGGGCGCGTGTCAAACAGTCCCAATGTTTTCCAACGGTAACAGGTGGTCTGAGGATGTTGTTAAGCAAGTAGCCACGTTTGTTGTTTGTTATCACTACCAGCCAATCTTGTGATCTCCTTAACTAACTTGGTGCCCGGTGTTTTCTAGTGTTTCGTCGCGTTGCTGAGGGCTCACTGTTCCCAGTAAAAAGCTCATTGTCCACTGTGTTGTGACGGGAAGCACTCCCACACTCGCTTTGAGCCGACAATCTCCTCACGTAGTCCATTGTGCGCCTTTTAATCAGCTGATCCTCCACTACACAGAGGCCATCTTCTCACACCTCACACCATCAACCACTCCGCTGTGTGCGTTCATTCTGCTCCCACTGGTCCACTGTGCGTCAACAGTGTAACACGTCAAGCCAGTAACCACGATCCTCTCCCGCTGGCCCATTTCGACCGCGGATGTGGCTCCACTAGCCCACTGTGCGCCGCAGACCCGTCCGTTCACCGTGCCGCGCGCGCCGGCAGACCTTCGAGCGCATCAAGCGGACGCAGATCCAGCGGTACAACGAGGCCAGCGCCGGCCAGACGGACGTGGCGCCGGAGGAGGTGCTCTGCGACCCGCTGCAGGTGTTCCTGCGGGCGCTGGAGAACAGCCGCCCGCGGCTCCAGCTGGTGCCCATCATCCGCGGCGGCATTACCTACAAGGTGCGGCATGGGGCGGCGTCACCTGCCACGTGCGACGGCCAGGTCGTGAGGTGCGCGGTGCGGGCTGTGGCGCCGGTGCTGAGAGTGCCCTCCGGCCGGCCCTGCGGCACGTGGACAGTGACGGCCGCGGTCTCCCACGACTCCGGCAGACGGCGGCGCTGCGGCTCTCCCGCCTCCGCCTCGCTCGGCGGAGCTCGGTCGCGGCTTCCCGTCCCCGCGTTCAGCCGCGGCCGCCGGCCGCCGCTGGAGTGGCGCCAGGGCCCGGCCGGGGCCGGCGCGGTCACCTGGGTAACGCGGGGCACCGGGGCGGCAGGCGCTCGGGGCAAGTCGGCGGCCTCCGTGGCGCCGCCGGGCGCGGGGCGAAATGCGCTGCGGTGGCGCCGAGAGCTGCCGGTGTTCTGGTGATGCTTTCCAGTGCTGTAGCCGCGGCGGGATGTTCACACATCGATTTATCGGGTGGACCGAAGCAGATTTGCTAGGTTGCCTAGAACTCTCAACGCTTCGCCGTGATGAGACGCGCCTTGCACGGCCGGACTACCGAGCGGCCGGCGGGCGGTACGGCGCACTGCCCCCGCGGAGACCCGCTGACGTCACCAGTTCCCTCAGCGCCCGCCCGTTGGAGGCTTATAGTCCGATCACTCCCCGGGTCAGGCGGTTTGGGTGGCCCGGGGCGGGTCTGGGTGGCCCGGGACGTGTGATGACGCCCGGGGCCAGCCTGGCCTGCCGATACCCGCCCCAGGACGGGGCGCTCGCGGCCGCCAAGGCTGCCGTTCGCTGTTGATCCTGTGGGCGTCCTTATGGCCGCTAGCCGGCTGCCGGCGCAGCTTTGTTAGCCGAGGGGTATTTATCTCGGGGTGGGGGGAGGGGGGCTCAGCGCGGGCCAAGTGCGTCAGATGGCGTCTGTCGTCGCGGCGAAAGAGCTCGCGGCATATTCCTCTTGCGGCGCGCTCAAGCGCTTGTCATGGAGCTGCGCTCAGTCTCATCCCCTGCTGGCGGGATGGCGTGTTTTACACGAGAGCTGGGCGGGCGACACGGATGGAGTCGTGTCTGGGCTGTCGGCTATCGTCCATCTTTTCTGTGTATTTATTTACACTTTCCAGCGTGGCGCGTTTTCTGAGTCAACATTCTTGGAAAGGCCCGGAAGATCGCTGGTGTTAGCAGCTTGCGCCTGCTCTCCGGATAACGCTGGGGCGAGGTCTTCGTTTGCGCCTAACCCGTCCCTATAACACTGATTGGGGGCGCCTTCAGACACGCTCTACCACGCGCTCCATCGGCCTCTGCGCTCTCCTGAAGATCACCATCACCGGTATTGCAATGTCCCCAGTCAGAGTCGTGTTGCAGTGGTCGTTCACTACCCGGTCGGTCTCGTTTAGGTATTACGAGACGAGAAATCAATACGCGGCGGCTATGCTCATCTCTGCCGCAGCTGGCTCGCCCAAGCCTCCTCGTTTCCCGCACAAGCCGCTTCAGGCGGTGCGTCGCAGCTGCATCGCAACGGGACGGCGTCTCGGTCTCCGCGGAGATCCGCAAGTGCGTCGCCGCCGCCGCCGCCGGCCCGATCCGACGCCCGCCGCCGCCGCCGCCGCCGCTCGCCGCCGGCCCGATCCGACGCTCGCCGCCGGTCGCGGCCGTGGCGGCTGGCCAGACCGGCTGTTGACGGTGCCGGAGCCGGCGGCCGGCGGCAGTGGGCGGCCTCGCGGCGGCGCCTCTCATGTTCCCCCCCCCCCCCCCGACCTCCAGACCCGGGAAGGGGCGCGAAACACGGCTCTGACGACCGCCACCACACGGCGCGTGGAGGGGGGGGGGGGGGATCTGGGAGTGCCGCAATGGCTGCTTCATGTGGAGGGCCAGGTGACGTGGGCAGTGGGTTACTATTCTTGCACCCAGAGGGAAAAGGCTTTGGCTGGCTGAATCTGAAACGAGTTGTGTGCATCAAACACCTACGTGGAGCCGTACGCTTGCTAGTTCGCTTTGTGACGCGAGTGTCAACGCACATTGGGACAAATGCCAACTTCGCCATCGGTGCGCCGCGGTGAGCTCACGCAGGCTGCTGTGCGCTGAGGTCAGCAACGTTTCAGATGGCAACTGATATGTCAACTGGTGTGTCAACTAATGTATCAACTGATGTGTCAACTGGTGTGTCAGGCGCCGGGGTCCGCGCTGCGTGGACGTTGCCCGCAAGTAGCTGTGCGTGCGTGGATCAGACTATTTAGCCGCCGTGCTGTGTTGGGTATGGCTCGTTGTGTGGCTATGTGACCGCTGTGCTTTAGTGCGGCCGGTCTGTCACGCGGTTGTGTGGCTGTTGGCTGAGTGTTTGTGTTCTGCTGTGCGTGTTCTGCTGCTGGCTGGCCGTCGCGCCGCTGTGAGCTGACGCGCGGTCCCCCGCCGCTCAGGTTCCCCGGCCGGTGACGGAGAAGCGGGCGACGTTCGTGGCCATGCGCTGGTTCAAGGAGGCCGGCAGGGAGAAGGACCGCACAGTGAGATTCTCCGACCGGCTGGCCGCCGAACTCATCAGCGCCGCCAACAATGAGGTGAGTGACCCGGGGGCAGAGTCTGTGGTCTGAGTCAGTGTCGATGGGCCGGGCTCAGGGTCGGCGGCCTGAGGTCAGGGCCAGGGTCGGCCCTCGCCCCTTGCCAGGGGCATCACTCAGCGGTCCCCTCCCGACGCGTTGTGAAATGTTGGTACTGTTGATGGTTGCCTGTCGCTGAGGGCGGGATTACGATGATGTTGATGTTGCCGATAGCAGTATGGTTTTCGGGGAAACGGTGCAGTTTGCTCCTGCAGCTGGGGTATGCGGAAGACAAAAATGAAAGCGCTCGTTAGGTTTTAGAAGATGACGATCAAGTAACCGAATAGTAAAATGAAGAAAGTAAACAAGTACACTCAGTAAAAGATAAAGGAGATAAGGTGTACACCTCCTCCCTCAAATAACAGGACTCTCATTGTCCTTTACCTTAGAATATATAAATACCTAACTATAGCTGCTGAAACGTCAGTAAACAAGTATGTCATCGGTCAGTTTTGGCATTGGGCTCCCTCTGCCGCTCCTGAGCCCCGGCCTGTGAACTGCTTCTGCCGCTCCTGAGCCCCGGCATGTGAGCTCCTTCTGCCGCTCCTGAGCCCCGGCCTGGCGTCGGCGGGCCGCTCGGGCGCCGCCGGCTCGCCCCGGTGTTATTGTACCTCATCTGGGCCGGACGTCAGCAACCGCTTGTTCGCTGCCGCACCACCTGTTGCTTACCCCGTCACTAAGCAGCCGCACCAGCTGCCGCTCACCCCGTCACCGGACCGGGAGAGCGGCCGGGCGCTGGCGCTCGTGTTGATGGTGGTCAGGTGGGGCGGCTCGCTGCGGACGCTCGGCCGGCGGCCGGTGGTGGTGCGTTGTTCTCGGAGGTTCGACTTCAGCTTTGGTGCGAGCCCGGAGACTGGCCTGCCGCGACGTTGGGGATAGAATGCTCGGGGCCTGGCCGGGGTGCAGTCGTACGTCTATGCGGGTCTTTGTCGTGAATTGATCACATGTGTGCTTACGCGAGTGTTAGTAACGGTAGTCATGACGATAGCATGTGATACGTAGTCGTCTGTTCATTTCGTAGGCTCACTTCGTATGTCGGCTTCGCTGCTTTCTCACTTTGTTGTTTTAGCCATATCGTTGTTCATGAAACAGCGTTTTTTTTTTAATATTCTTGCGTGGGTTATTTGTCGGTATCCCGCTGATTGGGTCAACACAAGATATGAATGCAAATCGCACGCAAAATCTTGATGCAAAACGGGCGAGACTGATTTATATATGTTGGCGGGCGTGATGCCAAAGCCTGCTACAGCCTTGCTGCATGAACTGCGTCATGGGATGGCAATTTTCAGTGCGTGGGATGTGCGTGATGATAATTTCTATCACGCGAGATGGCAATTCCCGGTGCGTGATACGGTATCAGTGCGTCATCAAACGCACATCTGCCACCTCCACGCTGGCAGGTCTTCTGCTCCGGATTCTGCTGCCAGTTCAGACCGACGCCGACAGATGTCGGAACGATCGCTGACGTTGACGAATGCACCTATCGACCTAAACCCAAAGCATTGAGTTATACCCCGGCGCGTTCCTGTGTCTGACTCTGGCGGCTCCGTTTTTACGACTGGTCCTCATTAAGGTTGACTGAATTGTGGTTGGACGCTGTCACTCGGCGACGGCCGAGAATCACCGACGTCAGAAGCGGAGACCAACAGCGATCAGTCCGCAGTGACCCCTCGGCGTCGGCTGACCCCGCTCGGCGGCGGAGGCGCCTGCGGACTGGGTGGGCCGATCCGGCTGAGCCAGCGCCCATTAACACCGATTAGCGTCAGCGTCCGTTCTCTCCGCTGGCAAGAAGTGACACGGACGGGCATGTTTTGGCGGCTGTGGATCTGAGGGTTTGTCTGGGGCGGGGCGGCGTGTTCGGCCTCGCCGGCTCCTGGATCGTGATGATCCACCGGGATCGTGGCGGTCGTCTGACTAGGAGCATGGTGTGGAGGGGTTGGCGCCGCCCTGCTGTGCGCCGACCGATATCACCGGCTCACATGCTCTAATGACGTCCACTCGGTGGCATGTGTGTCATCATGTCGTGTGCCATCATGTGTCATGCTCATGGGTCGTCCACTCGACTGGCTTGTGATGCTCTATTTGGGTCCGGCACTGTGTGTGTTTTCTCCCCGTATACTGGGCTTGTTTGGCGTTGTTTCAGCCTTTAAAATCCTGCGCGTGTTTGGGCGCGATGCGGCCATGCTCGATTCTGTCTCAGTGATGTCTCCCTGATAAGTCAACAGCCGGCCCAGTCAGCGGACGTTCCTGTCATCCCGCGCTGTCTCGTATCAGCCGTCGCACCAGCCGGTTTTGACCTTGCTCGTCTGTCACCAGTTCGTCGGCGTCTAGACCGATTAAGCTGCCCTTCGCGGTGAAACACGCTGGCAGCTGAGCTGGGTGTGACCGCGATCCCCCCCCCCCATACCCATACCGTCGCCCGGCTGACTGGCTGCGGCCTCGCCCCAGACTCTGTCTGTCAGCTGACTGTGAGTGTCTCGTCCGCTCCGACACATCCGTCACTCTGCCGCGGCAGATCAGCCGTGGCGTCGCCTTCGTCGAATCCGAGCTCTCGCCGTCTCACCTGCCCCCGGCGACGGGCTGACCACGCCTCCCCCGGTGTCGCTGACTGGATCACGCCCCCTCGCCCGCCGCGTCCTGCCCAGCTCCGCTCTGTCCTCTCGCCGCTATCGGGGCGGGACCTGGCGTCTCCCAGCGCCCCTCCCCCCTCCGTTCGCTGCCTCCCCCCCCCCCCCGACCCTTGGCTCACCGCTGACGGCTCTCCGGCAGGGCCGCGTGGTGCGCCTGAAGCAGGAGCTACACCGACAATGTGAGGCGAACCGCGCCTACGCCCACTACACGTACGGCTGAGCTGGAGCGGCGGAGAGCCGCGGCGGACTGTGACGGCGCGCGGTCGGCAGGGATGACGTCACGGCACGGTCTGTGACGTCATAGACCGTCAGGCGCCGGCGGCGTGTTGTGCTGAGGAGTGCCTCTCGGATGACATCACGGCGCGGTCTGTGACGTCACAGACCGTCAGGCGCCGGCGGCGTGTTGTGTCGAGGAGTGCCTCTCGGATGACGTCACGGCGCGGTCTGTGACGTCACAGACTGTCAGGCGCCGGCGGCGTGTTGTGCTGAGGAGTGCCTCTCGGATGACATCACGGCGCGGCCTGTGACGTCACAGACCGTCAGGCGCCGGCGGCGTGTTGTGTCGAGGAGTGCCTCTCGGATGACGTCACGGCGCGGTCTGTGACGTCACAGACCGTCAGGCGCCGGCGGCGTGTTGTGTCGAGGAGTGCGCCTGTCGGATGATGAGTGGGATGTGAGGGGTGAATGTGCCGCGGAGTCGTGTTTTGTACTTTGAGAGGCTGCGGTGCGGTGGCTCGCACCACCTTGTGAATAAACTATTGTGTCCGATCAGTCAGTTTGAGGACGCAGTCGACGGGACGTAAGAGCCGAATTTTTAGAGCGTCAGACTCCCACGTGAGAGCCGGGGTTCGAATCTCGGTAGCGCTATGGCCGTGAGCGCTCATATGACCATTGCAATCGCTGGCGATCCATAAAAAGGCCGCGGCAGCGCGCGTCGCGTTCCCTTAACAAACAGAAGACGAACTGGATCGTGTGTTGGGTGTTCGCGGTGGGCGCCAGGATTGCTCTCACCTGGGGAAAAACGGCGCGACTGCGGGAGCGTTTGGCGTTCCAAGAGAACTAGGCGTGCAAAGTAAGCTGCGACCTGGATTAACGCCGCTTGCGTTGGCAGGCGGCCACGTTCCCTAATGATAACGCGCGGCCCAACGACGGCTCCTTCCGATGGCTTCCCTGAAGCAGGGTGGCCTGAGGCGTGTCTGGGAGCCGTTGTGGCCTTCCGGTTATCGCTAGTCAGCAGTCTGGCCGGCCAGGCTCGCTGTCAGGAGGGAGGGGGTGACCTCGCGTCGGATACGGGGGACGGCGTCCCGTCCCCCGCGGCCAGCGGCGGGGGGATGGGAACGGCAAAAGCCCGGTGTGGAGGGAGGCAGCTGATCAGAGATTAGGTCAGGACAGTGCGGACAAGACAGGAAAGATACGGATCAGAGACAGGACTAGAAAGACGTCCTGAATGGCGTGCTGTTAAACGGAGATGTGGTGTTGATCTGCGAGGTGTCATGCAGGCTTCAACATTCTGAGTTGTATCCACGTAGCTTATTTCTATTTGCGCTTATTGCCAGCAAAGCTTCTTGTTCTCGCCGATCCTTTTCGGACTAATATGGATATGCCTTGCGGAGTTTATTTTTGCTCACCTGGATAGCTGTTGCCTTGCGCCAGCTACCCACCAGATGCCAGATGATGCCATATGCTAGATGATGCCATATGCCAGATGTCAAATGCCAGAGTTATGCATGGATCGGTGAGGCAACGCAGACGTTAAAAACTTGCGCTAACTATCAGTTGCCATGTGGTTGGTCTCAGCGACAAGGGCAATTTGCTTGGAATGAAAACGGAAAAAAGCATGCGACAAAGTTACGTGACACTCAAAAAATGAATTTGATGGACACTCCTTGTATGGATTTTTCCATGCAAGGAACCCGAAGAAATGGGGACATTGCAACCCTCCAGTGGGATTGGGAGCTGAAGGCATACGTTACTTGGAATACCAATAACCGCCGCGACTGACGTGTTCACTGAGCTCGGTTTCTAGTGCAAAATGCCCCGTTTAACGCGTCAGGAGCTCATCATCCCACGCTCCACTGAGCCTGCAGTACGGGGCCGCGAGGAGCCGGCGCGAGCGGCCGCTGGAGAAGCTGGCGATCTGCTGGGTCTGCAGTATCGGGCCGCGAGCAGCCGGCGCGAGCGGCCGCTGGAGAAGCTGGCGATCCGCTGGGTCTGCAGTGTCGGGCCGCGAGCAGCCGGCGCGAGCGGCCGCCGGAGAAGCTGGCGATTCGTTGGGCCTGCAGTGTCGGGCCGCGAGGAGCCGGCGCGAGCGGCCGCCGGAGAAGCTGCCGATCCGCTGGGTCTGCAGCGTCGAGCCGCGAGGAGCCGGCGCGAGCGGCCGCCGGAGAAGCTGGCGATCCGCTGGGCCTGCAGTGTCGGGCCGCGAGGAGCCGGCGCGAGCGGCCGCCGGAGAAGCTGGCGATCCGCTGGGTCTGCAGTGTCGGGCCGCGAGGAGCCGGCGCGAGCGGCCGCCGGAGAAGCTGGCGGTCCGCTGGGTATGCAGTGTCGGGCCGCGAGGAGCCGGCGCGAACGGCCGCCGGAGAAGCTGGCGATCCGCTCCCACCCCGCGCGTGCTGCCAGCGATTCGTGTCCGATGGAAGGTGGCTACACCGGCCCGTCCTGTGTGCCTGCCAGTCGCTGGCGGCGGCAGGCTGTTTTTAGCGGCGCGACGGCAGCGCAGACGGCACTCTGAGTCAGGAGGCTCCGCTCTGACTCACAGAGGAGGCTGAGGACCCCTCGCAGCCGCTGCGAGCTCCCTGTGACTTTATAACGCCCCGCGGCGCGGTGCGAGAGGGCTGTTGTTGCCAAACGCTGCGGCCGATACCCGGAAAAGTCTACTCGCTGATCAGTCGGCTTTGATTCCTGTCTATTCCACGAGGCAGAGGCGGGCGGGCTGCATGACACGGATAACCTCTGGTGTGCCCTCTGACGTCAGCGCAGAGGTCAGCCCCAGACAGCGCGCCGCCCGAAGGGAGGCGGGAGGGGGCATCACACCGTCTGCCGACGGGTGGAATCGCTCTGCACGCTCAGATGTCTACCTGACAGTGGCGGGGTCCTCCAGAGGGGAGGTAGCGTCACACCGTCTGCCGGCGGGCAGTCTCGCTCTGCACGGTTACATGTCCACCTCACAGTGACGGGATCCTCCAGAGCGACCTTAAAGGCTCCGGGAAGCCGTATGGTGGACGTCTCATCTGCCCACGCTGATCACGTCTTTGTCAGAGGTTCGTACTCTTTTCGGTGGTGGTGTTTAAAGCTTCACCAGATTGTAGCTGTGCTTGGGCTAATGCAGAGAACGCTTGGTATTTAGTGCCGGCGTGCGCAGAAAACAAGCTTTTGCATGAGTGGTTTATTAATGCTAGCGACCGTGCGGACAAAAGTACACCAAGTGGCAGAGCAATTCTGCCGTGACATCGGGAAACGCGCGCGGAAACGGATATAGTCACTGTCGCAACAATATCCCACTGTAGGCGCTGTTGCAACAATATCCCACTGTAGGCGCTGTTGCAACAATATCCCACTGTAGGCGCTGTTGCAACAATAGGCCATTGTAGGTGATGTTGCAACAATAGCTCACTTTAGGCGCTGTTGCAACAAAAGCCCGTTCTTCGGGATATGTATCGGAAACACACCCTCAAAGTCCAACGGACATCAGTTGGTGTGGTCGGCGACAGACACAAAAATCAGAAAAACAACACGTCATCAAGGTTGGCACCACCAAAGTATCACTGCATGCACGTAAGAGACCAGGTCAGACAGCCTGGGTTTGCGCCATCGCGGTGTGTCGCAGTTCGACAGGTCAACACCGATTAACACCGGTTAACAACGGTAAGACCGCTTAACACCGCCGTCACGCCACCAACGCCACCGTCACAGATTTGCGAGAGGCCGGCTCGATACGTCATCTCCCACGTCAAACACCGGCTAACAACGACAGAATGGGAACTCACGTTGAAAGCAAACATTTGTCAGGGCTGGCGCCTTCTTACGCCGTTCGGCGGTTTGTTTTAGGCGGTATGATGTTTCAAGTGCCCTGTTATGCACTGCAACAGAGCTTCCAGCTCTGTTACTCAGCAGGAAAATATTGAGGCAACTGACAACAAAGTTGCAGCCACGCCCGCAATACAGAGCGAAGAGCGCTGGTGCAGGCCAGTGCCACGCGTCCTCTAAGATTTCATCACTGAACAAGCTGTGGCACAGAGAAATGCAGGCACAGCAGTCATTGTACAATACAGTGGATACAAACTCAAAACATTGGACCTGGAAACATGCAGCAAAGGGATTGTGGGACCGCGGCAAGAGTGTGGCTACAATACGTATTTTACGTACGCGTTGTAACTACTTGTTGCTCGTAACACGTTCACGCTACCAATAGAAAACCGCGTTACCAGGCATGTACCAACCCGGCGTTGGTTGTCCGACCGCCCGTTCTGCTACGAACAATAAGGCTACACGCGGAAGCAACGACCATCTCTCTCTCTCTCTCCCTCTCTCTCTCTCTCTCTCTCTCTCTCTCTCTCTCTCTCTCTCTCTCTCTCTCTCTCTCTCTCTCTCTCTCTCTCTCTCTCTCTCTCTCTCTCTCTCTCTCTCTCTCTCTCACACACACACACACACACACACACACACACACACACACACACACACACACACACACACACACCACACACACACACCACACACACACACACACACACACACACACACACACACACACACACACACACACACACACAAACACACACGCGCGCGCGCGCGCGCGCGCGCGCGCATACACAAAAGCTGTCTGTGGGGTGCGCTCCATCTAATGAACTCATACTTAATGTGCTACGGTTTCTTCAACTGACAGTCTTCAAAACTAATCTTTCCATGTCGTGGGAAGGAACCATCACGGTTAAGGGGCCCAACTGTATTTCAATGCGCTGGGGCATCTTTAACCGGGGGCTGAAATGGAGTCATTGTGCGTCCTTCTATGTGCTCCAAACCGTCGTGGGCAGTCCGCAATGTCTCTACTGAACCGGTTCAGTCGGTCCACGTACCCGAACACAACGTATCTCCAGTTATGAAGCAAACGTGAACTTAAACTTTGAACTTTTTAGCATTCAACGCACGTCGTGCAGAAGAGACTCTCTCTCTCTCTCTCTCTCTCTCTCTCTCTCTCTCTCTCTCTCTCTCTCTCTCTCTCTCTCTCTCTCTCTCTCTCATTCTCTCTCTCTCTCGCTTTCTCTCTCCCTCATTCTCCCTTTCTTTCTCTCTCTCTCTTTCTCTCTCTCTCTCTATCCCTTTCTTTCTTCCTCTCCCTCTTTCTTTCTCCCTCCGGCTCCGCATCCTTAACTCCTGCTTCTCTTCCACCGTTTCTTCGACTACTGACTCGTGCCATGGACTATTGACTCGTGTCTTTTACTACCGACGTGTCAATGATAAAAAAAACGCAGTGACCACTCCAGCGCACCCACCGAATCTCACCCCACCCCTCTCGGCGACCTTAGTTCTCACCCACTCACTGATCCCGACTCTCCCCGCCGGTTGCGGTCCTGACGGCGCTCACTGGCTGTCGTCCTCCGCCAGCGAGCCGGCGAGGCTTCGCTGGCGGCAGGAGGACCCGGCCGAGGCCGAGGCCGAGTCCTGCGCGCCGCCGGCCTCCTCCGCCGGCATGCCCTCGGCCGGCGCGCGCGCCGTCAGCGCCACCCACTCCCGCAGCCGCTGCCGCTTGGCGTCGCGGTCGACGACCGTCTCGAGTCCGAGCGCGCGCAGCTGCCCGAGCACTGCGTTCTTCTCACGCGGGCACGAGTGCACCGACCAGGTGGAATAGCACACGGACGTGGCGTCGGCGGGGTCGAGCTCGGCGGCGCCGGCGGCCGACGCGCCGCGCGCCATCCACCGGTGCGCCAGGTGCCGCGTGACCTCGGTGACGGCGGCGCGACGCCGCGGCCGCGGGTCGAACAGCCGCCGGAAGAGGCCCTGCAGCCGCAGTGAGAACTCTCCGAAGCGCTGCGGCGCGCGCAGGGCGCGGTAGCCGCGCCACTGTGCAAAGGCGGCGTAGCGCGCGTCCGAGGCGTCGGCGCGCTGCCACGGCAAGGCCCCGGTCAGGCACACGAACAGCACAACCGCCAGCTGCCAGGTGTCGTGCGCGGTTGCGACCGTGTACGACCGCCCCTTGGGCTCGGTCTGCACCTCGGGCGGCGTGTACGGCGGCCACTCCTCGGCGCGCCGCGCGCGCCAGCCGACCGGCCGCGTCTGGTCGAAGTCGGCCAGCTTGACGCGGCTCAGGTCGCTCTTGAAGACGAGGATGTTGTCGAGGCGCACGTTGCGGTGCACGAGGCCCTTGCTGTGCATGAAGTCGAGCGCCGAGGCCAGCTGCGGCGCCAACAGCTTGGTGTTGCGCTCGCCGATGCCGCCGTTGGAGACGTAGCAGGCGAGGTCGCCGAAGGGCGCGTACTCGGCGGCGTAGACGTAGAAGTCGTCGGCGCGGAATGCCACGTCGTATGCGGTCAGTATGCTTCGGTGCGGACTCAGGAAGACGCTGCCCGCCGAGAGACACCGTTAGAGGAGGCGTGGTCCGCCGAGAGACACTCACAGGGGAGCTTTCCAACTGAATGGGAAACTGCATTCCTGGAGCTGTCTGTTTGTCCCCTTGTGATTGAAATAGCTCCATGCCCGTCACCAGAGGTCCCAGCTGCTTCAAATCCCGTAAAGAGGTCAATGTTTACGTGTTAAGCAGCAGCGGGTTTAAGTGAGTTGCAGTGCTGGTAACTGGCACTCGATATCCCTCTCTAAGGCATATAAGGATACGAATCTCTAGTTTACAGGCCTTGATGTGTTTAGCTCGCCGTTCTTCATTGATTGTTGTGGAAAGACTTTTCCTTGTTTCCTGGGAATGCACGGCTCACCTGTAATGGAACTCGCGCAGAAAGTCGGATTTGCTGGTGGCGTCCTTGTGGAGCGCCTTGAGAATGACCTCATGCCGGGTAGCGCGGTGCTCCACTAGCATAATCTTGCCAGTCCACACCTCGCATATAGTCTGCAACACCTCATATTCGGCCTCCAGGTCAACCTGCCGGTCAGAAATGGCCGAAGTAAAACATTGCCCCGTAGTCCGGCTCAAGTTGTATATAATCTCTGCTTCACCAGAGCCAGTGGAGTGCTGGAGTATTTCTGTAGTCGTGATGAAGCATTTTCCAGTCACCTCCATGAATATTCACAACGTTTCTTGCGTACCAAGTTCTATTGACGGATCGGGAAAAAGTTTATTCGGTTATCGGTATATTGCGTGTGATGAAGAATTTCACATCACAAACGCCAAACTATCATCCGTCACGTCATGGCATTCGACAACATATTAAGTATAGATGATATCTATGCATAATGGTATCATACCTTCTCTCGTAATTTTGAAGTCCTCAAAAACGTCCAATAAGTCTGGGACTCTAGAATATCCATACTAATACACATGGGACCTAATTTTAGAACTAGCACTAGAACTAGAACGGAGGGTCATCTTCCTCCGTCTTTGGAAAATTTCAAACTGCTATCATGGCTCATACTCAGATCAGGTCATGTTTTGAATATTTTGTTACTATTTAGTTTGAGTAATCTTTTTTGTTATTCGACTTGCGATGTCATTTTTAGCGGCGGTTTGTTTGTGAAGTGTGCTTGTGTATGTTTCCTGAATGATTGATCGTAAATAGGAGACACAGAACATGGGTTGGGCCTGCACAAACTGACCTTGTATGACCTTTGTCCACGATTTAATGCGACGCTGGATCTGAGGTTTACCTTAGCTGGTATCAAGTTAGTCTGGCTGCTGGAAGTCGTCAAAATAACCTAAAACAAGGAAGGCCTTCACATTTCTGCATCAAGAAGCACAAAGAGTGGCCATGACGTCATGAAACAGCTTTGTGACCTGACCTTCCATCATTAGTTGTTGCCAGGATGTTCCAGATTAATTACTTGACAGCCACAGAAATTTTTGGAGTAAATTCAGCACGAACAGTCCAGAAGCTAGTGCAGAAAACAGAAGTGTATCTCTGACCCTCGGGGCGGATCACCGACCATGCCTCCACGTAAAGGTTGGCTCTATTTACGTTGACTTGATCTGAACTTTGACCTTTGCTGGTTCCGTTAGTGCACCTATGTTGGTATTTGTTGTCGATATGGCTCCGTTGCAATGACTTGGCAATTTCGCTTATATCTATATCATGTAACTTTAAGTCTATGTTAAAAGTAAATGAATTATCTAAGTCATGCCATACATCATTAAGCCTCGCTGTGTTAACGCGCAACCCAAGTACACGGCGGAAACTGTGTAATTGTGAATTGAACTGAACTCACGCTATCCCAGGTTGTGTGCCAGCGCCATAATTACAGCAAGCCACAGCCAAATACCTCGCATTTGAGCAGCTGCTATTTGGACTCACCTCTTCAAGAGTCAGGTGCCTGATCTCGTGAATGCTCCCTGTCCTCTGCCGCGCCTCTCGGGGCAGTTTCTTCTCCCGACCACTCATGGTGGCAGCAGCGCTTCAGTCCGACCTCGCGCGTTCACCGCTGCGCTCCCGCCCAACTGACCTATCGAGTCCCGTCTACACCGAGCTTCAAGCCGTTAACTCAGCCCCTGCCTCGTCCGTGTCCCAAGCCACGAGCCCCACAGCCCACCATCGCCACTCGCGCCGACCCCCGAGCGACCTCTCGCGGCGCCGTGACGCGCCCCACCATGCCAGCGCGCCGGCGGACACCACGCTCTCCCCGGCTGTGAGCGGAGCGGTGCGTACCTACCGGCCAGCTCCTCTCCACTGAGCCCGGTCGGTGTGGGGCACGGCCGCCCAGCAAGCCCCGCTGCCAACTATTAATACCGTCGCGCCGGTGTCCCGGCCCAGGGCTTGCCGTGAGCCGCCGCAGCCTCGGCGCTGGCGCGGCGCCAGCGCCCGGCGCCAGCGCTGGCGCACCGCCCGACAGCGCTGGCGCGCGGCCCGGGCGTGGCGGTGACGGGCTGGCGGACGGGCTAATAGAACGGTGACGGTGGTGTCGCCGTCTTATCTCGCAAGAAGTGGCGCCGAAAGGATGAGCTGTCTAATGGAGTGGTCTCATGAGGAGGAGGTTTTGTCTGATGGAGTGATGTCGGGAGGTGTAGCCTGTGACGGTGTAAGGAGCGCCACAGCTCGGGCTGGAGGTCAGGAGAGTCTCCGATGTCCACGTGGGAGGCCCGGACTCGGTTACGCACTCACTCCCCCGGGCGCTGGCGGTAACTTCACCACCGTATCGCTGGCGTTTCACGCGGTGATCGTGTCATGGCATGTTCGGCGCAGACGTCAAGGAAATCACACTATAGTTATGTTGTTATGTCATGTATAGTTATGTTGTATGTTGTTGTTATGTTACATTATATAATCACATTATAGTCATGTTGTTATGCCATGTATAGTTATGTTGTATGTTGTTGTTATGTTACATTATATAATCTCATTATATAATGTCTTGGAAGCAGTCTGCCATACAATTTAGGCTGGGGCTCCGCAGAACGGTCACTGGCCTGGCCGCGGACACAAGGTTCCGGACATTATGTTTGGCAAGTTAGGCTCACACTAGGGTAGGTCTGAATACGTTGGGTTCTAATTCGTTGGGGGCCTTTTTCTTTTATTAGTTGCACGTGTGCCTTTGCCTTTTAAACGCCAGTATCGTTAGCCATTTTCACAAAAGCTGACAAGTTGTTGGACAACTGACTGTGAAGTTGTCCAAAGCTTGTCTCTACTTCTCGGGGTGTCTGTTCAGATGTTGTCTCCCTTGCATTCCTGTGCTGTCCGGTTTCCTCTTATTTGTCTTTCCTAGATGCATCTTTATCCTTGCAAGATACTTGCTTGAATGATGCAAGCATTGCTAGTTATAAAAGCTGAATATCCTTTAGCATCATGAACTACACATTGTCGTAGCATTTTATCCACGTTATACGCAACGTTTGCATTTTATCCACTGGGCACTTGCAGCAACGGTTCCGATTTTGAGTTGGTTGGGCTTGATTAGGCAACATCAATATCATTGCATCTAATACCACATTACATGCATGCACACGATTGGGACGCATCTGCCGGCGCTATTGGCAGTCACGAAATCCGCCCCGCTGTCTCTCGGGAAAATTGATACATTTTGGAGGCGGTAGCGACACGACTGGCAGAGTAAGCGTCAGATATCGAGCATGCTTCCTGTTGGAGCGACCCATGATGCTGCAGGATGTTTGATGTTGCAACATAAATTCGCGAGCTGTTGCCCCAACAGTGTCGTCATCAAACATCAATATCGCACATTTCGGGGGCCGGAGGCAGAGCTGGCTACGCGGGCTTATACCCGCCAGATCAGCCAACAGAGTTCGTCAACGTGCGGTCGTTACCATGACCAGCATTAGACGTGTGCCCAGCTGTGTTATTTACATTCAGACAAGTTCCGATACATTAATCATTCCAGACAAAACAGCTGGCTCAACTCGAACTCCGATCCCCACATGTTCATTTGAAAGGGATCCCTTCCAACTTAACTTACGAATGCTCCTTTATTTCGGAGTCAACGACTTCATTCAGAGTCAAACATAACCACAACATGCACTTCACGTCACTCAGTCAAACGCTGTCTCCCTCATGAGTTTATTGCTTGAATGCCCTGTCCTGAATTCCCATTTGATAGTAGAGATAACGTTGGAGACTGTAATGGTTATTGTTCATGCAAATTCGGACAGGGATTGTGCACATGCAGCCACTACTGCTGACGTTGCTTACTGTTATGGGTCATCTTAAACAAAGTATTACGTCATTTCAAGAATGTACAGCTGTCAAGTTTGACGGAGCGAATAGGAAAGCTGCTATCGTAAGATATTCTCTTCCTGGACTGCGTCGTTTTCAGCCGCTACTGGCGTCGCGATGCTATCCCAGACGCCAGGGTTTGCCGCAGGACTGCCGCAGCTAACAGCTTTCATTACACGATATTGGCTCTTCGGGGGATATTCGTCGAAACAAAGCGCTCGCCGACACAAGGGGGTGATACTGCCCCGCCCTGCTCTTTTTGGGGGGGAGATGTCTGCGGGCAACTAGCGTTTTGTGGGAACATTTTGGCCAACTTAGTTGTGATACGTTTTACACGTGACCCGCGCGTTTCAGCTTTCGACGATGCCGAGTTAACGATACATAATCATGTTTTCAAAGATAGAAAAGGTGTGTACCTTTGCTTCACGACGTATTCTCAGCTTGCTGTGCACCACAGGCCATTTCCCAGTGGCTTTCAATGTGTGAAGTATTACATCACGTACGCCATTAACACCTGTGCCTTTTGTAAATATACCTCGAGGTCAAAGCCATATGATGCCAGGCCGTGAAAACTACGCGAAATCATTCCTCACATCATTCCAAATCACCTGTGATTTCATGAACCAATAGGAATAGAGTGTGTTCATGATGGCTAAAAGGAATGCGGACTCAAGGTCACTTCAAGTCAAGCCCTTGAACCGTGGGGTCGCCAAGGTGGGTCGTTGGCATCAAAGGCGCCTAGCTTGCGGGCGCCTCAGAAGATTAATTCTTTTCAGGATTTTAATATTATTTGGTGCAACCAGCTAGAGGAGAATTTTTTGACAGGATCCGTTGAACTGGCAACAAACCACGCTGGCAGCGATCTAGCATGATGCACAAGAAGCGGAAAAACTCTGAAAAATCTGCCTCCTGCTTGAAGCAATCAGCAAATGTCGTCAGGTAGGCCAAGCACGGTAGGTGTGTGCATTTGCATTCGATGGTGTACTTCAATGATGATGTCGATCGATGTTGCTAAGGCAACGCACACAGCTGCACTGTATTTTAGCTATTCATTTCTCACAGTGCTCTTCAGAAGTTGTCATCGGAAGTCGCAGACGAATGCGGAACATATCTAGGGATGGTGGAAGCTTCTTCTGCTGCAGGTGATCAAGAGCATTCACCGATCACTGAACTAACATTGACGATCACCTTATCCTGGCACGTCTTCAACCACGTGAACTTCAAAGCTTGAGTAAACTAGGTGAAATATCAGCGCTGTTCAAAGGCCGTGGAGCAGCAACTTTGGTAATTGCCATGGCTGAATAATATTTGTGCTGAAGGAGAGCCCAAGTGACAAAAATAGCGCCACCGGATTATCTTTCCTACTTATCTCCGCACGAGGTGAACGGGGTATTAACCACCTCTGTGAGCTATGCGACTCTGTGGAGAACCTGTCATCACACATTCGCCGGACGTCAATGATGCAAAAACGCCGTCAGTCTTCTAGGACGCTGTTCCATCGCTAATTTGTGTCCAAGAAATGGCGGCGGATGCGCAGATCCAACACAGCCTCGTCACATCCACTTCCTCCAAACGGCGTCGTTCGTTTTCGTTTTGCGGTTTATTCACCATTGGGAGGGGGCAACACACGATGCTCCGGCGACTAGCAGACTGCAAGCGGACAGACAGCTCGGGTCAGAGAGGGGCCGGCGGTCGGCGGGCGGGCGCCACCTCGGTACGGCAGAGCCATCTAGCGAGCAGGGGTGACACCACGCGCGGTGGAGGCGCCACGACCGCGAGCGCGGAACTTGGCCACGGCCGACTCGGCGGCGTCGCAACGCTCCTCCGAGGCCTCCACCTCCTGCAAGGGCACAGGTCACACAGTTAGGTGTCGGGGGAGGCGTCAGGGCATGACACTTCAGCAGGCGTGCACTGCCCTTGGCAGCGCAGCAGATGGAGGACGTCGGTTTGTTGTGTACTGCCGGCATTCTAATGTGCCACCGCCTTCAGGGACCGGTTGGCGCATAGAAACCGTTGGACCGTGCGTTTACTGTCATGGGCATCACAAGTGGTTGGAGGGGGAGGGGGGGGCATGACCTCCTGGGACCTTGCGCCCCCTACCCTCCCTCCATCCTTCTCCTGATGGCAATGGCGAACTCCCTAGTTCAACCGCTTCATACGAAAATGATTAGTTTGACCACTTCCGAGTACCAATCTGCCCAACTTCCACCGCCGGTTCGTCCCTAACTTCAGGCATAAAATCCTGGGAATACTTGTGTTCACTATGAATCCGAGAAACTTGTTTGCATACAATAATTCCTCAACAATGTTTGCTATAAATTGATGAAGTCGTTTTGCATAAAAATAAATCCTCAACAACGTTACGACATGATCTGCCAAGACAAACACCCTGCTCTGAGAGCTGAAGCGAATATAATGTACTGCGGTGACGAAATGTGAATGAAGTGCGACAAGCTTGGTGACAGTCACACCAACTTCCTCAAAATAAGCTTACAAATCTCCATCGTGAGACGCTTGTCTGGGCAGCTTAGCCGTGCAGGCGTTTGCCAGTATTCCCCACCCTTGGTTGTCACGGGCATCATCAAGACCAGCAACATAGATGGAATAGCTGTTCACACTATCTCCCTCGTCTGGCGCCTTAGTACGTCGACACAAGACGCGTACTAACACACGTGTAGACGTGTTCATACTAACACCCCAGAAAAGGTCGATGGCCCGAATAATTACGTCATCCGTGATACTAAACCCCGTCTTAAGTCTCCCGTAAAACTGAAACTCGGCAAGCTGTGGCATAGCAGCCGAGTTTACGCATTCTCGGCCACGCTTCGCACACATCAACAACACACATTTACTACGTCCCCGTCTCCAAAGCCTATCCAAAACACCCGATCTGGATCCGGCACGCACTCGGAGCGCCGCTCCACACGCGCTGCGGCCCGCCCAGATCAGGTCACCCGCCCAGGTCAGGTCACCCTCCCAAGTCAGGTCAGCTGACCCCGCTCCCACTGCCCACCTGCTGGCATTTGCGGTACTTGGCGAGGTTCAGGGCAGCGATCTCCTCCGCCTCGTCGATCTGCCGCTTGTACGTCTTGATCTTCTGCTGGAGCGAGTCGACCAGGTCCTGCATGCGCTGGTGATTCTTCTTGTCCTCGTCCGCCTGTTTCGCGTGCAGGCGCCACATGTGAGCAGCGCGTGCGATACCGGCACGAGCAGAGCCCTCGGGATGCAGGTAATTGAAACAACTGGGCCAGCGATCTGTTCTGAGAAAGGTAGCTTTCAAAGCGAAAGAACACTAAGCGTTGATCATCCAACATTGATCAATCTAAGCCAAGTATTCATCAACCGAAACGCTAGTACCTTAAACCCCAAACAAGTGGCCCTCTGTTCTCGAATGTACTCGCATTCGAAGAGCACGCCGCCTGACCTGGAGCAAACCTCCTACCCCTCAGCCTGCATTGGCCTGCTCCCATGCTCCCCAGGAGACGGATCGGGGGGGGGGGGGGGGCGTCACCTGACCTGGAAGATGAGCTCCTTGATGCGACGATCAGCCTTCCGCAGGTTCTTCGTGACGTCACTGTGACGGCGTTGCTCATGATCCAGCTCGGACTCGAGCGAACGCAGACGCTCCTCTAGCTTGGAGATGATGCGGCGGCCGTTCTGCGCATGGCAGGATGGGAGTCATGGCAGAGGGGTGGGTGTCACGGCAGAGGGTTGGGTGTCACAGCAGAGGGGCGGAAGTCATGGCAGGGGGGTGGGTGTCACGGCAGAGGGGTGGGTGTCACGGCAGAGGGGTGGGTGTCACGGCAGAGGGTTGCGTGTCACGGCAGAGGGGCGGGAGTCATGGCAGGGGGTGGGTGTCACGGCAGAGAGGTGGGTGTCACGGCAGAGGGTTGGGTGCCACGGCAGAGGGTTGAGTGTCACGGCAGAGGGGGGTGGGTGTCACGGCAGAGAGGTGGGTGTCACGGCAGAGGGTTGGGTGTCACGGCAGAGGGGCGGGAGTCATGACAAAGTCCAGCGGGATGTTACGCCAGTACAAATCCGGTCGCGGGAAGGGGGCGGTTTTGCAAAAGGCGTGGCGGAGGCGCACTCACAGCTGCGGTGCCACGTTGAAAGGAACGTGCCGCCTTCAGGTAAAGACCATGATAGAGAGGCGCCAAACTGGAATCGCCAGGCTACAGCGGTTTTAGAAAGAACAAATTTCACAAAGCAGGATGCCGAAAAGACATGTGTGATGAAAGTAATACATCGCGGCTTACAGTTGACAGTCAGCAAAGAAGCCACAGCCGTATCATGGTCCATAGATTTAAAATTTATCAGTTCCTCACCGAATTTACTTCCGCCGCTATGGCTGCTGACCAATACACTATCAAACACTCTTGCAAAGCACAAGTTATTTCATTCGACCACACGGGTGCCTGTGAAGAGCCTGGCTGCTAAAACTGCCGTGCATGCTGCGGTGGACAGCCCATAAGAGCCCATTACGTCCGCTGCAGCCCACGTGGACACATTCCTCCCACTCCGGCCCCGGCAGTTCCGTTCCTCCCGCTCCATCCCAGCGCGGATCCGTTCCTCCCCTGTCGGCCCTGGCAGACCCGCTCCTCCCACCCCGACCCGCCCTCGTCTGACCTTGACGGCGTTGGCCTCGGCCTCGTCCAGGCGGATCTGCAGGTCCTTGACGGCAGACTCCATCGACTTGCGGCTCTGCTCGTGCGACTGGGCGTTCTCCTGCTCGGCGCGCAGCTCGTCAGCCAGCCTGCCGGACGCCAGAGAGAGGCATGACGTCACTGTGAGGGGGGGGGGGCTAGACGATGCCGGGGACGTCGTGCTGCAGCCTTGGGGTGTCGATGTAGCAGGGAGCTCGAAGCTCGCAATAATCCGGTGAAAGTCAAGTGCTTGCTTGTTACAGACCAGAACCCTGCTGCCACACAGCTTTTGCCACCGTTATAACAAGAAAGCGTCACGACAGGCGAAACGCCAAGATTAAAATGCTTCACACAATATCAGGAAGAAATGCAGAGCGCTTCCGCGACAGTCGGGAGAGTTAGAAACCACACCAACACCGGCACCGGCAAACTGCCGCAAGCACCGACACAGCCCTATCCAGCGGCAGTTCGCTCCGACCGCACAAGCTCCTGCTTGTTCCCCTTCGCATCCCGTTTAGGGGTTCAACCACTCCACCCAAGACCGCCACAAAGTCCACCCACCCTCCTCACGGGTCCCGCCCTGCCCTGCGGACGTGGCCCACCTGGCGGCGTCGATCATGGCACGCTTGGCCTTCTCCTCGGAGGAGCGGGCCTCGTTGAGCATCTCGTCCAGGTCGACGTGCAGGGTCTTGACCTCCTCCTCGAGCTTGTGGCGGGCGGCGGAGGCGCTGTTGTAGTTGGCCTCACTCTCCGACAGCTGCTGCTGCACGTCGCCCAGCTCGGCCTCCGCCTGCCCGGGGTCACGAGGTCACAGTCAGGTCACAGGAGCAGCGCCGACCCCCGAACACTGTTCGCGATGATTGGTGGGGACCTGAGACGAACGGAAGGCAGGCTTTGTTTCGGGCTTCAGTGTAATTGTCTAGCAGCATGGAGTACTAGCAGGGAATCTACAGATGCAATCACCTGGAACTATGTGTGCTCCTCTGTTTACATGGATCCTGCGATGATACACTGCTAATCTGACGCTGATCACATGCCTTGTTCCTCTATGCCTTTGCCTGACCTTAAACGACGCCTATCGATTTCCTCCTGGCGAACTTGTGGCTTATCGACCGGTGGCGGCCGCTGTCAGCCTGCCCCAGGCGGCTTCCTGCCCTCCTGACCCATCCCCAACCCCTGCTCACCCTGTGACCCCGGTGGAACCCGTTGGCGGCCACGGTCGGCCTGCTGTGATCCGTCCTTGACCTCTGCCCACCTCCATGACCCCGGTGATCAACTGACCTGTCGGTGGCCGTGATTGGCCTCCTATGGTCCGTCCCTGACCTCCGCCCCCCTTCATGACCTCGACGACCGACTGACCTGGCGGCGACCGCGGTCGGCCTGCTCCAGCAGGGTCCGGCTCTCCTCCAGCTCGCCGTGCAGGGCGTTGGCGCGTCGCTCGGACAGGCTCAGCGCCTCGCGCACCTGGGCACGCGAGCGCTCCTCCTCCTCCAGCTGCACCTGCACGTCCCTCAGCTCCGCCTGCACCCGCTTGATGGTCTTCTGACCCTCCATGGTCTCGATGTTGGCCCGCTCCACCGACACCTCCAGCTCGTTGATGTCCGTCTCCAGCTTCTTCTTCATCCGCATCGCCTCGGCACGGCCCTTGGCCTCGGCCTCGAGCGAAGCCTGCATCGACTCCATCTGACGCTGGTGGTTCTTCCTGCCGGGTGGAGGGGAGGGGTGAGCGCTCCGCAGATGAGTGCTCCACCGAGGAGCCCTCGCGGTTGTCTGGTGCCGCGGCTCAGAACATAGTGCTCTACTGGACATGTATGGCAGATCTGTTCAAAGTGTTCTTTTTTGACATGGCGTCAGCCTTTCGGTGCTTGAGCGATCACGAGGAGACATTCTATAAAGGAGTTACAAAGAGGCCTCAATGTGGCACCTTAAAGAAACTGGCTGGCTTCCTGTCAAACAGGGGCGCGCAAAGTAAGTGGATTGAGGGACTAGGGCCACAAGTTTGTGATAATTTGGCAATGGTCTATGAAAGTTAACAAGAAAAAATGACAAAGAATAGTCATAGCCACATCCCCTTCAGCATAGGATTACTTGCATGGCCCACTCTACCGCAAAAACTATATCCATACATAACGAGTCGCAGAAGTTAGCGAACATCGTCGGCTACAGAGCATCTGTGCCGTGGGCTGCCCATAGCCTGGATCACACGAAGGATAGCTCGCCGCGCTGACCTTGTGGCCTCGAACTCCTCCTCCTTCTCCTGGATGCGCCGCTCGATCTCCTGGCGCGCCTGGTTCAGCTCCAGCTGACCGCGCAGTACCTTGTTCTCTTCCTGCTCCAGCGCGCTCTCGGCCTCCTCCAGCGCCGACTGCAGCTCCTCCTTCTCCTGCTCCACCCGCTGGCGCAGTTTCTCCACCTCGGCCAGACTCCGGCCGCCGTCCATGATCTGGTCCATCAGGTCCTGCCGCCGACCGGCCGCGTCAGTGGTGGTCAGGTATGGAGCAGGTATAAGAGGCGGGTGCGTGAGGCATTTGTGATGCCAATATGTAACTTTGTGTGCTTAGGGAAGTCCCAGGTTAACAATGATTTCGTATTTCAACTTTGCGCCTGCGGGGATTGGAATTTCCGCACTTCCCATGTATGGCAAGAATGGCTTTAAAAGGACTTAAAGTATAGTTGACCCCGTCCCTAGTCCTTTTTGCAGAGCTTTCCTGCACGGAGCCGCTTGAGAACGTCTGAACAGACAGGCAAGGACCTTGTGGACACGATGATAACCCACTCCTAAACAAACAAACAGACAGACAGACAGACAGACAGACCAGGTCTAAGACTTTTGCTCCCTGGCTTCACCCAACCAATGGCTGAGCTACGACTACGGGCCAGTGCCGTTACCAACCAGTCAGTCCCAGCCAGTCCTAGGAAACCTCACACTCTTGGGCATCTAGCCACCCGACCCTCCTTCTCACCTTGACCTCATCGGCCAGGTTCTTGTTCTCGCGGCGCACAGATTCGAGCTGCTCGTTGCTCTCGTCGAATGCGCCCCGGACGCGGAACAGCTCGGTGCTGTAGTTGCGGCAGTCGCGCTGAGACGTGTCCAGCTCGGAAGCCACGTCATCCACCTGGCGGCGGGCAATCGAAGCTCAGTTGTGCGTGGCGGCAGGTGGTGGCGATGCTATAGCATCTGCGTTGGACGGCAGGTCGATAATGATAATATAATAGTTCTACAAAATAACACACCTAACTTTTATTGACTATCGAGGTTATCTTTCCGCAAGATGAATGGAAGGGCTGATCAGGAAAATATTAATCAAGCTGCCACAATATCCGTAAAAAACGCATTCTTCTCAGTTTCGGCCTGCTTTCTTCTCAAAGTTCGAGATTCTGGAGCTTTCCTTATTGAACAAGAAACTCCACCCCTGCTGTCTGCATAATGGTCTAATGGTTAATTATTCTACAAATCCATCCCCAACTGATGTCTGTGACGATCCTCTGAAGGCAGATCCGATTTGTCCACGAAACAATGCAATACCCAGAAACAATGTAAACAATACAGCGCCAACAACGAGAGCAGCCACACGCACCAGGTCAAAACCCAACGCCGTATCGAAGACGAGGCTTCACTTGTTGAAGCTTATGCGCGCTGGGGCTTCAATGGTCAATGAGTGCCTTCACTTATGCGAGACAACTCTGTCTGAGATAGGGCGAGGTTAGGGTAAGCGTTCTCCCCACACGTACCTTCATCTTCCACTCGGCGATGATCTTGTCGAAGCCCTTGGCCTTCTTCTCCATCTGGCTAGCCAGCTGCTGGGCACGCTCTACCTCGGCATGCATCTCGTCGATCTCGCCTGTCAGCCGCGCCTTGATCTTCTCCAGGCTGATGTTCTTCTGGTTGAGCACCTCCAGCTGCTCGGTGGCTTCCTGCAGGCGGACGGCCAGCTTGCGGCGCTGCTCCTCCAACTCCTCAGCCCTGCAACGGCAGATCAGCGTCAGAGGCAGATCCACACTTGGGGCTATATTGGGGATTGTGTGAGGGACTATATTAGTGATATAATTGGCATTAGATTGGAGATTAGAAAGAGGATTATGTTGGGTATCAAAGTGGAGACCAAATAAGGGATTGAATATTGGATTGTAGATTAGATAAGGGGTTTTATTGGATATCAACTTGGAGAGTAAATAAGGGAATATATTGGGGATTACATTGTAGTTTAGATAGAAGGTAATATTGGAGATGAGACGAGTGGTCACGGGTGGAGATTTGCGCTTCTTTGGGGGATCTTGGCCTCGCAGGTTTGTCTCGATTTGCTCGTCATTTAACCCTGTTCTGCTCGGCCTCACCGGTACCCCTATTCCGAGCAGGAGGGAGCGGATTACGCTCATGCATCAACCGATTTCAACGCAGTCAACTCAGGTCGATAGATTCAGTACCGCAGCGTCATTTTAAACTGGTTAGTTCATGGTAGTATCCAGAAGACGCAAAACGAAGTAATACACATCCTGTCAAAATGAGTTTTTAATTGTCCGTTCCGATAGCTCAGCTGGTTAGAGCACCTGTCTTCCGGTCCACCCAACCGTGGCGGTGGAGCGGGGGGGGGGGGGGGGGCGGGGGGTGTTTCTGCAGGGCAAGGTCGATGAGGTACCGTTCTCTGCAACGTTGGTAGGTTTCCACCTCAAAGACCTGGTCCACCGAGCCCTCACCTGGCGACGCCCTCCTGCTCGTACTTGTTACGCCACAGGTTAGCCTCAGCCTGGGCCTTGGCCACCTGGCGGCCCAGGTCCGATTTTCTCTCCGCCTCCTCGTCCACCTGTGAACCAATCCGCAGGTGAGGTCGGTGCGAGCAGCCAATCGGGGCACCGCACGCACAATAACTGGCCAGTGAAGACGATTGTGACATTGCAGACAGCCAGTCGGATGACGAAGCAAACAGACGAGGATGAGAACGTATTACAGTAAATCGATCAATGAGCTGGATGATGTGAAAGATGACCATTCAAGCGAGTGAGCTCAACCGCGTTAACAATTATGTAAAACTCATTACAACTGACTTCTTTCTATCACTTGACGGATTGTTCGTGGCTGGCTACAGCACCACACAGAAGCCTGTCACGCAGTCCACCTGTAGGCCTCCTTGTCGCATGACTCCAGCCTGCTTCATAGCCCTGACCTGTTCGCGCATGGTGTCGATGTCGTGCTCGAGGTTGCGGAACTTGCTGAGGATGGTGGCGCGCTCGCGTCCCTCCTCGTCGCACAGCCGGTTGCAATCGTCCAGCTGTGTCTGCAGCGTGGCGCGTAGCTTCTGCAGCTGCGACAGCTGCGACTCGGCCGTCTCCAGCTGCAGCGGCGTTGCCAGAGGTCAACACAAGGCGCCGGCGGTGTCCACGGTCACAGACAACCACCGGCGGAGGCCAGAGGTCACCACGAGGTGCCGACGTAGGTGAGAGGTTAGCACGAGACGCCGGCGGAGTCAGGAGCCACAGATGAGCACCGGTGGTCGGAATCGTGCACGACACCGGTGGGGGTCAGAGGTCTTAAAAGGGCATCGGCAAGGATAAGATGTTACAAGTGGGAAGTCAAATGTCATACAAGTCACCTGCAAGGCAGTCCGATGTGACTTCGTGAGTTTACCGCAGGCAACCTCACGCAAGAGTGCACATCACAGCTCCCCCGCCCCCCACCACCACCACCACCTCCACCACCTCCCACATCCCTTCCCACACACACAGTTAGACATTTAGAGCCACACCGACAGGCGAAACCCCCCAACGACGGCTGCTGACCTCTTGCATCAAGTCGGTGTTCTCGACGGTCAGTTTCTTTTTGGCACTGTCGAAGTCGCCGAGCGTCCTGTTAGCCTCCTCCAGCTTGGAGTTGATGCTGCCCAGCTGATCCTGGAGCATCTTGGTCTGCTTCTCCTCACTGGCCTGTCGCATCGCGTCTTGGGTTAACGATCGCGGACGTCACGTGACTCACAGAGCTTTCGCTAGAGGCCTAGGGAGCTGAGCCAATGGGAAGAGGCTGCTATCTATCTATCTATCAGGGTTATAATCGCAAGCAGGGGATCGCAAGCAGCTGAAGCTGCCGATTGACGAGTGAAAAGTCGTTCAAAGAACTACTCATATGATGAGTGGAACATAATTAGTATTGACCAGTGGATGTTTGAGCCAATATTTTATCTCACAAGGGAATCATTGCCTCATTCTGATCAGCTTGTGCACATACATTTAGTTCATGCCAAAATTAATGCATTGAATTACATTACGATGAAGAATCATTAATGGTTTTTGGTACTTATCCTCAGTCGTAATGCCCAGAGGTCACATCTACGGAACGACATCAGGCGGAAGCAGTAGAGTGACATGAACATCACTAGCCAGCCCCGCGCCAAAAAGCTGAAGAAAGCCATGCGTGTGTTGTTCGGTCTTCAACGGAGGGAGCCGCACGAATGGCACAAGAGAGCGCGATGAAGAGAGGGAAGGGACGTGCACAGGCTGTCTACGCCGGCAGAGAGGGAAGCGAAGGTTACCGTCGCGTGACAGGTCCGCTCCAGGGCGAGCCGGTACGCCTCAGCTTCGTCCGCCAGCCGGGACGTCTGCTTCTCTATGCTAAAAACGGAAACGGAAACCCACTGCGAAAAACCGCTCGCAAAAATCACGAACTCAAAGAGGTCAAAAATATCCGCCGGCTCTGCAAAACAGCCAGCCGGGTTAGTCGACACTCGCTGCAGCGCTGTCTCCGCTCTTCGCCGGGGGCGGCGCCACCGTCGCCGTCTACCTTCTCGTTGTTGGTGAGGTCGAGCGCCGACCTGAGCTCCTGCGCCTCGCTGCGCATGGAGTCTGCCTCGCGCTCGGACCTGTAATCGGCCGGAGGCAGGCGTCTGCCGGCGCGGCTCTCTTGCCAGCGGGGCTCGATTCCGGCGGGTCCGGCGGCGAGGCTACACCACTACGGGGCGACTCCACAGGCGGCGCTAGCTAGGCAAACCTCTATGCAGGCGGGGCACGGCACGGACGGCACGGGGACGCCACGGCGCGGCATGGGCGGCGGACGGACGCGAGCGTCGAGCGTCGGTCCGGACTGAGAGAGTGAGTGGTGCTCGCCTTCGGCGGAGGCGAGGCACATGATCGAGATGTATCCTCCGCATGCTGGAGATGCCACGAGAGATGCATTTTTGACCTAGTAAGTGACGGGCAAAATGTATCTGCACTCGATCGAAGTCCCGTTCCCTAAGGCTACTTTTTCCCCGCACTAAGAACTGTTCTAGTCCCACTCTAGCCCGTTCTGTCGCCGTTGTGGCTTCGTTCTAACCCCGTCAGTAATTGAAGCCATTCAGCTGTATTTTTGGTCGTTCTTTATCTGAATGTAAGAATAAAGTAGCCTACATCCGAAGTGCACTTTGATTTGGAAGCAGGTTGGGTAAATGTATATTTGGATCAGTTATGTCCTTGATTATGTCCCCGATTCAAATTCCTTTGAAAAACTTGATATCAGCCAAGGTTTCTTTTGACAGGACTTCCATGACCAATCGGTTGTGACGAAGCCATCCCTGCTCTCTGAACCGGAACCGTCGCTCGACACCTGTATATTCTGTGTCGTGTTCAGGGTGTGTGCTGTTGCGTTCGCGCTGTTCACACCATTCGACACCACTAAGCACCCTCAGCAGCGCTACGGGACGGACACCGTGTGGAGACGATGCAAGCTGTGATACCTTCCCACTGTTGACGTGGTCTATGGCAGCCCGCAGTTCGTGGGCCTTGGACGAATTATCCAGTTTCTCCTTTTCCGCCCTGAGGTGTCGGCACAAGCGTGGCTATACCATGGGTCTCAATGAGCTCGAGGGAATGGCGCCAGCTGCTGATGCAAGAAGGAAGACCAACGGAGAGTTTTCGTTGGAATCCCCATCAACACTGTTTGTTTCATGCTGGTATTTTTACGCTGTTATCACCCCTGTCTTCCTTTTTTCACTAAGCTTCCCATGTGTGTCATTCTCTCCCGCACGCATCCATCTACCTACTCTCCCTACTCACGCGCCCGCAAACCAGACAACAGCGACGATAAACACGTCAGTGAGGACGCGTACTAGAAAACCCCATAGTCTCTGCACCCATGCCACCTGGTGACTGGAACCTACTTGGCCTTGGACTTGTTCAGCTGGTCGATCTGTTCGGCCATCTCGGTGATGGCGTCGTTGTGCTTCCTTCTCAGGCCACCCAAGGTCGTCTCCTGCTGGATGCTCTGAGGACGAGTACGGGAGCACGTGACCGCGGGGGTCCCAGGAGGGAATGTGAATGACTTGAAGCGTCACTAGGCTGTCGCACTGGTTAAACAGCGGGGTGTGTTACTGACAGAACGATCAAGGTACTCGCATCCTGAGTACGCTGGGTAACCTCTCAGCTCAACTTCGGGAAGCTCCTCCACGACAAAGGAAGCCGCTTCTCCCACTCCCTCAGTGGGTCAGCAGACGTCATCACCTGTTCCTCGATGTCACGCCGCAGCTTGGCAATTTCGTTCTCGCGCTTCTTGTTGAGCTCCATCTGGGCGGCGGTGGCGCCACCTGCTTCCTCCAGCCGCTCCGTCAGCTCCTCCAGCTCACGTGCCTGGCAGTGGCACAGCGGCGGGTCACAGTGCCGCATGGGTTGGACGGTCTCTGATCTCGGGTCAGCAATCACGGGTAAACGCCGGCTTATGTTGAGGCGGGGTTTTCTATTGTGCTACCGCGTTGATACATGAAGGACTGCTACATGAGAGACTACTTTAAGGTTTCTATGGAGGAAAAGCTTCTCGTACTTAGTTCCCTTGAAACGGACTGCGTTCTTTCAGCGCTGGGTATAGCAAAGCTCACTGGATCGTTAACCGACTAAGGCCTTCAATCAGTTCAGCCGGTGGCTCCACCGAAACCTTTCGCTTCGACGCTTTACATCCACCGCCAGCTGACAAGTAAACAGCTGCGTGCTTGAGCCACACACCACTAACGACCACCAGCGTGCCGTGCTGGCCCCGCCGGGCTGCCGCTCACCAGTACTCTCCCTGACCAGGTCCCACACACCCCACCACGACAGGCCCCCACCGCCCGCTGTCCAGAGCCGGTGACGTCACCGGTGACGTCACACACTGACCAGGTCGGCGCGCTGCTTCTCAGCCTTGGCGCGGCCCTGGCGCTCGGACTCGAGCTCCTCCTCCAGCTCCTCGATGCGACCCTGCAGCTCCTTGATGGTGCGCTGCAGCCGGGTGACCAGGGCCTGCTCCTCCTCCAGTTTCGCTGCGAACGGGGCGGATAACGCGCCGTAGCCAGCAACCGACGCCGCCGTAACCAGACTGGATATCACAAATGGACGGTGCGTCGTGGTGTCCATGGCGGGTTTTATGATCTGGATCTGAAAGCTGCATCTCTAATCACTCGTAAATCATGGAAAACCACGAAATGTTTTGTCTTAGTTACTGTCAGCTCGTAAGTAGGACTCTTTTCCTCGCATGGCCGACTTTTTGAGTTCTTCGACCATTACTTGACTTGTGAAGGTAGTTCTGATATGAATCATCAGTCAGCTGGCAATTCGACGTGCCCTGCCATCAAGCGTACATGCCCCCCCTTGCCCCCCCCCCCCCCCCCCCGACGAACACAGACCGGGTGCATCCGGCCGGGTGCTTGCGCGAGCCTCCCGCTTACTGGACAGCTGGGCGATCTCCCGGTCCTTGCGCATCATGGTCTGCTCAAGCTCGCGCTTGTTCTTCTCCAGGTCGGCCACGGCCTCCTGGGTCAGCTTGAGGTCACCCTCCACCTTCCGCTTGGCCTTGTCCATCTCGGCGCGCGTCTTCTTCTCGCGCTCCAGCGAGTCCTCCAGCTCGTCCAGCGTCTGCTCCAGCTTGGCCTTCACCTTGGTCAGGTGGCCCACCTTGTCCTCCTGGGTGCCGAAGTCGTCCGTCGTCTTCTGCTGGGTCTCCTGTGGATTTGCAGTGTAATCAGCACATGTTTTCTGATTGCATGCCTGTAATCGGTTGGCTTCAGTACGCAAACCAGCCTGGCCTGCGCGGATTATTGTCATGTGATCTACGGCTATTATATGTATCAGGGCTAATAGAAATTCGTGGAAACAGTGAAGAGGCGGTTTATTTGACAGACTGACGGTTGATGTAGGAAGTGGTCCTTGAAGTAGGAGTAAATCAGAACATATATCAAAGCACACAACAAAAAAAACAACTTGAAAACCAACATCTTCAGGAAGGTCGGTACCGGCCACACCAAAACCTTCAACAAAGTCTTGTCACCCAAATTATTCATCACTCGGGTTGCCATGCCTGTTGACCCAACACTCACCTGGAGTCGTTTCTTCTCGCGGTTCAGCTTGTTGATGAGCTCGTCCTGCTGCGAGATCTCGTCGTTGAGGGTGCGGATCTTGTGGTCGCGTGCCGTCTTGTCGGCTTCCAGCTTCTTCATGGTGGCCTGGACCTCGTCCAGGTCCTTCTTGAAGCTGCTCAGGTCCTGCTCCATCTTGCGCTTCTCCTGCGACAGCTTCTGACGCGCCTCCTCCTCCTCCGACAGACGATCCTGGGCGTCCTGAGGTCACAAGATGCCAGCAAGCGTCAACCGGCGGCCGACACTCATCAACCGGCGGCCGACACTCGTCAACCGGCGGCCAGCAGCCGTCAACCGGCGGCCGACACTCATCAACCGGCGGCCGACAATCATCAACCGGCGGCCGACACTCGTCAACCGGCGGCCAGCAGCCGTCAACCGGCGGCCGACACTCGTCAACCGGCGGCCGACACTCATCAACCGGCGGCCGACACTCGTCAACCGGCGGCCGACACTCATCAACCGGCGGCCAGCAGCCGTCAACCGGCGGCCAGCAGCCGTCAGCCGGCGGCCGACACTCGTCAACCGGCGGCCGACACTCGTCAACCGGCGGCCGACACTCATCAACCGGCGGCCGACACTCGTCAACCGGCGGCCGACACTCGTCAACCGGCGGCCAGCAGCCGTCAACCGGCGGCCAGCAGCTGCCATCAGCTGGTCAACGGGCGTCATATGCGAACACGGAAGTCCGCTGCTCTGCTCTTAAAGACAGCGGGAGAGACAAACACAGTTGTTGCAGCAAAATGCGTCATATGGCAATAATCGGACCAACGAAGGAGTCCACATCTTAAAATCAGCGTAGCACGTGAAAGACAACGTAACGTAGCAACGTAGACGACGTCAAACAAAGCTAAGCTCATCAAAAACGTTCTCCGGACTTCTTCGGCAACATGTCATCAGATCTCAACTATCAAAGACGTTGAGAAGCCGTTACAAATTTCGCTGCCCCTAGAACGCGGTCAAATGAATGCATGAATAAGGTAACACCTGCATGTCGCAGATTCATGTTCTTCACTTGCCCGAAATATTTCCCGAAAATGAAAATAAAAAATACAACAACGATCCCAGCTACGTAATGCACCAAATAGGAAGCCTGATGCAGAGCAGCATCGACTCGGATCATCACATTCTAGAGACCAGAGCAGAATCATGCGTGTGTTATCGCGACGTCCGGAATCAAGCCAAGCCGTAATCGTAACGGCTTGGCTTGTGGTGCTTGTCGGCATCAGCCCCCACCAACGGAAATAAATGACCGAAGGTGAAACTGCGCGGCAGGGGTCTGGAACGCAGGATTTTCAAAACAGAGTCGGTTTAGGTTCCAAGAATTCTGCCACTGACTCAGTTTGATCACACCGCAGTCGGTTTATACACAGCCTGCCAGGCGTCAGTGCGGTGGTTTGATAGGGTTGTAAAGGGGAAGGTCGCTTCTATAGATAGCACATTAATCGTTTTACGATCTCATGGTGTGCGAGAACGCAGACGTCCGTTTCCAGTTAGCGACAGTAAATAATGCTGTTGGAATAAAATCCTCGCATTCAATCAAAAATTCGGACAACGGAGTTCCTTCAAAGCTTCATGAATCAGTGCGCCTGCGTGCAAGCAGGACAGAGAAGTCTTCTGTCTCACCCTCGAGCGCGTTCTTCCAAGATCAGCTCTAATTGGAATCTCCACAAGGGTTCTCAAACTAAATTCGAAGCAGCAATGACACCCTCTCTCAAGAAGAGCAGGAGCAACTACACAACTTCGGGCTCTCTGCAGCAATGACATCTACTCGCCCTACTCAGCCCACGTTACCAGCCCTCGCCCTGTACTGCTCTCTCCTTCGACTCTCGCCCTACCTTGCCCTCTCCTCCGACTCCCACCCTATCCTGTCCTCCCCTCCGACTCTCGCCTTACCCTACCCTTCCCTCCGACCCTCGCCCTCTACGCCCTTCCCCCTTTTCCCCAATCCTCTCCCTGACCCTCGCCACTACTCACAGTCAGCTGGCTCTCGAGGTCGGCCTTCTGCGCCGCCAGCTTCTGCTGCTTGGCCAGCTCGTCGCCCATCTCGCCCCGCTCGGACTCCAGCCGCGAGAGCAACTCGTTCTTCTCCTTCAGCAGCTTGATGTTGGCCTCCTCTGACTCCTTGCGCTGCTTCAGCTCAAGTTCCAGTGCCGCCTCCGCCGCCTCAGCCTCCTCCTTCAGCCTCTGTCGGGGACATGGTCGGCGTTAGCTATAGCGAGACGTGTTGGGGGGGGGGGGAGGGGGGGGGGGCGACGACAGAGGGACGGGAGATGCGGGCGTCGTCAGCAGGGCAGGCATGCAGCGGCAGCATGGTGGCAGACATGGGCACAGTCAGCAGGTGCGGAGGCGGCATCGCCAGGAGAAGGATGGCATCGGCACCAGCACAACAGCGAGACAAGAAATGGGGGAGGGGAGACAGCCACACGAACTGGAGGAAGCAGGCGGTGCGTGGACGGCGCCAATGGCCATACAGAAGAACGGCTGAAGCGATGGGCAGGAGGCGCGACAGTGAAACGGTAGTGAAGCCTTCAGACCACGAATGTGGTCGCAGATCCAAGGAAAAGAGGACTGGTAGAACACGACGAAAAATGGTTACGCAATAAACCTCTCACGTTTCATCTGTGTGTGAGGAATGAGAAAAATCATTAAGTTATTTGCATCCAGGTTACACCGCTAAAAACGCCTGCATCCATTGGTGGAGAATGCAGTGTAGCTACGGCAGCACCAACTATTCATGAAATTGTTGCGGATGCGACGTTTGGTGATTGACAGAAGCTCGTTTTAGCGGATTTGTCACGTCCAGTTTCTCCAGAACTGTCCATTCGTGCCCGCATCTGAAGCATTTGGCGAGGAACATGCTAGCAATTCGCATCAGCCTTTTGGCTGTTTTGAACTTTCCACTTGTCGAAGACTGCTGTCGATGTGAACCCTATTACCTGCACTAGGGCTTCGATTCCAGCTCGCCATTCTTCATATCTAACCACCGCATCTTCAACGCTCTCTTCGAACTCTCCAACACAGTAATCCATGTCGCCGAGGATCACTAAAACTCCGCAAGCTTCCCTCGCACGGTGTTTGAGAGCTGCCGCTGACTTTGCCGGGCTCCAAGACAGCTCTGACCCCCACCAGCCCATCCGCCGGCGTAGTTCGGAACTCAGGCGACAGGTGGCTCTGCCCGCGGCTGGTTTTGGAACCGCCATGTTTATACGTTATCAATCACGCCAGTTTGGTAAATCAACGGGAGAGATACCTTCGGTTAAAAAAACATCGGTCGTCACGCTCGCTTCGTACGGTCCGATGCCCGACGAAAAATATCGGCAGGGCAGGCAGCCATGCTACTCTGCATGATCAGGTGTGTTTAACGAAAAGGATAAATCACAAAAGTTGAGCTCTTGTTTGGTTTGAACCTCATTACCTCTGAAGCAACATCGTTACGGACTCTGCAAGATTGAGCTTAAGGGTTCAGCTCAATCCTGTTTATGCCAAACCCGTAGTCCATCGATGAGTTCTGAACTTCCTGTTTACGAACAGCGCATCTAAACAGCATGGCAAATAGCATTCGAAGTGATGCGTCAGAACGCCTGAGGCTAGCGACTGCGTACCGCTGGTTTTAAATACTAAGATGGGAAAGTTAACTGATGCTCTTTCACAACTATCGATTTCCGCAACAATGTCATAAATATGTAACATTTCATGTCCATTTTACCACAGATGCTCGCCCCGAATTAAGCCATTTCTTCAGTATCCACCTGTTCAAAACGCGGCCGCACAGTTTGGCTTCAGCTAGCGTCTAGGGCGGCAGCCACTCAAAAGCTGGCGAGAGTCCAGATACATCTTTCCGTTGCTTTGTCTGGTTATCCACCTGATGCAGCAACAATATTTGCACACCTAGAATAGAACAGCGCCGGGGCAGGTAGCGTGATGGACTACAGGCTCTGGGTATTGCAAATCTATTTCATTTGTTAGTTCCTTGTGCATTTAAACCATATTTATGCAGCTAGAGGCTAAAATGTTCATAAGCGTCCAGTTTCAGTTGAGTGTCTTTCGCTCCAAAGTGCTTCAGGCTCGATTTTGCGTTTGTTTGACCAGATCTGGTAACCGCTGCCGTTATCTCTAGCGGTACTAAAATCGTTACAGTTGGAGACTGCTGGGACAACGCAGCGCTCAGCTTGATTTCGAGGTACATTTGCACTGGACACAGGTACTAGAATCCATCCCACAGTTAACGATGCTGACTGCATTGCTGGCGGGGGCATGTCGTGGTGCTGGAAGGCTGCCTTACTCGGGAATGTGTTATAGTGTCTGGGCCAGACTGAGACCTGTGGGGCTCCGGTACACCCTGAGCCTACGTCTGCCGCAGCCGCATAGGCTTACGGCGTGATACGCGGCGGTAAATCCAGGTACGCGGATGATGAGCGAAGTTCGCCCCAGACTCGACTGCATTTCATAACAGCTATAGGCGTCAGAACGGCAGCGTTCTGAGCGGCTTGTTGGAAAATGCAGCGTTGGTTATGGTGCATAGAATGAAAGGAATAAATCGGATGACCCTTATCCGCCTCTCACTGTTCGATGGTATTCCGTGGTTATGAGCACAGCCGGGGCTGTTCGTGGGTGGAATTCTGAAGATGAAATGAAATCCAGCCACTTTAGATGCAATTCAACAGCCGATGCAACGCTATCACAATTTTTCCAACACCATCCAGTTTACTTTATCTTTGCAAGCATGGTTTGTTGCGTAATCTATATCACTTATCATCATCGCATATTCTATTGCAAAATGCTTATCACTTTTTGACCCACTCCATCACAGTAAGCCAAATGTATCATGGTTGCCACAAATTAACAATTTAAATCGATATTGGGTCACTCAGCACGCTCCAAACAATTTGTTCCGGCCCGGGATTTGGGTCCAGTGGATTCTTAATCCGTGCTTATTTAGACTTCCTGGTTCAATCCGGTCCAATCCACTAAGAAAAAATCACCACCGAGCTTCCCCCAATTGCGAGGAACTTAATTCAAACCGTACCTGGCGTGTAAGGACCATTTCGGGCCTAGGAAAGAGGGGGAAGCAAGGTAAGAAGGAGGATGATGCCACGATAGGATGACCTCTAACACAGACTCCGGATAGTACCTTTTTATTGTGTTAAGTCCTGCTGTATTGTAAACAACGCAAGCCCGTTTGCACCGTGTACAGACAACGGGATTAATCGGAATGTGAGGGGACCAGGCTTTTGAAACAATTGGAATGGCGAACGCTCGCTGCAGCGGGCCTAACCGCGGTGCATTGGCCCTCAGCCGAACGGACCGGAAAGTTAAGCTAAGCCACGTCATTGCCGGTCTGATTCGTTGGAGCGGGTGTCGGTCAGCTGTCTGACATTGACCCGTGCCTGACCTCCCACGTGTTCGACCTTGACCTCGACGCAGGTTCAGTGAAGCCTGCATCAGTCACGTGACCTAACTGAACACCGCCACAGCGGCCATGCAACCAGCCTGGACACCGCCTGTCGTGTCAGGTGACCTATCCGTGACCTGCTACGTGACTGACCTTAAGCTCGTCCTCGATGCGGGTCTGGTAGAGCATGGGGCGGACGCGGATCCAGAGACGGAACCAGGCCCAGCCGTTGAGCTTCATGTACTTGCGGATAGCTCGCTGTACCACCAGCAGCATGGCCCTGCGGGCGTGGCAGGTCAGGGTCAGGGTCAGGGATGGGGTCGGGGTCACAACTCCAACATTGGCACCTGACCCGAGGTCACGGGTCGCGGCGAGGGAGGGCAGGCTGAGAATATGACGCGCGATGCCAGTCAGATTGTGTCGCCAGGCGCCAAAAGACTGCTTCGCCAACGCTGCGTATCCCAGCGTCATGAAAATGAACATGTCATGGAAATAAACACGGTGAATTCTGCAGCAAAGCGGTACAAAAATGGCCATTGTGCCTCATGGGAGAGGATGACAATATGGATGAGCAAAAACAATTTGTAGGATGGAGGGGTATCTGCCACTTACCGCTGTTCCTTGAGCTTCTCGTACTCCTTCCGCGACCTGTATCCGCGGATGCAGGCTTGCATCCAGGAGAAGATCTGGTTGAGCTTGTCATCGCGCAGCTCTTCCAGGTCTCCCAGAACGCCGGCACGGAAGAAGACCTGTTCGCAGTCGCCATGCTGTCATTGTCGCCATCCTCATCAGTTACCAACATAGCAATGCTAACGTGCGTTTCTTGCGTTGCGTGTCTGGTCTTCTGCTTTATTTCTTTTGCCGTCTTTGGAGACCTGCGATTGTGTCTGAGTGGTGTTTTATAAGAACTGAGCACTGTACCTTGCACATCGTGCCTATCATGGAGAGCCAAAAGGCTGCTAGAAGTGAAAAAGAAGCTGAAATGGCGATGGACTCAATTACTATTCATGAAACAAGCTTGAAGATTTGAATGGGGACCGGTAACATGATTCCTTCGCGACATTTCATGCTTTATGTTCACATCGCCGGTCATAAAACGCCAACAATACCCGGCAGTCCAAACACTTTGTTCATGAAGCAAATCACAAGTCGTGGATGGAAAGAGACGGCAAAGGGATCCGTAGTTTTAACTATACCTTTACGCAAATTGTACCTTTACGCAAATGTCAACGCCGCAAAACACAAATATCCAGGCGATAAACATGATATTTGATTATGCCTCTAGACTATACAACTTGTTACCCAAGTCTCAGATGCATACGCATCGCGATTGGCAAAAGCAGAATAAGCTGAGCAAAAGCTTTCATGGCACCGCCGGCCAGTTTCCCTAGGATTGTGACTTATCATTTACCTGTACTAGACATTCTTATTTCGAGCAAAGCGAGTGAGCTGACATCGAGCCGTCGCCGCAGTGTCCGGTTAGAGACAGCAGCACGCATGCGGCCGTCACCCGCTGTTAGCTGACATTCCAGACATGCCTTGGTGAGCCCCATTCTGAACTTGTCCTGGTCCAGCTCCAGCACTTCCAGACACTTTTGCGTGGCGTCGCGGTCCTCCTTGTACGGCTTCATCTCATCCACAGCCAGGATAACGTAACTAAGCGGGAGATCATGCCGGTCAGGCTCGCTGCGTTCATCACACTGAACCCGAAGGGGAAGGAGTAGCTCCGCGTAACGCGTCAACCTCGCACCAGCCTCTTCATCGTGCATGGCCACCCATGTGGGCAAGGCCGAGTTGCGGAGGTCTGGAGGCCTGTTGACGGGTTACGTCGAGTCTGCTCCGATTAGTCTGCGCTGTTGTTGGCCCAGATCACGAGGAGACATTCACCAACGCCGACGGACGATTGATGGGGTGCTATCGGGTGTGGGGTGCGGGTGTTGTCAAGTGTGGGGTGCGGTTGCTGCTGGGTGCAGGGCGCAGGTACTCTGCGGGTCGGGGTCACACGGGGTCGGGGGCACGCAGACGACACGCTGGGGGTCTACAGCATTCCCGGGAAACGTTCTCGTCCCGTCGGCGGTTGCGCTGCTCCCAGCGTCGTCCTGGAAAAGACATGCTCAGTCCCTCGTGGATGCAGAGCGAGAGGCTTCTCCCTGGAACCTCTCCACTCGCATGCTTGCACGCTTATCTGCTACCACCGCTCTGTGACGAGGCGGTTCCTGGACACAGGGCAGACACGGATGCAGGTTGACGCCTCCTTGTCCTGGAGCCACGGGTGGCCATGCCGGGTGCGGGCGGGCGGGGGCGGGGCGGGGCGGGGGGCGATGTACCTTGGTGAGACCCAGGCGGAACTTATCCTCGTCCAGCTCCACCACTTTGAGGCACGTCGCACAGGCGTCCCGGTCATCCTTGACCTTGTTCATCTCCTGCGGCGCCAGGATGACGTAGCTTTCGGAGGGGCGAGAGGGAGTCAGTGCGCTGCTGCAGTGGCGGCCATTGGATGGGGGGGGGGGGGGGGCAGCTGCATGTAGACAAGCGGGAGTCAGTGCTCTGCTACAGGGGCGGGCCCCGGGCGGGGAGCGGCTCACGCGCGGGCGGGAGGGAGTCAGTGCTCTGCTACAGGGCCCCGGGCGGGGAGCGGCTCACGCGCGGGCGGGAGGGAGTCAGCGCGCTGCTACAGTGACGGCCCCCAGCGACCAGCAGCCCACGCATGGATGAGTCGTGACGACACCTTTGATATCAAGCCAGCATCTTTGACGGGTCGAGTCGGTACCTTTGATGAGTCGAGTCGACATCTTCAAAAGTGTCGGTTCGCAGAAGAGTGCATTAATTTAGCTAATCAGGTTTCGATCAACAATCCCTGCGCAGCTAGAAAATCATTGTGTAGTCATCTTGGTAAGTTCCGCACTTGAAAGCTGGTGACTGAGAGCAAGTTCGTGACTGAAAGCGTGGTTAAGTCTGCGAGGTTCGGAGAGCTCAACAAAACAGAAAAGAACATCCTATGCCGTGATTTTGCGGCCGTCTGAATCGGTCAGTGCTCCAGAAGCTGTGCGTTACGCTCGATATCATGGTGGAAACAATTTCATATGTGTAGATGAGTAAATCGACACTGACGTGGACTATTCTCTGAAAAATAGCGGATCTCACATTAGCTTTTAGGGAGCTTTTATCGCCCGTTGATTTATTATATATATATATATATATATATATATATATATATATATATATATATATATATATGTAAGCTTTTGATATGCTCACCGGTGGCGGAAGTCGTGGTACACCAGCCTGTTGGGGAATCCCTTGCGGCAGATACGGATACCCTCCAGCACGCCGTTACACGTCAGTTGGTGCATCACCAGGTGCGAGTCGATGACACCTGGCGGCGGCGGCGGTAAGCTTAGCTACTTTGGCAGCGTGCGCAACCCAGTGGTGCTCACACATTTGCACTTCACGGGCTGGAAACGCGATCTAACTTATTGAAGGTGATTCATTCGGAATGAATGTATGTTCATGCGAAGCACACAAGGTTCTAATGTTGACAGCCGCCATGACGCAGCGCCTTATGAACAATTGGCGAAAGCATGGGAGTGAGGACATTTATCTTGAGTCAGTGTTCCTGAGATTCGTCAGTGAATATGAATTAACTTACCGTTGTCCGCATTGGTTTAATTGCCTTTCAAAGGGAGTTGCTTGAGCGAATCTTGAGCACAGCGAAAGACAGCCGTCAATTTTCAATGTTAAGGTCACATGTTTTAATTTGACTATGCAGAAGCACTGCTTGCTATGAAAAGACAGCTGGAGCCTATAAGCGTTGATATTTATGACTAAACCCCAGTCAAATCACGGCGAAAGGACGGACTTTTGTTTGCTAGCATCTGCTAATTTATCCGCGGAGTTAGCAGTCAGGCCAAACGTGTGAGGACATGCGAACCATGCTGACCGGCTGCGCTTCTCCAGGCACGCGGATCTGCGAGCTCTCCAGACAAGAAGCTCTTTGAGCTCTCTTACCGGGAGATTTGGTCTCGTTAGGGATGATGCAACGGATAAAGTTGGGAGACGTGGCCCGCAGAGTCACCATCAGGTTATTCAGTTGCTCCTGAGGTCGAGGGTGGGCGTTAGGGGCACACCAGATCAACTCAGGTGCCGCAGGCAGGAGTGCTCGGCAGGCAGGGGCACTCGGCAGGCAGGCGGGTGTCCGGCACTTCCTCTGCCGGAGCTGTGCAGGACACTCGCAAGCGAAACAGCAAGGCCTTCGTGGGTACCCCGTATGCCAGGGCGGCGTGGGGCGAACACCCAAAACACACGGGCTGTCGGAGGGCTTGCAGCATGGTGGAGCCAGGCGAGGCACACAGGAGAAGCAAACCGGCAGTCGGGGACACTCCTGCGTTGTGGGTCTGAAAGCAGACCCTGGTCGTGGGCCTGAATGCGTTCCTGGGCTCTCCCGCTTGTTGGAGGGAGAAGCCAGATTACGCGTCAGTGCAAGCTGAAGGGTCGAGGTTGCGGAGATCGCCACACCTCCGCCGACTGGAGGTTCACACGGCACGCCGACCAACCGGGTCAGGGGTCAGGCCCGTGCCAAACTGGGCAATGCAAGGAAGCCAACAGCTCTCAGCGCAGGGGAGCCTCAGCGGAAGGCACGGCAGGCAGCTGGAACCGAGTGGCATTCCGGCGCAGGCAGAAACAGATAGCACGCCCCATTGATCATCCGCAGCTCCAGCACAGCCTGGATTGCGGCACGCTGCGCAGCCGTCGGGCGCCAGGAGGCCTCGCCCTGGTTCGGGCGGCTCACACGGGGCGAGGCAGGCAGCCGGGCCAACGGCCATGCCGAATGCTCCGCAGCCGCAAAGGTCCGGCAATACACACGCACGCAAGAGGGCCTTAACTACGGGAGAGAGGGGAGAGGCGGGGACACACGACTCCCGCCGGCCGGCGGAGCGGGAGGGGGGGGGGGGAGGGAGGCACACGGCTCAGACCGGCGGTCTGCCGAGTCGGGTGGGGATCCCCCGGGCACAGCCTCCGGACCGATCCTCCGGACCGACCGCCTGAGGCGAGCGAGCGACACGCTGTGAGGGGAGGACCGCTTACCCGCCGACTTGGTCTCGTTCGGGATGATACAGCGGATGAAATGCGGGGAGGTGGCGTGCAGGGTGGCCATGAGGCCGTTCAGCTGCTCCTAGAACACGGCAGCGGGAACGCTAGAGACGGCCGGCGTCCGTGGCGCTTCACTGCAGGGGGGGGGGGGGGGGGCATTCCAGGAGGTACCGCGGCACCACAGCATGCACTCGGGTGGGGGAAGGGCAGGCGGGCGAAGCTTTATCACGAGCAGCTACCGAAGACATTCGAGGGGGGGGGGGATGACGGAGCTTACACCTCCAAAGTGGCCCCAAAAGCTTGGCTGCACAACTTTTTAGTGATCAGTCTCGAACATGAGACGACGCACAAGTTTGGAAGCTTCCACCTGGGCCCGCAGTAGAGGCGTATCCTCGGGTGGGGGGGAATGGGGGGGGGGTCACCAGGGTGACGGGTTTGAGAGGTGGTTCACACGTCAGATCCGGGCACATCTACGGGGAGCTCATCACGCTGGCCATCGGTCACCGGTGGGGGCGGGGCTCCATGCGAGTGGGGTAACAAGAAACGTCGGGTCCATCCAGGCAGCGGCGGTGACGCTGTCGAAGAGAGCTGATACACAAAGAAGGGAGTTCACGGTTAGCGGGGGCACAACGAGCAAGACGACGGCATATACGGGCACCGGGCTCGAGCAAAATCTACGTGCGTGCTCCGCACGTCAGGAAGATGTCGGACGCATCCACAAACTGCATGTCGATGCAGGGTCACCACAATCGGAGAAGGGCGAGCAACAGCTGGACGCGTTTTCGCCGCATCGGGAAAACTCGGACTGCACGCAGGTCGTATACGGGGCACCGGTTGCATGTCGAGCGGAGGGACAAGCGATACCTGCGTGTGTCTTCAGCGCATTGGGAACATATTGACGAGCAAAGTGGGGGTTTCACGAAGCCGTTGCACCAGGTGTGTCGCCACCTAATGGTGGATAGAAGGTGGCGTCAGATGGAGCTGTGGAGAGCTTGTCAGGTGAAAGTGCTGCAGCGGGTGGGGACTTCTCGCGGATGGCATGGGTTGAAATATGTGATGTAATTGGTCATCGAAACTTTCCACCTTGCACTGTGGCCAGAGCCAGTTTATGACCTTTTCAGTCGATGTCAATGGACACAGCCGGTGTTTTATTTTCAAACTGATCTGAAGTTTAGAGCTGTACTGACTGTTGACAAGTGTCAACTCATCTCTAAATGTTGTTGATATTCGACGTTTCCAATGACAATGAACCATCTTTGCCTCGCCGTAAGTGCACACATGCTAATTACCATAGTAACAGGAAATTCGGTAACACTTCGAATCTGCTAAAACAGTCCTATACTTATGTCTCAAGGTACAGCTCTATATCTACGTGGCCATGGCTCCAGAAACGTAGATCCCTAAATATAGACAACCACGGTATATAAAAGATGAGAGAATGCAACGCAGCAGGGCGCTATCAGCGGGGACTGCATGTGTGCACTGAAGGGTAGCACCGGCCGGCGCCGCTGAATATTTACCCTGTACATTGCCGAGACAGTCTGGAATGCCGAGCCCTTGGTGCGTTTGGCTCCTGCGGCGACAGAGGCAGCGCGTCAGTTGTGTGCCGAGGGCAGCTGGACAACCCTACACGGTTGAGACCACGGAAGAGACCGTGCATTTCCTCACTGTAGGCTCGCTGAGTTGTTGTTGCTCAGCAGCTCACTGTAACTCAGTGAATTGTAAGGTTGTCAATTACAGCATAGAACGGCTCTTGACTATCACGACAGCTGAAACTCAAGTTTATCACCGAAAAGTACACATGAGCCGAAGAACTGTGAGTGTATGAGAACTCACTCCGCAGCATCATACGCTCTGACATCATCACACTTTTTCCGGTAATTCACTACATGAACAGTGATCTGAAATAACGGTCTGCGACTGGGGGCGACACCTGAACGGGTGATAGCTCTCACCCTTGCCACCGGCGCTCGCCTCTTCCTTGGGGCCTGACTGGCCCGGATGGTCGGCGAAGAGGTCCACCAGCAGGTTGTTCTTGCCCCTCTTGAACTGGTCCACCACGGTGTCGTTCAGCGGGTCCTTGTTCTTTTCCAGCCAGCCAGTCAGGTTGTAGTTGACCTGCGGGTGGCGTCGGTGCCAATGTCGCAGGCTGGCCAGATGTGGAGTGGGCCCAGTTTGAGTGGGGTGTCAAGCTGTTGTCACACCTGAGCTTGACCACAGCTGGGTTGACCCTGCTTCCGAAACCCATTCCCTTTTGTCCTGAATTGGATTAGGATTCGGCCCTGTTGGGTGCTTACATGAATCAAATGTTTGTAAGTTCATAAACTGTTTCGCGTAGCTTGCGACGGAATTGGAAGGAATCGACAACGCTCTGAAAATACACGATTCAGGAAATGGCTCAACCACACTATTTCGGGTGTTGACATTGGTCGGATTGACACCACACAAGGTGAACCACCTAACTGGCATGTTTTATTAGTTGTGGCATGAAAATGTGAACTATCTTCTTAGTAAGCGAGGGTCCAGGGGCAAGGATGGCAGACTGGAGGTGTCAGCGCCACAAGTTATCATACTTTAGAAGCCAGGGGAGGTTTTCCTTTTTACTCTGAACTTGCCCATGTTTTCAGGTTGTTCTAAATACACTATTGCTGCTCATATACCAAGGCATGCACTGTTTTATATCGGTAAGCGGATCAATTGTTGCTGCTATCTATAGGCACGTGACAGCAACTCTGCGCTGCCCCAAATATTACAATAAGTCAAAAGTTGAAGACTGTTTGTGTGTATGCACGTACCTTATACAACACATGTCTGCATGGCCTCTCTCTCCCCCTCTCTCCCTCTCTCTCTCTCTCCCCTCTCTCCCTCTCTCTCTCTCTCTCTTTCCTCCTCTCTCTCTTCTCTCTCTCTCTCTCTCTCTCTCTCTCTCTCTCTCTCTCTCTCTCTCTCTCTCTCTCTCTCTCTCTCGCTCTCTCTCTCGCTCTCTCTCTCCCTCTCTCTCTCTTTCTCTCTCTCTCTCTCTTTCTCTCTCTCTCCCTCCCTCTCTCTCTCTCCCTCTCTCTCACCGTGCCGGCATAGTGGACGATGGCGAAGTGAGACTCGGTCTGCCCCGGCTTGGGCGGCTTGGGCTTCACGAACAGCGGGCACTTGCCCAGGTGGTTGGTCTTCAGCTTCTCCTCGAATGTCTTGTCGGAGGCCTTCGGGAACATGCTCTCTTCCTCGAGAATGGAGAGCACTCCCATTGGCTGCGCGGCGGAGGACAGGTCAGCGCGGGTCACGTGCACTGTACGGGGACGGAAGGGTCAGAGCAGGTCACCAGCGCTGCACCGGGGAGAACGGGGTCAGCAAAAGTTGCATGGCGATAATTGTATGCGCTGACTTATTGAGGGAGTGGGTGGGTCTAACATGGATCGAATACCGTGAGCGATGATTGTGACATAGCAAAAACGCTTCGTGAAATGATTTCAAACACGCATGTATGAGTTAAGCTCACCAGTGAGAAATAAACTCTATTAAAAAAGATCCCACGGGATGTATCTCATGTATCTTTTTTCTTCAGAAATCAATCACTCAACATGGTGCGATCCCCTTCAAAAGCTTCTTGGGTCGAGCCTACTTTAATCGCCAGCCAACTCGCATTTATGATGTTCAGTGGCACAAGAGTATGGCACAAGTATGACAGCTATGCGTCCGTCTCCTCGGCTTTCACCATCAGGTGTTACCTTCTCCATGAGGTCGATGCACGCCTGCAAGTCCATGCCGAAGTCCATGAACACCCAGTTAATTTCCTCTCGCTTGTACTCCTCCTGCTCCAGCACGAACATGTGGTGGTTGAAGAACTGCTGCAGCTTCTCGTTGGTGAAGTTGATGCACATCTGCTCAAAGCTGTTGAACTGAAACAGGGCAGGGCATGTGCTGGAAAACGGCATGTGCTGGCTAGACATTCACAATGGCCACGTCTCTGAGCTCTCTATAACAGTTCAGATAATCCAGCTTTGTTTGCTTGCGTTTCTTTTAAGAAGAAAAACACCTGGAATGAATCCAAGCTATTTTTGCAAAAGACTTCCGTTGAGCTCAGTTTCCTAAGCCGACAGTCGGGCTCTGGTGGTATATGCATGTAAGCTAATATTCTTCTGACGTGATGAGACCCAGACGCTGATATGTTTGTGACGTGATGTGATCTGGACGCTTACATGCTTCTGACGTGATGTCACCCAGACGCTTACATGCTTCTGACGTGATGTGACCCAGACGCTTACATGCTTCTGACGTGATGTGACCCAGACGCTTACATGCTTCTGACGTGATGTGACCCAGACGCTTACATGCTTCTGACGTGATGTGACCCAGACGCTTATGTTTACGTGATGTGACCCACGCTTACATGCTTTGACGTGATGTGACCCAGACGCTTACATGTTCTGACGTGATGTGACCCGACGCTTACATTTCTGACGTGATGTGACCCAGACGCTTATGTTTTGACGTGATGTGACCCGACGCTTACATGCTTCTGACGTGATGTGACCCAGACGCTTATTTTGACGTGATGTGACCCAGCGCTGATATGTTTTTGACGTGATGTGACCCGACGCTGACATGCTTTGACGTGATGTGACCCACGCTTATGTTCTGACGTGATGTGACCCAGACGCTAATGTGCTTATGATGTAGCCAAGCATGCTGGTAGGCAGCAGACAAAGTATACGCATCTTTGTTACACTGGCTGGAATGCCCATGATATCCCACTTCTTAGTTCATATTTCTTCTCGGGCTCAATTATCCTCATGATCAGTTCCGATCCTCAAATACACAACCTCAGCGGCCCCACGCAACTGCACGTACATCAAAGATCTCGAATCCAAAGATGTCGAGCACGCCGATGAAGGAGGCTCTCTTCTGCTTGGTGTCCAGCGTGACGTTCACCTTCTTCACCACCAACCACTTGAAGAGGCGATCGTACATATTCTTGGCCAGCGCGCCCACCGAGTAATAGACCTGAAACGGTCGGAGAGAGTTGATCCATATGCAGGTATAACCTTAGGAGCAGTGTGACCGGGGAGCTGGATTCTAACTGTCGGCCACGTTAACCGGCTCGTTATATTCACACCTTTTGGTTGTGTGACAGGCATGAAACCCATGCCGTTTGGTTGGGCAGCAGACATCTGCCCGATATCAACCAATAAGTGTTTTTAAAACAAAGCCACCAGGACCGTAACCTTCAGCAGATCTCTTCTTTCTCGTTGATTCTTAACCTGGTCTTCGCGACGGAACGGTTCATGTTTTTAAGTGCGATATTGCTGGCAAAGAGCTCTTTCTGATAACACTGGCCAATAGAATCGATCTATGTTTTGTACACCTGCAATATCGGCAAGCATTGCCAACCAGGGTTACATCATGTTCACGTCCGATTTGGCCATCATTCGTGTGTGTTTAGCCGCGCCTGGAGGGCCGGTCGGCCTCACCGAAGCGGCGTCACGACTCACCTGGTCCTTGTTACCAGCGTCACGACCCACCTGGTCCTTGTTGCGACCCTGGTTGACGAACTCGTTGCCGACCTTGATCCTCGGCTTCAGCAGGTTCTTGTACAGCTCCGGGCCGTCGACGCCGAGCAGCTTGCTAACCCTCTCACCCTCCTGGAGGTCAGGTCAGCACAGGGTCAGACTGATCTCGAGCTGACCGTGCTCCCGGATGTCAGCGCAGTGCGGGACGAATCAGCTCGCAGTCCACATCAGGCTCCATACAGCTCGGGTGCTCCACGACACAAGGCGACCTGGCTCAGCTGCCCGCCATCTGTGGGGGGGGGGGGGGGGGAGGACACGCCGGGGGTGTACCATACAACGGCGAGGTTGCTCACTGTACAGAACAGCATCCGACGCGTGATGTCACCAAACGTGACGCACGGACCTGGTCACAGAACAACGGAACACGCGGACAGGGCTTCTTCAACATCTTCCGCTCACGCAGACGAAGTTAGCGCTTTATCGGTTTTGTTCGGAATCACTCAACTTCCGACGGCATTCATGTTGCTGCAGTTTGATGGTGTAACTGTTTTTGGTACGCGACATCCAAGTCCAGCAAAAAAGGCCAAAGGAAATCTGATTCACTTCCAAGCATCTTTGCCGCTGAATTTATGAATGAAGACGTAACCTCTGGGCGGCATTGACGCTTCATCTAATATAGTTATCTCTGTCTATCACGTTATGTATATTTTGGCTGCATCAGTCAGCATTCACATGGATAAGGATGACCATAGTTGTGATAAGTGATAACGTTATACGTCATAACAACGGGGTAACATGATACGTGATAACCCCCTTTATTTGAGTCATTCAACCGCTGGCATCCATTAGCCATGGTTTTGTGCTATGTCTGATCTAAAAATAAGACTTAAGTGGCATAACGGAATTGGCATGCTTGGCTTCATGACCTATTGATTTTAATGATCATAAAAAGGTAGGCCTGTTCTTGGCCGTGGTGCATTCTGCACTGTGTTTGAAATTTTCATATTTTTTGTGCAGATTGACCAGCTGCCCTTTTTGTTCTCGGCTTGCTGCTTCCCCTTCATTCGACTTGATGTTGTCTTATACTTCCCAATACCTCATTGCGGCTGTTAACTATGGCGTCCTGTTGACTTTCAACGTAAAGAGGGCGCTCAGGCCCAAAGCTGTACCGGGTGGTATGCTCATGAGGGAGAGGCACACTGGGGTCATGCAGGGTCACATGTAATACGCGATGGACTTTGCCACCTTTGGTGACAGAGTCCAGCGGAGGTGCATGGGTCAAACAGGGAGCAGTCTCAAACGCTGGGGATTCACATGCGGTTCTCCGTGTAAGTGCCGTGGAGAGGCGCAAGCGCCAGCGACGTTTGTGTCCAGCCTTATTCTGGGCGATCTGGGATCGTGCGGCGTGACATTCGGGGTGGGGTAGGGGTCACCCGTCTTACCCCGCCGTTGGGGGTTACATGACGTCTCGTGCGGGCAGGGGACACACCAGTGCCGTCCCCGTACGTGGGACTGCGGCTGCATCTCGTGCACAACACGGGATGGGGACCAGCGGGTACTTCCGCCACGGTCCCCGTTCTGAGAGACTGTGACCAACGTCACGCTCGTCAACCACCAAGGCATTCAGGCAGGCGCACTGAGCTGGTGGTTCAGGGGGGGGGGAGGGGTAAGAGACAGCAGGGGTTGTCATGCCCACTCACATGGGCCGATGTTTGGCCTCGCCCGATGCATGCGGGGTTTTACATGCAGCCGATCGAGTGAGCGGTGTCAAACTCACTCCATGCGCATGCTGGTAAGTCCATGGGCCTGCTTGCCCCACGCCATGATGTCAGTCCAAACAGCCACGAGCGGGTAGCACATCGACAAGCGTTAGAAGATATGTGACTGCCACTTGTCGATCGCGAGTTTACTTCCCCACCCCGTTAGCTCAGAGACGGCCGCCTGCTCCTGCACCGAAAGCTGCACCTGAACGTAGTCAACCTCACAACCTCAGCGTAAGCTCTTTCGCGCGCTCTCTACTGAAGCACCGAGCGCCGAGCGCTCAGGCATAGTAGCTCTGCTGACGCGGCTGCAAGCGCTGCGATGGCCTTACTGCTTCACCGTCAGCCTCTGCCTGCTCCTCGCGTCCGCGCTGTTTGAACGTGAGCGTGCTCATGTGCATGACGGATGCCACTGTGCCGTATATGAGCAGCTTCTCTTCCGGCTCGAAGCCGAGAATGTCGAACGCTTCCTGCGGGTGGAGGCGGCGGCGGGTCATTGCTGGCACATACCGTCGTGCCGTCCGCCTCGGCCTGCTCCTCGCGACCCTTCTGCTTGAACTTCATGCCGCCCAGCTGCATGACGGCTGCCACGATGCTGTAAATGTTGTCCTTCTCGTCCTGCGTGAAGTTCAGCACGTCGAACGCCGTCTGTAAGGGCGGCCGCAGGCGGCCAGGTCAGCACGGCTTGTGAGATCGTTGGTGGGGCAGAGGCGACGGCGAAAGCGAGGCGACGACTCAGGGTGCAGTGCTGCTTGGTTAACGGCTAGCGATCATGTCCAACTCACCGGCCGCTTGTGAGAACACGTTTTGCAGCATTATGAGTAGTGCCAAGGCGTTTGAGGGCTGTTAAATAGAACGCAAAGACAGCTGCGCTTTATGCTATGATACGCCGAAAGCAACACGATGAGGACATCGAACGTCTAATAGCGGTCGAGACTGCTGGCTCCCCAGAAGAAGAGTGCCATTGGCTGCGCAACTACTGCCATATAAAATCAGCTAAACATTTCAAGTACGTACCTGAAGTCTGAAAAGAAGACACAGTTAGCATACAATTCAACTCAACTTAAAATTTAGCCCAACATATGATGCAAAATAAAACATCTGCAAGAGCAGCGATAATTGCATTTTGTACTGCGTTCAAAAAGCACACTACGTGCTGTATATCGAGCCATCAAATGCGACTCATAGGCAGTATTGGACTGCCACCTCCAATGCAAAGTTCTCACAAGCCGGATAATGTGCTTGATGATCGGTCAGGAACTCTGAAGGCAGCTCACCAATTGTCCGAGTGATGCTAGCGGTCCGATACGTCCGTGTAGGGCAAAGTGATGACAGTCCGGCGTCAGGACTCATGCTCCTCATCTGTCGAGTGGTCGTCGCGCCAAGACCCATGCCTTCGTGTGTTAAAGGAACTGATTGCATGACTCTCGTCTGTCACACGCTAGGACTCTGACGTCGGGACTCACGTCCGTTGCGCGTCAGGACGTTGTGACGTCAGGACTCACGTCCGCTGCACGTCAGGACGTTATGACGTCAGGACTCACGTCCGTTGCACGTCAGGACGCTGTGACGTCGGGACTCACGTCCGTTGCGCGTCAGGACGTTGTGACGTCAAGACCCACGTCCGTCGCATGTCGGGGTATCGTGACGTCACTTCTCACCCATGACGTACGTCAGGGTACCGTGACGTCAGCACTTACGTCCGTCATCTCCATCTCCTCGCGGTCGTCGATGCTCTCCACAGTGGTCTTGCCGTTGGAGACATAGTGGTAGTCGTAGATGTCGCGCGACAGCAGCAGGCGGTCTGGGGAACATAGGAGACTCAGTGGCTGCAAACGACGAGTGCTTCAGTCGCAGCGTGACAGTCTTTGATGGTCGTAGCGAGTTTAAAGTCAGGCTGATTGCTCCATTATCATTTCCTGAATTTTCACGTCTGTATGAGATGTGGAGGTTGTCGAATGCACGACCACAATGAGGACTGGTGTGCCGGTGCGTGAAAGAATCAATTATCAACCAAACTCTCTTTCTGGCAATTATTCTTTCTACGGCAAACGCGTCATTTTGCGCCGCTAGCATTAGTTTGTAGGTTGCCAACCAATGTCCAATGAAAACGAAGGCGCCCACATTTCCCTCTCACGGACATCCTTGACGACACCGTTACGTGCTTCCCAAAGCAACTAAGATGCAACCTGAACCGCATCAATCGTTCAGAGTCGTCCGAGCCTGACGCGAGTACACCAGCTAGAAGCGCCACGCCGTCCAAAGTTCTCACCGAGCAGGCCGTCAATGGCGTTGGACATGATCTGGTAGAAGATGTGGTAGGAGCGCTCCAGCGGGCCCTGCGAGATGACGCGAGCCTTCTCCAGCAGGTAGGTCTCGATGTCGGCGCCGGCCAGCTTGCCCAGCGGGCCGAAGTGGATGCGGATGAACTTACCCTAAAGAGCAGCGCCAGCACAGTCTCAGAGAGGACTGAACGGTCAACGCCGAGGTCACCAAATCACGCAACATGCTGACAGCGTTTGGAAACCCAGGTTTGCCTGAACAACGGCAAGGTTTGCATGAAATGGTGCTGCGTCGCTCCGGAAAAGAACGACAGAAGCTTCTGATAGGTACTGCGCGGTTTCAGTCGTACCTCCCCGTGCGTCGCCCCTTCTTGCTCATACCAGTAACGGCGAGTCTAAAGAAATGGTTCTGCATCGCATGCGCGCAACACGTCCTCATTCAGATTGATTCACCAATTCGTCCACGTGAAGCAACGGTGCAGCAGCTGATTGCAGTTCTGCAGAGGATAGCGGCATGGCATACCATGACACTCAAGGTAATGGCATGACTTACCACGACATTCAGGGTATCAGGTTGTCATGACATGGTACTCAGGGTGGCAGAATGCCATGACATGATACTCAGGGGTGGCAGGATGTCATGACATGACACTCAGGGTGGCAGAATGCCATGACATGATACTCAGAGTGTCAGGATGTCATGATATGGCACTCAGGGTGGCGGGACGTCATGACATGACACTCAGGGTGTCGGGATGTCATGACATGACGCTCAGGGTGACGGCATGGCCACTCACGAAGCGGGAGCTGTTGTCGTTACGCGTCGTCTTAGCGTTGCCGAACGCCTCCAGCACCGGGTTGGTCTGGATGACCTGGTCCTCCAGGTTGCCCTGCGGCGGCGAACGGTGACGTCATGAGTTGGTAAGACCCAGTGGCCGGCCGTTCTGACTCCTGCTCGTCCGCTTGACTCTATATACCTTTTATAAGCACTGATGCGCCATGTATATTCTCTCCATCCCTCATTGTGCCAACTACGTAGAGACAGCAGCGGAACCGGACTCAGCATCAGCCGTTCGCCAGGCTCAGAAGCTATCTCTTCTGCATACGCAGCCGCTCACCTTCGATGGCTCCTGGGTCTTTTTCTTGCCGGTGGCGCCGACGTTGGCGAAGTAAGTGATGACCTTCTTGGTGTTCTCCGTTTTTCCCGCACCCGACTCACCGCTGTGGGTCACGGGTCAGCCATGGTCAAGAGGAGCGACATCGTGAGAGCCAGCGCGATAGCGTGCCCTAGCGTTTGAATCAGAGAAACTGAGATGTCCAGGACCAGGGCGACAAACCGTGGTCGCAACCAACTGACACTCATTCTGTAAGAAAATATTTTGGAGGCGTTAACTCGATCTGAGGATTGTAAGTGGTTTCTCCAACCCTTTGTTTTGCGTGAAGTAGCTTGGCTTTATCAATGCCGAGATATTATGGCGCAATTGCTCTACATGATTTCACTCTGAGACAATCAGTGCCGTATCTGAGTATAAGAACAGGTGCAAATGTTACTAGTGCTGCGTTTCGCGCATCAGTTGCACACTGTTTCAAATGATATGTTTCATGCAGTACCCAAGTTCTGCTTGATGCTAAGGTGCTATTCCCTTTGCTAAGGAACAGCAACGCATGTTGTCACGCCCTTTTATGGAACACCAGCGGTTACGTTGGCCATGTGAGCGCTCAGGGGCCATGGCGCAACCAAGATCCGAACCCGGGTCCCCATTTGGGAGTCCGACGCGCTAACCATTGGGTCACTTCGTCCCCTGTGCCATTAGTATGCTTCACCTTTGTTCTGCACTATTGGAACCAAACCACCGTTAGTGAAACCGAGATCATTTCATATGTTTCCATTGCCAGCATTGTCTTGTGAGATGACATAGGGATGGCGTTACTTACGTAATCAGGATGGACTGATTTACTCCATCTGAAAGGGAGAAATATTTGGTTATGGTCAAGCAGTCACGACGCAAAATCAGACCTCTTGATGCACGACAAGACCCCAAAACCATTAAAATGTTGCAAAACTGTGGCGTCGAGCAGTATGTTGTCTTGGGAATCAAGTGTCTTTCGTTGGGATTATGGATAGATTGAAATGTTCAAAGTGTGCTGTAAACGCAAGTGACAAGTCTGTTATGAAAATAACCCATTCATGGCGAACAAATACAACAGCGCAAAATGTGTTATAAACTTCTCCTTTAATACTTTCACCCAGAAGTCTCTCAAACCACGTTTAGGGGCTTAGAAAGACATGACAGAAGACCAACCCAGCATCTCAAAATAACCCTTGTATAGACATTTACTGACTTTGCTGCAGAAAAAGGCTCCTACAGGACATAACTGTTTACAACCGGTGAGCTAGGCGCTTGTCAGTGACTCTTTTATCGAGACACCTTGGTGCTTCCAGCGGGCTGCGTCGAACGGCCAGACGCGGCACGAGAGCTCTACTATCGAGTCACTCTGGCACCTCCAGCGACGCCGCCGGCCGTGCCGCTGCCGCTGGAGCGCCAAATACGGCGTCCACCTGGCACGGCCGGCAGAAGCTCCAGCCAGCCGGGAGGCCTCCAGCCGGTCTATATCGGTCCCGGGAGGTCTGAAGCCGACCCAGCCCGCCTGCAGCCGGCCCGGCGGCGATGAAGGCACGGCCGCGGCGGCACCACTCATTGCAGAGAGTTTTGGACAGGATTTGAGCCCAGGGCAGCGGGAACAGTTGGTCGGCTGGAGGCGGGCAGGTGAATTCGTGGCAGCTGACCTCGCGCCAACCAAATGCTCGTGATGCAACTGGTGTTGCGGTTCCTTTTCACAGCAAACCAGGCCCCTTTTCCGCTCTATTCTTATCATGGCTCGGTGGCAATTGCCAGAATTATGCGTGGCTTTCTAAACGCACTGCGTGATAAACTCGGGGCGGCGACCTGAGTTAACCTTATGACATGACGGGTCTACGTCATGAGCTCTGCTCTAGGGCTATGGAGACAGGTTGAAACGAAATTAGCTGGCTAAACAGAGGTCGGCGATTTTATCCACTGTGCCCAATGTTTACGATGCTAGTTCTACATGAGCCTGCAATGCATTCCCATCGCAGTTAACTGGCAAACGAGAAGAGAATCTGGACCATGAGCCATCTGTTTTGCTGATATAGCTGTTGAGACCTCATCGTCAAACAGAGTTTTCCTCGATTTGATTAGCCTTCGTCACTTCCTGGGAGTCCACGCCTTAATCACGTTGCACACATGGTATCTGTGATCGAGTACAACGTCGGGACTGTTCGAAAACAAAGAAAGAGACGAGGAAGTGAGCCCCAAATATCGAGAGGTTACCACCCAGTTCCTCTCATACCACACCGAGCTTATCTACGATACAGGATCACGAAACCGATCGCAATTTAGTGCAACATCCCACCGACGTCATATATCTACTTCCGGCACATCGTACGAGAGCAATGCGCCACCCTTGCACAACCCTCCCCGCCCGCCCGCGAGAAAGTCAGTCACCACGTGATGTGCAACCTGGAGGTCTGCCGGCGCGCAAGGCACCGTCACTCACTGGCCATCATGTCGTTGTAGGCTCCGTCAGCCAGAGCGAAAATGTGCGGCGGCACCTCATTGCGCCTCTTGCCCTTGTAGATGTTGATCGCACGCAAGGTGTAGATCGGGAAACGCTTGTACGGGTTGATGGCGACGCAGAATAGGCCCGAGTACGTCTGTAGGGGTTCACAGGTCAAAGGTCACGGGTCAAAGATCGCGTGGAAGAGGTCGCAATCAGCGTGCGACACGCTAAAAGCGAGGTAGGCTTAAAGACAGAGAGCCTGGTGCAAAGCCAAGAAATGTCTAGGCACAGATGACGTCACGTAGGAATACGACAGGCGAGCCTGCATGTGCGTAACATATATCACGAGTTACAAAAGAACACCGACCTCGTATTACCAATCCGAGCAATGAGTCGTTTTTTAGCGCCAAATCCGTCTGGTACCGCCGCGTGGGATCTTCCCAAGCCTTACGCGTGAAGGCGTCGCCGTCGTCGTGTTCACTCACGTAGATGAGCTTGTTGTAGTAGCGCTGCTTGAGGTTGTGCAGAACGGAGGCGTCGTTGAGGTAGGTCAAGTTGGACATGTCCTCGCACTTCTCGAACTTGGGAGGGTTCACCTGCTGCAGCAAGTCCTTCTTGATCTCCTTCTCCTGTAAACGGCGGAAGTGGGTAATGTAAAAGGCTGCTGGGGTGGACCAAATGTGCTCACTGGATCGATTGAGGTATTTAAATGCATAAAAACATGTTCGAAACTCTCTGAAATCGGCATCCGAGGGTCAGATTGTGAGAGCCGCATTTAATTAAGTTCGCATGCGTAACATAACCCAAAACAGTCGTGTGAGACAGAAGTGCGTAAATGCGGACACAAATATTGCTGCAGTTGGTACGTCCCGCAGCGTCAATAAGAGGCAAAGTAAGACAAGTGCCTGGATCCCAAAGTCACAAGTTGGATCCTGTGATGACAAGATTCAGCTCTTGTGCGCTAGGGTCCCATTTTTGAATCTAAACACGCACCTGCTTGGAGAACTTTAATTAAGCTCGCAATCGAGTGTCCACGTCAATGACACGCAACGCTCAGCCAACAGATATCACAGACTTGGTAACGTTACAAACAATGGTGCGACTCTTCGGTACTGACCTCGAAGTTGGGCATCTGGACCTTGACTTTGTCACCAGTGGTCGATAAGATTTTGCCGAGGACGAAGCCATCCTTCTCGTCGGGAAACCAACAGGCCGTCTTGGCGTCGTACGTCTTGGTTCCATCCAGTCTCTTCTGCTCCAGCGAGACGAACCTGGCGCACAGAGACGATGTCAGATGGCGAGTCTGAGGCAAGGCGACGCGGTCAGTTGGAAAACCTGGCGCGCAGATATACAGTCGATTGGCGAGCCTGGTGCACGTAGGTGCAGTCAATGGGCAAACCTGGCGCACGGAACACAGCCGGCCGGCGAACCTGACGCATGGAAACGAGGATAGCTGGTTGAGAGCATGGGGCTAATTCGCAGGACCACAGTCGTGACGCCCCTTCACCTATTTTTACGTGGTGCTAATGGTGATGAATGTGGTATACGTTAGTCCTTTTGAAGCCAGCGCTTAGTCGGCTAGTACCTAATGTAACTGCGCTGCATTTCGCCGTCATCTTATTTCAAAATGCGATACACATTGTTTATCTGTTGTCGGGAGGAAACCCATCGCTTGTCGTCGGGTCTATAAAAAAGCAGATCAGCCTAATTCTGGAAGTGTTTTTTTTCGTCGGCAGCACCAATTCTTCACACGTGCATCGGGTCCCATGCGACAGATCATAAAGCACCGCAAACGTTACATGACAAATATGTGTATGATGATGAAACAAATGCCCCTGCGTTGAAAAAATTCCCGGCTACTTTGACAGTCCGGATCCCAAGCCATGACATTCGGCCCTGCCTATCCTATGCCTTGCACATCTGAGATATAGTATTGTAAATGATCCTTGTCTTAAGGGCTTCATTTGCAAGGACCTGGTCCTGTCTTATTCAACGCTGTCGTTGGCAAAGTCATAACATGCTTAGCTCGCGAGATAGTAGGAAGTGTCTATTAAGTGCTCATTTGACATCTATGGCCAGAATTAACTCATTCTAAAACTCATATTTACCATTGTTTAGTCAAATTTAGTTGACGCAGTTTCACAATAGTTTTCTACTGCCGCTCTCTTTGTGACGCCAGCTTCCTCAATTTTCCAGATCTGTTTCCAGATCTCTCTTAGCCCTATTAGCGCGGAGGTGAAAAACCGTCGGACACGGAGCATATAAGCGCATAACTAGTCTTCTCCACAGAATGCGAAGCATGCCACCAAAGCTACTTATCACCACATGATTGGCATGACAATGTCATCAGCAATGACGACTTTTCGACAAGAAGGCATTCTGGCGCCAAACCCGAACCACAGCAGTCAAACAGACATACACGCAGGACCGTCAGACCCTCAGAAGCACAGCAGTCAAACAGACATACACGCAGGATCGTCAGACCCTCACTTCACACCATCCACCCCAGCCTCCCCACCACCCACCAGTCCACCCCAACCGCCCCACCGGCCACCCATCCACCCCAGCCTCCCACCGGCCACCCATCCACCCATCCCATCCCCACTCCACGGCATTATGGCAGAGGGGTATATAATGCTTCCAACAATTTTCAGATTCTGTAAGACTTTGAAATGTTATATGCACAGTACATGTTCCAAAATCCAGCACCCACAGGCACAACGCCGAAACACGCGCGTGCGTCGTTCTGGGTTCGTCTCCGAACTCCGGTAGGTGGCGAACACTCACAGGAAGGGTTCTGGGTCCGGCTCCTCGTCCGGCTTGTATTTCTTCTCGATGACCATGGTGCCTGTTCTGGGGTCTGCGGAGCGGACAGAAGGGACGGAGCCGCGCTACGACTCGGTGACGTGGCCTGCGGTGACTGTTGGAGTCCTCTGTCGAAGGACCGTTGGTCAGCATCCGCTCACTGTACCGTGTGCTCTCATAATTGCCAGGAGCGCGGTATCATCGGTTGCACCTCAGCGGACACAGTGCTGCGAGAACTAAGTGTCTCTGTAATGCGGCTTGAGTGTACTTTATAATTTTAAAGAGCTGTTGCGGCAGCAAACTGCACTGATCAATAGCGCTACGCTGATCATATTTTGGAATTGATGTATATATATATATATATATATATATATATATGCATGTATATATATATATATATATATATATATATATATATATATATGTATATATATATATATATATATATATCTCTCTCTCTCTCTCTCTCTCTCTCTCTCTCTCTCTCTCTCTCTCTCTCTCTCTCTCTCTCTCTCTCTGTATAGTGTTGTATTCAGAACTCACCTCGTGCAACAGCTAAACTCAGGCCACTTTCAGAAAATACGCGTGTTTGGTACTGCATTTATCGCTAATAATCAGGCTTTGAGCTTATCCGTGTAAGAACAGATGCCGCACTCTGTAACGTGCAGCAAAAGGCTCTGTTCTCAGCACATCTCCTTGCATGTCACCGCACCGCAGACATCATCGACCGCATGGAGCGGTTTGCTACGATGACTAAGAATATCTCATCCCTGAATCGAGCGCGGGCGGCAGATGCAGCCTACTCTGCCGCCCCGCGAACGCGTCGGTTGGCCGGTCATCCTCGGCCAGCTGTGATTCAGCCGTGAGTCAGCGCGTGCCCGTGCACGCTCCGGAGCAGCGGCTTCAGTGCCGACTGGAGCCGGAGGGGCTCAGGCTGACCCGCTCGCGCTCCGTGGAGCGGCGGAGCTGAGTGAGTGTCGGGGCTGATTTGCTCGCACTCCGTCGAGCGGCGGTGCTGAGTGAGAGTGCTGGCTGTTGGGGCTGATCTGCTCGCGCTCCGTCGAGCGGCAGTGCTGAATGAGAGTGCTGGCTGTTGGGGCTGATCTGCTCGCGCTCCGTCGAGCGGCGGTGCTGAGTGAGAGTGCTGGCTGTAGGGGCTGATCTGCTCGCGCTCCGTGGAGCGGCGGTGCCAAGTGAGAGTGCTGGCTGTTGGAGCTGATCTGCTCGCGCTCCGTCGAGCGGCGGTGCTGAGTGAGGGTGCTGGGTGTCATGGCGACCCAGCTCCATGGAGCGGAGGTGCTGAGTGAGGGTGCTGGCTGTCGGGGCTGATCTGCTCGCGCCCCATGGAGCGGCGGTGCCAAGTGAGGGTGCTGGGTGTCATGGCGACCCAGCTCCATGGAGCGGAAGTGTTGAGTGAGGGTGCTGGCTGTCGGGGCTGATCTGCTCGCGCTCCGTGGAGCGGCGGTGCTGAGTGAGAGTGCTGGCTGTTGGGGCTGATCTGCTCGCGCTCCATCGAGCGGCGGTGCTGTGTGAAGGTGCTGGGTGCCATGGCAACCACGATCCGTCGATCGGAGGTGCTGAGTGAGGGTGTTGGCTGTCCGGACTGGCCCGCTCGCGCTCTGTTGAGCGCCGGTGCTAAGTGAGGGGGCTGGTTTCCAGAAAGGCGCGGTATCGCTAGTGAAATCAGGCGTGCTGAAGTGAAGGATGCCAAAGTGATGTGATCTTGAATTGGCCGACTTGTGAACATGGTGCATCGTTCGTAAGCGCACTGTGAAGCCCGCAAGCGCAACGTTTATTTGGAGAATTAGTGTGTGTTGTTCGTCGGCGAATCGATTTCTCGTAACACCAAAATTCACTAATTAACGCCACTAAAATAACACCAAGAAAAATTTACTTGGGCAGCGTGCTTTGCATGAAAAGCACAGTATGACTTTGCGTGTCCAATTGACCCCTAATGATTATTATGTGATGCAATTTGTTAACTTGGTTTATGCACGCACTGTGTGTATTGTCTGGAATTGTGTCATACCTAATTGGTCTTCATTAAACCACAGCTTGCCACTAGTGTAGGAACTCCATTTTTGAAACGCGAAGCACCTCCACCATAATTATGCGCTAAAGGACATTGCTAAATGTTTATGTAGAACACTTCAATTGCCCACTTTAGTTCAAAATTTGTATGTGTATTGTTTCATGTAGCGTTACTGATGTTTTGCATGACAATTTAGACTTTATTATAGAACAGCAAACGGCTGCAACTCAAGGTAAATACTTTCATACTGCCTAGTTCATAAGCTTATGCACTCAAACTTATTCCCAGATTTTTTATGCTACACTGAGCCTCCATGTACACTGCATAACTCGGGAACCGTTGTAAATAATTTGCTGCCAAATTGCTAAGTATTTTTGGACCCGATTACAAAAGCCTATAACTATTTTCCAAACGCTGTGGTAGGAGTAGGACCTCAGCTTCCTTTGAGGATAGAATAGTTAGTGCTATCATCACTGATGGTATACAACTTGTCTTATGTCACAACATCCATAGCATTTTGCTACCACATTCATGCTGACCAGCCTATTGTTGCTACATTAATGCTGCATCACCTAATGTGCTGGGATTTCACTTTAGTTACCAGATGAACGTCAACGCTGCATTTAAATATGTCTGGAATATATATATATATATATATATATATATATATATATATATATGTACATACACACATATACAATGGAATATGATATATATGTATATATATATATATGCATATAGATATAGATATATATCGGATATGAAATGTGTGCGTACATATATATATATATATATATATATATATATATATATATATATATATATCTATCTATCTATCTATCTATATATCTATATCTATCTATCTATCTATCTATCTATCTATCTATCTATCCATCTATCTATCTATATATCTATATCTATATCTATATCTATATCCATATTACACATTCAGGTACCAAAATGATCATTTTGTTGGCACGCACCCAGGTGGCCAAAGGTCAAAGACGGCTAAATTTCAGATTGGTGTCCAAGTGCGCCCAGTACTCCTTAAGCAATCCAGCCTTTCTTTTCACACCTCGCCTTTCCATCAGATTTTTCCAAACCCATTCTGCACAACATTTATCGACTCTGAACTGATTCCTTCCAACGTATTTACTCCTACGATCAGCGGTATCTTAATTCTGTCTGCCCACCACAGTGAATACCCCAGCTAGTCTATTCCAAGCGAAGAAGTAGCTCCGTGAGCTGGTATTGGCACGCTATGCATTAAGATTACCGGTCTAGATTACTAGCCAAAGCAAATATTGATCCATTGGCTGTCATGACCCATGAGCCCGAAGAAAAGCGGGGGCGTTTGCTGGTTATGGCCCAAATATTAGGGCTCCTGAGTGATACACGACCCGGCGCATGTTGATCTATCGAATGCGGTAATCAAGCAGCCGGATAAACGAATTAACGAAGGCTGGTGACGTTTCTCAGGAAACTTTAACTTGCTCCCGTTTCCGCATGGTCACTTTAAAGGAGAAGCATGCGCTATTTGAAAGTGCTACCTGTGCGTTTTAATTGTCCTTGAACACAATGTAGTGGGCCCAGCCCTCACAAACGGCATCTCAATTTCCTGGAGCTTTGATGACGTTTGGTTGGGCATTGCTGGTCGTCTTCAAGTAGATTATGGCGTGGCACGTTCTCCACAGCATGACAGTGAGACGTTTGTCTCTTGAATGAATGGCTGTCAACACAATGTGTACCAATCTGGCTTCGGTGCCCCACAATCACGCATATACGAGTTTTTGTCGTCGTGTTCATGCCCTTTTATGCGTTTATGTGCCGTATGTGAGCAAAAGTTGTATATACGACTTCACGTATACGCGACGTCCATGCAGGGATAACATGAGATATATGGCTTTTCATTAAAATCCAGATGCATCTCTAACATCACTGCTTCTAGCTCACTTATTCAGAGGTTGAAACCTGATAGATAAACCTGGGACATTTACTGCCAGCGCCAAACCTCTAGCCTTAACGGTTGTCTATTTTCGCTTTATCGATGATGTTTGAAGTTCGGCTAAATTACATTGTGTTCCGAAAACCACCAAAAGAAAGTCTACCGCTTTTAAAAAATGTCAACAGTCGGAAGCGGACAAAGAATTGGTAAATAACATGTTAGAATCCCGTAAGTGCAGTGGCCCCAGAGCGCTAATATGGGCGCTGCAGTTCCTGGTGTTCGCATAGAAGATTGTGATAAAATGCGTCGTATTCCTTTAAAAAAGGTTACCTTAAACATCGCCATTGGTTCATTGGATACATAACTGATGTTTCATTTCTTAAGAGGCGCCTTCGTATTTACAGTGCCTTATTTTGCACGCGTTTCAAAATTTCAATGGAACATATTTCAGTTTAAACAGGGAATCAATGAACATCAGTTCTCCCGTTTTGTATGTCAGAAGGTGTTAATGGGTTCATCAAAACGGTACGCGACGACAATTTCGGCACAATTCTACACAACTTTTCAAGTGATAATAGACAAATTGTCCGGAGCCTGAACAACATTTTCAAAAAGCAAACAAATTCCAATGTACTGCCATCTCCACCTGGTAGCACATCCATACATACATATATATATATATATATATATATATATATATATATATATATATATATATACATATCTATCTATCTATCTATCTATATACCGAAGTCCGGAACCCGAGCTGCGGGCGCACAGCGTGGGTAGTTAGGCTTTTCCGCAATACCTACCGTTCAGACGGACCGGGCTGCCTCTGCACACTGGGACCAAAAATATCTGATTCACAATCCTCCGAACTGATCCAAACAAAGACCCCATGGTGCCGGGGCATGCCCGATGCCTTTTACATAGATATTTAGTCCAGGTTCTCCATGAATCCGAGAGGCTGCTCATTACTGCCCACGTGTTTTTCAATGGCATTAATCAAGGCCAGACAAAATTTACACCGGGGCTTAAATAGCATCTTTAAGGGGGCGCTCAATTCGTACAAACACGGTGAGATGTGTGGCATCCACTTCTAGATTAGTGGCATTACCAACGGAGCCGAAGGTCTGGTTGTATCTGACACTGTGAGTCTTCGTCAAGTATTATCCCTGTTCAAAAAACGTGACACAATTGAAAATAGTGTTATTTTAGCCAAATAAAGCAGGCTTCTGAAAATTGAAAATGTCCAGAGCAGAACAGGGTACCCAATTGCCAAACTATAGCTCAAGGTTCAAAACATGATGTGAATATATAGATATATGTATATATATATATGTATATATATATATATATATATATATATATATATATATTAGAGAAATGCCTGCCTATATACCATAGCATGTACAGTGTTTTTCTGTAAGGTGTTCAGCGCAGCTGTAGGAAACATTACACGTGCATAACAGAACCCCTGTTGGCTTGATTCCGTTAGTATTTGAAGAGAATGTGAAATAGTGATGTATTTTTATTTCGGCCGCAAGCCTATGTCGAAATAGCTCATACGATAAATGAACGAGCATGACAATGATAAAAGCCCCTTCATTCATTGCACCCACTGTTTCGACAAAAACTTGTGGCCGAAATATGAATGCATCGCTTTTGGTTTGCATGGTTCTTAAGCTTTTGGTTCATTCAATACAAATGAAACCCCAACATTTGTGTTATCTACCGGTTGTTTTTTTTTAACTGTTTAGAGTCACGAGGTGTCCAGGTCGACTCACAGTCATACCTTTGATCACGGGCAGCTTTCGCGGTCGCTCTCGCAGCCCGTCCAGCTGACGTCTCATGCATGGGGTACACAGAGAGAGTATGTACGAGGGCAAGCTTTTATTGCACACGTGGACACACCGACTGTTGGCATGGTAACACTCAGGCCGAACCCGCGTGGGTCGGTGTGGACGACCACGAGACCAAACAACTGCGGTGCGGACACCACTACAATCATGGCGGCCAGAGTTGGCGCGGCCTGGGATGCATATTAGTCGACGGGGTTCACTACGAGGTCAGCGACCAGAAACGGATCTCGGACATCGGACACCCGTGAGATGCTTAATTTGCCGGTACATGCACACGTTTGGTGGCATTGTGCATGCTACGAAACAGCGAGATCTCAGCCCAGCAGCCTGAGAACGATTCTTGCAGCTTAAGACACATACTGACATTAATAGAAATAGTTTAAATAGGCTGAACGCGCAGATATTCTGTCATTAATTTGCAATGAAAAATCAGGGAAGTTTAATAAAAATTATACCAAGCGATCAGCACCGCATCATCCAAAATATTCCTACGATGAGCCCATACGTACTATAATTTACAACGAGCTTAGGAACATCGCGTAGGCTGTCCAATCAGCCCGAAGAAATGCTTCGCAGTTCTTCGCTCTGGGTCGATTTTCCGGAATTCCAATGGGAAATTATCGTGCACAAGCATGCTAATGCTTCGGTCCAAGCCGTATTGAAAGCTCGGGTGTACCAGCCCAGCCACACAGGGACAGAAAGTAAATGGGGAAGTGGCCAGGAGGCAGAATGAAGGCGAATGTTTAGCATGGCGTGTTCGCTACTTAATGCTGAAGACGGATGCTGAGCTGATCCTGATCGGATTACGTTAACCACTTGGATAGGCTCTGTTCAAATCAGCCGTTGTCTGCAAGCGTCTTTGATTCAAAATGAGTGCCGGTGGGTATGGGGTCACGTTGCCACACCACCCTTGGAACTAAAGTAAGTATTTACACCTATCATCGACTTAGTCGAATTAACGGGCAAACATTCCAACCACCACCCAGTCGTGCCCTGTTGGACTGGCGAGAGACTTTCTCTCTTCAGACCAGCTGCACGAATTTCACTCGAAAGCTAACAGCAAGGACGGACAACGAGGGGTATTTGTGTGTTAATGGACGCAGAAGTTGACGAAACACGGACATCACAGCCGGCGGTGCGGTGTCTGGACCACTGGGTGACGGGCCGGGTCAGCGTTCGGAGGCTCGGCCCCTGACCTGACCGCTCGCACGCTCACACACTCCCGCTCGGCGCGCCGGGGCACGCGGCCGCCCTCCACCGTACCGGTGCCGTCCCGGGGTCGCAGTGCCGACCACCGCGCTGCCGCCGCCGTCGACGGCGGCGACACTCGAGACGACTCGCCGGTCGACGGACGACGGCGGTGATTGGACGACACCGCCGCTGGAAGCCAGCGCCGGCCAATGGGCGGCGGCGTTGCAGGCTCGGCTAGCGAACTGGATCTGGGTCCCGTTTTAGTTGGGCGGCTGGAAATATGCCGGGATGCCAAGCGCGAGTCATCGGGGGGGGGGGGGGGGGGGGAGGGGGAGGCGGAGCAGCGGCGGAGTCGGAAAGAGATGGAACCGATGGTGGCGGGCTCAAAAGTGGCATCAGCCGGCTTTAAATAGTTCTGGCCGGTCGGGAGTGGTTGGTTGGAAGGATGTTTATAATCGCGTAGCACATGAGGTTTTCAGCAGCCTTTTAAAATCACGAGCCAAAATGGGATAGGATGCGGAAGCTAAAATGACCCGGAGCAGTCAACCTCTTTTGCCATGCTTGCCGACAGTTTCGTTTGTAAGTTCCATAAATTTACCGACGGGCAGTAAGAGGAGCAGGAGAGAACGGCTACAGTTAAGTTATATTTGCGCTATAATATTGGCTAAAAAGGCAAAGAATTCCATTTGTTCAGCAGTTTTCAGCTCAACTACCTTAAATTATCTTTTCTCCTATTTGACCATTTTCCAGCACTTGGTTAGGGGCAGCTATCAAATTAGGACGCACGAGAAAACTTCTTACAATATGCGGACAGACACAAGACCAGGGAGCACTCCAAGCTCAGAAGTATCCAATTAAAGACACGGGACTCATGCGGCTCCGGCGAGCTGGGCAGATGACGGGTCATGCTGGGTAAAGCCAAGGAGCGGCGACTCATGCGGCTCCAGCGAGCGACTGTCTTCTAATATGCAACAGCTGAACAAGCTGGACAACGCACTGCAGAGAAACTAAAACACAGTCCGACGAATTCCTGTAGCCATTGATTACCGATTAACACGTCAAGCATGCCGCAGAGACGCTCGTCCCCTGGTCAGGATATGTTAATGCCATAAGCGGTGTCAAATACGGTCCTATGTCAGGAAGGCCATTCGTATGTCTAACAATCAGCCACGGCACTGCTAATACACCACGAAAAGGCAATAAGCCTATGACGACCATCTTGCCTGTTAGAGCAGGTCCAGGAACGCCCCCCTCCGTTTGATACGCTTGCCTGGAGCTGTCTGATCAGCGTACATGTTACCCTTGTTACCATTGTTGTTACCTTGTTACCATTGTTACCCATGTTACCATTGGGCCGATGGTCTAATGGAGTTCAAGGGAACCACTCAGGGCCTTGAATAGTACTGCGTGTTGCTTTTATAACGGAGTGTTGTGCGAAATGTTCGCGTGGGTTAACGTCGCATTTCGTTAAAGCATACCTACGGCTCGGTTGTTGGATCCAGGAGTGCCCATCATCAAAGGTATTACAGCTTTGATCTCCAGAAGATGCAAATTAGGTTCCGTGAGCAAGGTTAAGAGTAACCAGTGCAAGCTTTTCCGAAATTTCTCCCTGAAACCGACACAGATGTGCTTCCCGTAGTTCTAATGTTGAACGGTATTCGGTGTTCGGACGGTGTTCACCATCTGTCAGTTCATATGCACCGAAAACGCACAGATTACATAAATGTATTCGAAGCAGGATATTACACTTATGCCTATCAGGTTACTGTTAATTGACGCTCTGCTAGCCTTCACGATCCGAACTTGCAAAGCTTGCAAAGTAACCCATTTGTTGGGATTTGCACTGGAAAACCACATGAACTTCCGATGTTGCCACATGGCTCCGAACACGAAACATTCGCACCTTGACACCAGTTGCACAATTACAAGTTATATTGGTATAATAATCATAATTAGAATGATAAATAATAAATTAAATGATTGATGATAATTAATAGTAATAAATTATAATGGTAATATCATATTGCTGATTTCACAAGCTTTATAGAAACAAATTTACTTTATACGGAGCATATGTGTCTTGCAAAGGCAATTGCATTGGCTCGTATTTTCCGGAGGGGGGCAAGTAAATTTTCTGGGGCGGCTCAAACGGTGTGGCTCCCTCCTGTTGGCGGCGGATCCATAACCCTAACCAAATTGATGGCATTGAAGGAAGAGCTTAAAACGAAAATAGCTGAAGCCGTCTTTGTTAAGAATCGATTGGTGACATCATTTCATTAAATGGCCTTAAGCATGAGCGTTCGCACTCTTGAGGAGAGAATTTGCAACAATGATCGCTGCAGTCTCCGTAGACCTGCAGCGTTGGCCACGCAGCTATCACCAGGCCAACCGGCGAGCGGAAACGATTGCGTTTCGAAAAAAAGGTTTTGAATGGTTTGTGAACTCATTTTTCTACGTGTGGGAGATAGTCTGAGCCGTATAATTCAGCTGCACAACTTTCAGATTGATGCTCAGAGTGGTGTAACATTTGGGTATACACCATAAGCCGCTGACATCATTCTGTAATTTTCACTGCTGGTGTTCGTTCGTGCCCGTGTTGCTTGCTCGACTCTGAATCAGTTCAGAGGATCAATCATGTCTACCGGTAAGCATCTATTGGACAGATTTATGCATTTCTTTTACCCCGCTTCGCTCCACGCTATTAAACGTTGACAAAGCCTCCTATGTTTCCGGATGGGGTCCGGTGAGTAGAATGCTAGGGGCACATTACGCTTCCCGGTCAGGGGCAATGCAATAAGCTAGGGGCTTTCCAATCAGGGGCTACAACAAAAGGGCCTATCCATCCCAACTCGAGGTACCTACTGCATGCCGGCTGTCACTCTGGCGAGAGAGCTTCGGGTGCGTCTCATGAATTAAAGGTGGGCAGGATCCTTGATCTGACCTTTGGTTTTCATGAGTTTGATTTCTTACTGAAATTTGAGAATCCTCGGGCTCCTTGCCCTTGCTCTTATTCAGACAATCCCTGAACCTCTATGCGTTTACATGGGTTTCTGCTGGGGTCAAGGGCCTTTTGATCCTCACCTCCGTGGCTGAATTTGTGTTATCCGTTCGCCAATCTGTTTAGTTTATCCCATTTGGGGAAGGCTCCTAACGCTCAGGGTCCTTTTCGGACCTAAGCGCTCCTTCTAAGCCGATGATGAAACTTCGAGACCCAAAAGGGACCTTTGCTGAGTTCACGACCGGCCTGTCCTTATCAGAGATGGACCGTGTCCAGGTCTAAAGCTTACCGAACTAGTTGTGATGGAAAACTTTTGGAGTATGGACAACTAAGACATTTGGTAACTCCCTGCCACTAAATCTGGCCTGGTGCCTGCCTACCACGGCCCTGAGCGGCCATGTGGTGGGCCTTTTTAAGCTTGCAATGGGTCCTTTCCAAACCAGAGATGGGCCTCTCCAAGGCAAGAGAGGTGAGAAAGGCCTTTTCTGGACCAGACATGCTCACTTTGCCTGGAACTTGGTTATACCATGCATAAAACGAGCTGTTTCTGAGTTTATGATAGACGCCATCCAGACCTGCGATGGCCTTCTCTGAATCCACTATGGGCAATTGCCAGCCTTGAGACTGGCTGCTGGACCTTCCCCGATCCGGGATGGGCCCTTATGAGAAAGGCCCGCGATTAACCTTGTATCTGGAAATGAGACTCACCCGTGCCTGAAACTGATATAAGCGTATTCTGTCACGAGAGGGAGGGAGCTTGATGCAGCTGCCTCCCCCCACCCCGCCCCCCAATTCCCCTCCCCCGATACGCCGTCACTGTGCAAAGGCTTGCGTCACATCCGTCTGTGTAGTTTCGATGTAGGCACTACACTGGCCGAACAGTTCCAGGATTCACTCTGCCGAAAAGGTCACAAATGTTTGATCGCACGCCAAACTATCGTGCTCACCTTGGGAACCCATTCACATCCAGCCCATCCGACCGGTTTGATGGAGTCAGCATGTGCTCGTCTGCGGCGAAGGGAAACAAACGACCAGACCCGCCGCTGAGGGTTTTCGAATGCTGTTCTTAGATGGCCGCTGTACCGCGCCTGCACAGGTATGTTGTCCCGCCACACATCCAGACGCTGCGACGAGATTGCGCGCTCTCTCTCTCTCCCTCTCTCTCTCCTGCCTGATCCTGAATCAGCTTCAGAAGCGTCACTGCATCCTAGTCCCTGGTGCAGTTCACAGATCTCTGGGTTTAGATATCGACCTCAGGGAGATCTGCTTAATCCACCGAGGCAGTTTCAGATATTTATCGTCTAATCCATTCGAGGCAAAATCTTTCGTTAGAAATGGCGCGATGCAAACGACATCTTCTTTCCATTCAACGCCATAGATCTAACACCACGTTTCTGAAATATTGGCGATGCACCTGCATTCCCAATTAACAGTAAAGTTTCACACATGGATCTATCTGGGTCTGTCTAAATGATCCATTGACCTATCTGCGCACCCGCGCCGCTACAAACAAATGTTGTCTCCCACATGCTCTCTTCAAACCAAAGTTGCGGTACACACATGAAAGCGAAGCCAACACCAGACTGTGCGGGCGTCCGACCGTAAGGGCGGCCATGAGGACGTGCCGCGCCTCGAGCCGCTGAGGTAGTGCCAGAGCCCCGCCGGCCGGCCAGCCAGGTGGCCGGGTGTCGATATCTGCCCGGCTCCGACCCCGCGGGCACGTCCGGACGACTGAGTCGATGCTGATCTTGGGTCGCCTCCAACGGCAGCCTGGATTCCATGCAGGGCGCTCTCATGCACGGGAAGTACGCGGGAGATCTACGCCGGTCGCGTGAGGCAGCCGCAGTGATTTTGCCAGTGATGATGCGGCCCGGTTGGGTATCTCACATGGTTCGCTCAAAAATGGCAATTCCTTGAAGCAGGGGTGTGTGCAGGATTTCAGTACGGGGTCGGCAGGGTCGGACCCAGCTCTGAAAATTCTCTGAAAATCGAGCACAGCGCGCGCAAGTTCATGCGAATCACAAAACAACATTGCATGGTACCGATCTCTTATGCTAACGTGCCTGCTTGGATCTTTTACTGCTAGCATTTGGCCACGT